ACATCTTTTTCCTGATAGTGGAGGCAAAGAAAGAATGGCTCGATAGCGCAGTACCTCAAGTCCTTGCTAAAGCCGGATGCCTACTGAAAAAGCGATTGGCTGCTGGAAAGAACACTCCAGTGCTTGCTGTCCTCACCAATGGGACGGACTTTCGCTTCTTTGCGATTGATATTGACGGGATAGTGTATGCTTCCACCATTCATCTATTGGAAATTGGAATGGACAGAACATACAAGACAAGCACATCTCTCTCTGAAATCCTTCGCTGGTTCACTTGGTTTATGACTGCCATCAAGTCTGTCTCTCCCCGTGCGTCCAGCGAGGATTTGACCGACACAATGACTGCTGACTCGCTGACTCGACTCAGAAGCTGCTTTGAGCCAAAGGTTCCGATTCAAAACAAAAAGGCCAAGATTGAAAAGTAGTATGTCATAATAAATATCTTATTTGCTTGAAATTTAATCTCAATTCTAATTACCAAATTTCTGTCAACACTCTGGTAGATGAAATCTCATCAAATTTCAGCGGACTCTCGCCAAAAAACTGGTATCATTCGGTGCTCTATACATACTACTCTTGTCTACGTAAATCCTTTAATTGCCTAATCTACAACTTGTATTTGGAAATGATTCACAAGTTCAATCAGCTGATGGGTGTTATTATCGTCCCCGAATCAACAATTATGGGTTCGTTGACTGTTAAACCCCAAGTTTTTATTTTAAATGATAGGGGCAAGAAAGCACCTTTATAAATAAGCAGGAATTCACAAAGTGTTAAATATTGTTGGAAATCCTACCAATCCGTCGCTGTATTTTGTAATCCCCAGAAACCGGTTTTCTGATTTTAAATACCAAAAGTATAAAGATGCTCAGGAAAGACAATGTAAAAACCTGCCTTTATGAATGTAAAACAAGTCGGGCAATTTGTTTTGGCAATTGAACTTGCTCACATTCAGTAGAATTGGATAAAATACAATAATCAGCAACTCTTGGCAGTTTACTCTAGAATACCAAACTGTATAGTCATTTTGTCTCTCTAATATCAACTCTAGCTTCACTCTGATTGATCCGCTTACTGAATTGCCAAGACATCACAAAATGCCTTGTTTCCTGCAAAAAGACTACTCTGGATTCATACTGTGGTATAATTTCCACTACCCTGACTGAGCCATAAAAAATGGTTTAACAAAACCTGTGCTTTTAACAGTATTGTAGCTGTCCTTTGTATAAACACTCGAATGAGTTCATTCCTGATAATGCTGAATGAAAGACGACCAATCTATCCGATAATACGTATAATGTTGCAAGAAATTAATGCATAATGGAATGGGATTTCTATACGAGAAAAGCAGGTTCTAGTAGTAAGGGTAGAGCACCGAAGAATACCGTTTTTGGTTTCCAGCCGGAATTCCCGCTAAATGTATAATAGGAGCTATGAAGTCGGATTAAAAAATATTAAAATCTATAGTAGATGTATAAAATGAGCGAAAACAAAGAAATTATCATCCAACATACAATTCACATCGACGACCTACGATGTATCATCTGTTTTGAATTCATACACCCTCCTTTTTACCAATATAATGGTGCACTGCATTTTGTTTGCCCTGTGTGTTCAACGAAATTTAAGTCTGAGAGCTGTCCATCCTGTAGAGACAACAGCCTGTTTAAAAACAAACTACTGGAAAGAGACTTACGTGAATATCTAACAGAATGTCTTCATTCTCTATGTGCAAATTCTGTGTTTGAATGGAACTTGGAGAATCACGTAGTGACTTGCATTTACGGCATAGCAAAATGCTACTTTTGTGAAGAAATGCTTAAACCCGAAGATTTTAAAAGCCATATCATTACAAAATGCAAACTATTGGAGTGGGCAGAAAAGAACAACCGAGAAACAAAAGGTTCGCTGGCACTGTTGTCACACTTACGGTGGAATTCTAACAGAGTCAAAATTATCAATACACATAAACTACAATCCAATTTTGTGGTTATTCTGAATGAAATGATATTACTAGGGAAAAGGTATGAAGATAAATGTACAATGGTCGTGCTCTCTCCAAACTCAATGCGAGTTGATGCATACTCCAAGTATCCATCAAATAAAGCCTTTGAACTTCAATCGATTCTAACGATCAACTCATTCAGGACGTGTAGAGTTACCGGCATTGGAAGATCTGGCAGCCATCCAACAAAATGTACGAAAGACTGAATTTGTACAAAGTTCATTTGATCGTGAGGATGAAGATTCAAAGTCGTATGTTAGTGACGATGAATTTTTTGGTGGGCTTGTTCAGCATCCTTTTTAAAAATGTATTTCTTTTTCTATGGATTCCTTGGTCAACACGTCCAACCATTTTGTTTGGAGTCGCTTTTGTCCAAGCATCAAGGAATGCAGTAGGTCTGGCTTTTTCCAACTCGATTTGATAAACTCTTCTAATGTGTCTTCGGTTTGTTCTAATGTACCATTGATTTTCGCAGCATACACAATTCCATTGCGCGCTGTGTATAAATACTTGTCGTCTGAATAGTATTTTTCATCTCCAAGGTAGTACTTGATTTGTTCGTATCTGGATGACGACTTCACGTGTTTATTTAGTTGTTCTACTTTATCCTCTAATTCAGCTATACGTTTTTCATCAAAACAAATGGATTAAACCGTTTGGGATTAGCAATTTTCAAATGCTTGTCATCGACATCCAATGCAAGAGGTTCTTCTTCGCCGAAATATGGAGCTGCTACTTTGGAAAGAGTGTTATTTGTTGAAAGTTTCTCTTCGATAATATACTTGTGTTTATTCACAGGGTCAAGGATAATTTGATTGATAGGAATGCTTCGGATATGCTTGGAACGCAGACAGCAACTTGGAATCACTAACATTGATGTTTTATATTCAACGCAAAGAAAATAAATTTTTGGAAGTCAACAAAATATTCTTTGAAATGAAACCCAAATCTTTCTGTTATTAATCAACTTTACAATGTAAATTCTTCTATTCTGGCCCATTCTAATAGTTCCGACAGGAACCTCTTTTGGGTCTGTAACAGGACCATAATCAATCATCATATTTAACAGAAAAGATTCAATCGTATTGGTTTGAGATACACAAACAAAATAAGTTTCGTTTAATTCGTTTGTAACGAAAAAATAAACTTTTATTTTCTTGAAGTACATCAAGTTTGTTGAAAATGAATAACCAATTGGACGAAAATACAAACAATGTGGGTCTCTACAAGGTCAACTATTTAATGAGAAATGAAGAAAGGTCGATGGATATGCTGTTATCTACCGGAAGGAAGAGACGAAATGATATTAAGCTGATGATAGCCTTATTGTTAGGAATAAGAAGAGCAGAGATCAAGGGAGTAAAACTACGATTTAGAAAGCGAATAACAGGTTTCAGTAGTGGAGTCGAAGGAACAATAGCATATTTACAATTAATAGAGTTTCAAAAGAAGAAAAGGAAACGGTTATATTCTCGGTACCATATTAAGAAATGTCCATTTAAACCACAATCAAAAACTATCAAATGGAGTAGGCACTTGTACTTGGGGTTGATGAATTACAACAAAACATACTAACAAATCACCACAATCAAAAACAGAGGTATTGGTTTGATATTCAATTTGGATACGTTCTAAGAAACGTAGAAACAGATGAAAGAATGCAGTTTTACCCATCTGTAAATACTTCATTTTTTAATATCAATGAGCATCCTCTGGTTAGCAATACAGTGGATGGTGTTTTAGAAAAACTAGGAGGCGATGATATTTTGGAACGACTGAAGCGACCCAATTCAAAGTGGAATATTGACAGTATCTATGAATATGTTCTCTTGACTACTCCACTAGAAGAAATCCCTATTGGAGCTTCGATTAAGTTACCTGATTTCATTAAAAAAAGCAAAGGCATTCTCTCATTAGAAAACATACCAAATAATATGTGTTTATGGTATTGCCTTGCCCGTCACAAGCTCTCTGACTTGCGATTGGATAGACTTGCAACTAAAGCGAAAGAACTATTCAAGAGCTATTACACCTTCAAACCGGACCAGAGCTATTGTGGGGTGGAGATGCAAGAATTGGATACCATTGAAAATCATTTTGATGTAAACATAAATGTTTACCGATTTAATGGAACAAAAGCTGTGATGGAGCGACATTCAAAGAAAACATTGGAATCTACTTTGAGTTTGAATATCTATACCGATGTGGATAATAAACTTCAAAAATGTTGAAATAGCATACAATGATGCAAGTCGTGAGACACAAGAACAAGTAAAACCGAATTACAAAAGTAAGAAATTGATTGGAAGTATGTTTGGGAAAAAGATGATGTTTCCGACAGAGTTGCTGAAATGGTATCTAGAGCACGGACTTATAGTGACCAACATTACCTATGCTGTAAAATATGAGCGTAAGGCTCCTTTCAAACCATTTTCTGAAAAGGTTCAAATGAACGAAGAGCAAGAGACACAAACCCAAATCATAAACTTCGTGGTGATATGATGAAACTGATTGGAAATGCACCGTACGGAAAGTATATAATGAACTTTCTGAAGCACGAAACGGTCAAAATTGTAGGACAAGACACTTACAATAAGAACGTGCGAAGAAATAATTATCTCGGACATCAAGACCTTGTGGAGGGATACGAGTTTCGGTTTAGTAAGACATCCTTCAAGCAAAGTCTACCACTCCATATTGGATTCCAAGTATATCAACTAGCCAAGTTACGAATGTTACAGTTCTACTACGATTTTATTGATTATTACGTAGACAGAAGCGACTTTCAATATTGCATAATGGATACAGACTCGGCATACTTTGCGATTTCTGGAGATTCCTTACAAGACGTAGTGAAACCACACCTCTTGGATGAATTCCAACAACAAAAGAAATATTGGTTCGGGAGAGATGATACCCCAGCGAACAAATTATATGACAGCAGAACACCAGGATTATTCAAGTTAGAATACGAAGGAGATTGCATTATATCATTGGCTAGCAAGATGCATTATTGTAACGAGAAAAAGTTTAGTTCAAAGGGTATCAGCAAGAATCAAAATGAAATTACCAAGCAAAAGTATTTAAATGCTTTGAGTGGAAATGGAGGTCAGGAGTTTATCAATAATGGTTTTAGGTCATATCATAACCAAATGAATACATATTCATTAACAAACACTGCGATAAAACTGTTTAACGATAAACGACTCCGAGTGGGTTACGAAACATTTCCAACCGAATTATAAACGTTTTAATTCTTTTGGTGTGTTATGGAGAGGCTTTATGAACTATATTATAACCCAAGGACAGGATTCACGTCTGCCGAAAAGCTATACCGAAAGCTTAACAAAGAAATACCATTGTCCCAAATAAAAACGTTTCTTCAGCAGCAAGAAGTGTATCAACTCCACAGACAACAACGAAAAGCACCTGTTTATAGTCCCATAACAGTTTACTCTATCAATGACCAATGGCAGATTGACTTGATTGATCTGTCAAGGTATGCCAAGTGGAATAGTGGATACAAATATCTTCTTTGTGTGATTGATGTATTCAGTAGAAGGACATTTGTCGTTGCGATGAAGAAGAAATCAGATAGCACCGAAGCGATGAAGAAAGTATTAGATATAGAAAAATCGATTCTTATTCAAAGTGACAATGGAACAGAATTTTTAAACGGAGCATTTCAGCGATTATTGACATCCAAAGGTGTTCGGCATATCACGGTGGAAGTAGGCGACCACAAGCGACAAGGCATAATTGAACGATTCAATAGAACACTAGAGAACATCATTGCTCTTTACCAAGAAGCTCGGCGAACAAATACATATATTGATGTACTGGAAGATATTGTTTACAGTTACAATCACACTTATCACCGAGGTATAAATGGTATTCCTCAGCAGTTGTACCTAGGCAATCCATCCACTGGAACAATGAATGTAAAAATAGAGAAGAATGCTATAGGTGTTGGTGACAAAGTTAGATTGCTAAAAACTAGGCAAGCATTTCGTAAAGGATATGAGCCAAAGTATAGTCACACTATATATAAGGTCATCAGTGGTAATGGCTATTCGTACTTTATTGCAGATGATGATGGCAATATTCTTCCAAAGGCATACAAATACTATGAACTACAACGTATTGAATCTACCCAACGGTTTCATACAGAATCTAGACAGAGAGAACCACGAATGACAAATAAGGAGCGTCGAAATAAAAGAGAATTGGAAGAATTGGGTAGAATTAGAGGTCCAGCTCATAAAAACGGAGAACATTAAGCGGAGCTTATTTTCTAAATCAACTGTATAAATGACATTCATTAGTTTCATTAAAACTCACCAAGCGTACATTCACTGTATTAAGAATTGGGATTCGTATTCCGTTGACGAACAAGAACAACTAAGGAAATGGTACCGAGATTACTATGCCAAAAACAAACAAGCTGAAAGGAAACGATACCGAGACTATTATGCTGCTAATACCGAGGCAGAGAAGGAGAGAGCTAAAAAGTACAAGAAAACTAAACAATCAGAGAACAATGTTTAGCTCAAAAACACACCCGATAATAATGAAATTTTCATAATAAACACAATAGTTGCAGAGATTTTCTATTTACAAGTCAATACAAAAGATACATTAATGTGGTGGAAATAGGTTTGAATGCATCTGTGCTGTCTATCACGAAGATATCAAGAAGTGTACAGCTAGGACTTTTTTCCACTGCGGTGGACATTTTCAGTACTTTGCTCTCCGTGAAAGAAAGTAACAATGTCAGTTCACCATTGATAGCATTATCATTATCACTGCAGTCTGAAGGAGTCATCGACTGACGAGGAACTACTTGTTGCGAAGGTTTTCCACCGCGGTGGAATTGTGCTCGTTTAAAACATTCATATCGCTGTCATCCATTTCATCATCAACATTCATCCAGTAGTGTTCAGAAAAGAAATCAGATCCTTACAAAGCTCGACACTCTGGTGACATAAACCATTTCTTGATTTTTGGAATCATACTCCTAAACACTCTAAAGGACACTGCCAGCGTTTGGAATTTCGGATACTTTGACATAAAGGCATAATACTCCATGTAGTAGTAGTAGGATGATTTGGAGATGCCAAGTCTGCTGTTGACGTAGTCCAAGAAGCGTCCCTTGTGCCCATCCCCAAATGTTTCCAGTAGTTTCATCAAGGACCTTGCTATCAGCATTACTTTTTTTGATGCCAGTACATCGGTCGCTTTGAGTTGCTTCATATTCAATTGTATGTATTTCGTCAGCAGCTTTTTGATTTCCACAGCATCCAACCCAGTAAACCTGTATGACGACGACTCATCCAGCACACTGAGAGATTGATGTCGTAGTGTAGCATTTCAATAAGAATGATTTAGACTTTTCAGTGTCTGTTTTGACAGTTTCTGGTGTTCTCATTGAACTGGTCAATTCCCTTCAATATAGACCGAACAAATTTGATGTCAATTTGAGTGATGATTGTCCAAGGTTATATTAGGTGCTTCTTGACCCAATCAGTAAAACGGCTGTAATCACGCATTTGACTCATTTGAAGTGCAGTTGTCATTTTTATACTCGGACACCACTGAAATGTTTTAAAATGTGAACTTTTTTGAATATGAATTAGTCTCAATTCCAATAATACGTCATTCCAAGCAGCCCATTTAACGTCCCTGACCTTGCAATTTTTTTTCTTTCCTTTAAAAAAAACAACAATGTTGAGAATAGTTCGTCACAGCAGCACCCTGGCCAAACTATGGGTGAAACATAATGGCAGTCAAGCCACTCGTGTCTACTGCTGGCTGCTTAAATATCAGTGACCTTGCCAAGGCCATCAAGCAGAAACTCCCAAACCAATTCTATGCCGTTGACTCCAACCAAATCTCTATCCATCAGTCACTCCAGGATGCTCCACTTGAACCTGATCTTCCACTTGCGAGTATTTCTACTGCTGGTCTGTCCGCCAAATTACCCCTCATTGTGAAGACTCTGGAACCCGCGTCGAGTAGCCAAAAACAATCTTCATCCAGGACATTGATGAAGAGTGCTGTCCTTTGGATAGCTTTTCCAAATATCTTGTTGAAAATGATGCTGATATGGAGGATATCTATGAAGGGAAAGGCTCGGCTCTCTATAAGCTGTCCGATCCCAAGAAACAGATTACACTGGTGGAACAGCTGATCAATGGGGAAAAGTACAATGTATTTTCTCGGTACGAACGGCCCTTTGTTAAACTACGTTAGCAGTAGAATGAAGACCAAGCGATGGAGGAGGAAACTCACTTGGCCGTGAAGCGATTCCTTGCTACCCATCTTGGTCCTTCAATCGAGGTAATGCCAACGGACATTATGGCTGCAGACGGAAAGACTGTTGTCCAGGAGTGGGACGCTGTCTTTAAAGATGGAGATGTCCTGTACTTATGTGAAGCCAAGCATAATATGACCGATAAGCAAGTGACCAAGCTCTTTGCAAGAATTCGCAAGTTCAAGGAGTTTCAAGCCAATGCCCAGCCAGAATTTCGAAATGTCACAAAGTATGTTGGGGTGTTGTGTGGTACGTTGTTTCCAGAGGATATTAGAAAGATCGCACACCTTGGATTCATTTGCGTTTATCCATCAGGATATTGTTACGATGTCAAAAAGCCAGAGGATTTCATCATTGAACGTTAATTGTTGTTTGGTAATAAAAGGGATGTTGATATGTACAAAGATGACACCTGCATAGCAAAAAGTGTATGATTCAAACGATATACTGAATGTTTGAATGGTCGCAACCAAATAAATCATTTCAATCACTTGTTTCTCTTTAAAAGCGCTGAATGTGGAGGTAGTTTGTACCAATATGTCATAAAACAATCAATTCGTGCTCAAGTACAACAATTGCAGATATTTTGGCTGGAAAGTAAAACGGTATTATTCGGTGCTCTACACATACTACTGTCATATTACAGTCAATGTTGATGACCATAATAGTCAAGGTCTAATTGAGAGGTTCAATAGGACATTGGAAAGTGTCATTAGCAAATATCAGGAATCAAGAAAGACAAACAGGTACATTGATGTCTTGGAAGATATCGTATACAATTACAATCATACGCATCATCGTAGCATTAATGATACTCCGGAATCAAGGTATCAAACGAACCCAAGGACTGGAACAATCAAATCGAGGTTGGTAACAAAGTCCGCATCTTGATAGAAAAGGGAGCGTTCACCAAAGGATATGAACCAAGTTACAGTCAGTCCATATACAATGTAGTGAATGGAAACGGATATTCATATTCACTTGTTGATAACAATGACCAAGAATTGAAAAAGACTTTTAAATACTATCAACTGAAAGAGATTGAAGCATTGGATGTATTTACAAATGAACCAGCAGTAGAAAGAGAACGACCAATGTCAAACAAGGAAAGACGTAATAAACGGGAATTGGCAAGAATTGGAAAGAATTCCAGAACCTAAAAACAAAAGACGCAAGATATTTCAAGAAGCCTATTTTCTAGAGTAATAGTAAATGACATTTATCGATTCAATCAAGAATTACAAAGACTATTTACAATGCGCCAAGAATTGGGATTTATATTCGGAACAACAACAAGAACAATTGAAGAAATGGTATAGAAATTACTATACTCAAAACAAGGAATTCAAACGACTGAGATATCGCAATAACTACGCTAATAATTCAGATATCGAAAGAGGACGATTACAAAAGTAGAAAATGTCAAAGATGGGCTAAAAAATATCATAGCTAACGCTTGAAATAGAGCATTTTCAAAATTCAAATATAATAAATTTCATGTTCATTCCTGTTTACTTTTATTATATGATTGAATTGAATTCACTTTTTTTGTGATCTTTTTTTTTCTTTTTTAAATTCAAATGTTTTCTCGTGCAATTGGAAGATGCTGCTACTCTACACATAAAGCAGCATCAAAACTATGAGTAAAGCACAATGGAGGCCCATCGACTCAAGTCTCCACCAAAAGCTGTATCAATATCGATGACTTTGCCGACAAGGTCAAGCAAAAACTCAACACTAACGCTCAAGTTGCTTTATTCACTTCTATCAACAAAGAAGCACTTGACCCTGGGCTTGCACTCAAAGAACTCCTTAAACTGACATCAGCAACAACACCAGCAAAATCCCCTTGTTTGTCAAAATCATTCCTGCTACTCGAGACTCAGTTGCAACAAAAACCATATATATTCGTGATACCGATGATGATGGAGAGCTTACGGATGAATATGTTGAATACAGTATCAAGAACAACGAGAACCTGCGTGATATCTATAAAAATGGCAAAGGACTCATCCACATGGCTGACCCAAAGAAAGTTATAGTTAATTTTGATGATATCGAGCACGGTAAAAAGTATCAAGTTTACAAATATTCGCAAGATTTCTCAGGATGACAAAAAAAGAAGCGGATGCGATGGAAGCAAAGACGCTACTATCCATGAAGACCTATCTTATGGAGAAACTCCAAGCATCCCCTATCGATTTGCCTACTGACATATATGATTCAACGGGAAGCCAAATTCAAGAATGGGACGGAATCTTATTGTCAAAAGATATTCTTTATCTCTTGGAAGCAAAACATGCCATGACAGTCGAAAAAGTTGAGAAAATCGCAGAAAGGGTGAATCAATTTCCTAAAATGATTCAACTTTCGTCTCAAAAAATACTTAATGCAAAGTATAGTAAGATTGTTGGAGTTGCTTGTGGAGCCCGATTCCCCGATGGCTGTCGCGAAGAAGCTCATCGATTAGGATTAATGGTTGTTTATCCGTCGGGAAGTCATTACAGAGTTGATGGCAAGGTTGAATTTGATTACACTATTAAAAGATGAAATTCTTGAATATATTATGTACGTTGCTAAAATTATTTATATTAAAGTTTTCAAGCAACGCTGTCATTGTCTTTATATTATGCCAAATAGGTTTGGACCACCTTATTATCCTACGACGTGGTTAGACAACGGACAGACAGTTAATGGGATGTTAACCATTGCTGGATACAATCTTCATGGTAAAAGTGCGTACATGCCAGAGAAGATATCCTTGAAGTAGAATTGTAGCCTTCTTGACAGATTGTACACATTGATTCCCTATGGGCTTGAGGGTTGTAATTGAACCACATGGTGTTATCTCTAAATAGTTCCAAGGTAATGGGACGATTACTGGGGGTTTCAGTCTCTTCTTCCAATAAACCATCTTCCTCTATCAGTTCTTCATCTGTCGAATCTGGTTCTTCCGCATCAATTTCACTTGGAGCTGGGTCGTCTTCATGATCGTTAATAGCTTTGACAATCAAAATTGTGATATTCTGTAGGTTTAGATCTCCAGAATCCTCTTGACAAAATATGAGTTCCTGGTAGCGCTTGGCACTCTGCTGATTGAACCATTTGCGAATTTGAGGTATGATATCACGCATTCTTCGAAATGAAATAGTACAATGTTTGAAGCGAGGCATCTCTGTTAGCAATTCATAGTAGTTCCGATATTTTCTAAAAGTCCTATGTGTGTCAGTAAAGTCAAGGATGTGGATGTGGAAATAATAAAGGCCCTATGGTGTCTTTTGGCGGCGTAAATAATATTCATACCTTAAATCCATTGATAATCCTTCTTTTAGAATGTTTTCGAGTCTTGGAATGTCATTTTGTAATCGGTCGTGAAGTATAGCGAGTTTTTGCCCAATGTTGAAGTGATGAAAGACAGCCTTTCACATTCCAGCGCCAAAATCAAACTAAATTGCTGAAGATAATTAAAATATGAATATTGTTGATTCCAGTAGAGTTGTACCTATGTTTGATATCAATGTAAAATTTGGTAATGAGCTCATCATTTTCAACTTCCTGGTGATTAGATCATTCTATCATTTGTGCTGTTTCGTATATTGGTTGCCTTTGATATGATGTTGTTCCATGGGTTTCAGCGTATCTTTGCCATCGTTTAATAGGAGCATACGCTGTTAGCAATTCTTTGATCTTTTGATGCTCAGCATATAAAACTACCGGAGTAGTTGGAGCAACTCTACCAGTAACTCTCTCGGCCTTATTCTTGGTCGATACTCTTTGTCCTCCTCACTTTCTGAATCATTGAAAGCTTTTCTTCTGCTCCTTGTTGTTCTGTTTGGAGAAGTCAATAAGACTGGTACAATATCCATCCGAGTAGGCGATTCATTACGGGCAGTACTGGCTGGAGATAACCGATCGTTTTGATGTCCAGAGGCTGGCAAGGATAAAACAAAGGGAAACGAAGCAGTCTTTGGTTGCGAATTGATAACTGGTATTGATGCTAATTGCTTTTTGGCGGTTTTGGAAAGTTTTTTGAAATGAGCAGAAAGCTCTTGGTTGTTCATTACTGCTATCTTTCTGACCCAATTGAGAACCTGATATTCCTCTTCACATATTGTGTCGTCCATTTAGATGTGTAATGTTTGTTAAGGTGAACCTCTACCCCATAAGGTAGTTCGCTTTACGCAAACGAACAGACACAAAATGAAATTGAATTCTCTTCATCATCACCCACTCCTACTAGTAGAGTGGTATTAAAGGCCATTACATCAAAGGTAAAAAACCTGGAATTGTTGGTTTGACGAAGCGAGATCTTTCTAGTAGTAGTGGTGATTCTATTGATAATTTTCCTGTAATTTTAAATGTAAAGTTTTGTGATTTACCAGTTGGTATGTTAAACAAACTAATCATCTGTTTAATGGCATGGAAAAAGAGTCATTGTTCAAGAGAGATTTCAACTCTTTCCATTTTTCTTTTGAATGAAGATAATCGAGAATTCATCTCAAAGTTTTGACTCTTACGACTCTAGTGAATATTCCTGCTTGCGAATCAAGTCAATTAAAACTGTTTGTTCTTACCTACCTGGAAATCCTGCCATTGAATTCATGCGAGGTACTGTTGGATTCTTCACTGGATTCAATCATCACCATCAAAAAAATGTTCACTCATTTTAGTCATGTTCTCATGGCTGATGATACTACTCGTTGGTTATCAGAACGATCTACCAATGGCGTTGTGTTGGGCAAAATGGATGGTTGGATTGAATCCCACGAGCAAGAAGTCGATCATTGGGATGGGCTAGAAATATCATTTTCTAAAATACTTGAATTCACAAGAAATGAAAGCAGCATGGATTATAACTTTGTAGGCAAGAATTGTAAACATTTTTGCTACGATTTTCGCCGAAATGTGCTTGGGAAAGTTGAAGACTTTGGAACTTACTGCCAGTTTATCGAAAGTAAAATGAATTCATAAACTCTAAATCAATTCAAGCATCAATTATGAGTCTGGCACAATATGCTCCTAAAACCTTCAAATTTACTAGCTTTCCATCAGTTCCCTTAATGACCAAGTACCCGTTGAAAAAACTGGTATCATCGTATTCTGCTTAAAAGGTACAGTACGAATCTGGCACAGAAGCTCCTAACATTTCAAACCAATAAACCAACCAGTACTCTGCTCTAATGTTTTTGACAGTGTTCCTTATCTCCGATAACTTGCGATTTTTGACAACCAGACCAAATTAATTGGTATTTATCGGTCAAGAAAACTGGTATCATCCGGTGCTCAATCTATACTACTCAAGTTGGTTTTAAACCATTTTCAACTAAATTGTAAAAGCTTATTTTCTTATGGTGGATTATGAAAAAACTACAACTTGTACTATAATCCAAAAACTGGGTTACATCTGCATGGAAATTATGTTGGAATATCCATGCAGGATACTCCCAAGTGGTAATATGGTATAGTGATAATCCTAGTAGCTTCCACTTTACGCCTCCTAATTAACCCTCCTTTATTATCAAACAATCCACATGGTCATGCCACAAGACACAAACAATCAATTACTATAAAAGAGCCCATAACTATCTCATTAATAAACAACTCTTCAAACTATTTCAATCTTGTAATTACTTTATTGCATCTTTTCACTATTCCTGAAAAGATAAAATCTGTTAATCTTGAACTATTGTGCAGCTTCACATTACACTTTTGGTTTGGTTTCTTCTGATAACTACAAACAGTTACAGATTATATCTACACTACAAACCCGAAGCTTACAAAAATCTGGCAATACCATGGTCGTAATACCACACTACATATATTACATTGCAAACTGACACAACACTAATTGACCAATATCGAACCAGTTAATGACGCAATCTACATCCGACTTTCAACAAGTGTATTGCTCCGTTTGTTGTACAATACACGACATGGTCGGTTGGTGGTATCATACAGCCATACAACTGACAAGTGATTTCAAGTCCAACTGGTAGTTACACGTACAAATAACACTGGTTGTTATCAGGTCATTGATGTATATGGAACAAGTCGTGTCAATGTATCAATCAACAATCCAATAACTGTTGATGTAATACCCAACACAGTATACACAAACATACAGTATTCAATCAATAATATGATTGTTGACCCATTCATAATACTCGACAAATATCAACACACCAGAAAGTTTAAATTTATTCATTAACAAATTGATTGACACATCATCAATCTGAATCTGAACTCGACTCTTCTGAACTCGAATCTTCATATTGAAACCCAAAAAATTTCATAGCCTTTTTCACTTTTTGTTTGATACTTTCTAGTTCTCTTTCTGCTTCTTCACAATCTTCTTCCAATTGTTTTTTAGCTTCTGGGCTGTAACTTGGCTCAGACATACCTTTTCCTTTTCCTAACCCTGCCAATTGAGTTAATCGATAAAGTGCACCATCAGAATAGGCTTGGTTTATGCTCTCTTGCAATTTTTTAAAGTCTTCAACTTTTTGCTTTAGACTATCCAAGGTTTTCTGGTCTTCTTCGCTTAATACAGCCTCTTGACTTGGAGCAGTATTTCCCGACTCTTCTTCGTTCATTGGCTGTTGCTGGTCTTGATTGGAAGTGCTTGGACCGGGTTGATTCATCGATTGTTTCCGACTTCGTTTTGGAGCACTTGGACCAGGCTTACTGATTGGGCGTTTTCGACTTCGTTTTGGAGCATTTGGACCAGTTCGATGCAAGTATTGCTGGCCTTGTCCGGAAGTGCCTGGTTCAGGTTCATTGGTTGGACCAGGCACTTGACTGGAAGTGCTTGATGCCTGAGCTGAGTCATTGCCGTTATCTGAAACCAGTATTGCATTAGCGGTTGCTGCCGCGCTCAGTACGAACAAAATGTCAATGAACTTCATTAGATTGGTGGATGGGCTTAAAAGATGGTTAGATGAGCAGATTGTTGATTATAAAATTGAATGTACTTGGTTGTATTTGTATGTTTTGTATAGCAAACCAACCCTTTTAGGTTAACCAATTGTACAGAGTTATTTGATTGTTTGTAGCGGTTTACTATCAAACTAGACAATATGATGCTCCCTAATCATAATATCATATTGATCAATTTGATGATCGTGTCAATTGTATGATGCTTTTATGACCGTTTGATCAGGTATTTTGAAAAGCACCCTTCATGAGTGTTGTGTGGCCGCAAACGTTTTGTTTTACAACCGTATTCATGTAAAATGGATCACTTTGATATTCATCCTGAAATGACTGTATTCTGCATTGCAATATACAATAGTTACTACACATTGACTGTATTGCGTGTTTGATATACAACAACCACCATATGACACACAATCAGACTATATTGTCGAATCTACACTTTGTGCACTTTTAGTAACCATGCATTGTACGATCATCAAGTCTGAACCCATATCCATGTATTGCAATCGATATATTGTGTTTGATTGTCAATACAACTCTGTACACACATTTGTTGTATTCTGAATCACAGATACGATCGCAATCTAGTTCAACAACAATGATGACACATGCCAGTAATGCAACTGTTGTTTGCATGTCAACATTGTTATTTAGTGGTCCATTTACATCAATATGACTGCAAGTTGTCGTTATATGACGTATTCTGAGCATGGTTTTGATATTACGCATCCAGTTCCATCACATTGTTGCTGACCCATCATTGTAATGCTGTATGTATCAAACACTGGCATGTCACCATAACCATAACCACAATCAGTAAAATGACACTCGAGTTGTTTACTGTGATCAGTATATACAACCCAGTGCAACTACACATACTGGATCCAGTCTGTTGGTTGTTCCAGTTGATCTTGATTCACTTTTGATGTTTTGTCCGAGATTGACAATACAAATGTGTCGAGCTGAACCCAAACTACACGACTTGACTGTTTGTGTCAATTGGATCGTGACTGAGCTATGCGATCATGATGTGTATTCAATCCATGCCATGCGTTACCAATACAATAGTATGCATGATCATTGTGTACCAAACAACTACAATACACACTGGACTGATCCAATACATGCACGGCTTGAACATATCACACAATCAAACATGGACACACCACATTAAAAATACATATAGTATCAGTTTGTTTATAATAAATTGTATTCAATCGAGTTTATTGAGAGTCTGTTTGTGACTCTTGACAGTGTGGTGAGTGTATTCAGGTACAGCTACTTGATCAGTTGTAGTTGTTGGTTTCCTTCTGCGAATAAATGTGCCACTTGAACCTGAAGTACTTGGTTGTTCAGGCAGTCTAACACTATGCATCAAATTCATAATCAGTATCAATCTACACATACACACATCAATATCAAACAACTTACTGTGATGGTGACCAGAGCACTTGATAACCGTTTGAAATAATAGGATATCCGTCAGTCGCGATTTCGCATCCACATCCAGGACCAAACCCAATGCGTATATTTAGTAAATCAAATGTTATTGCAAGTCGGGTCATAAATGATGCACCAAGAACTGCATTATCATTTGGACCAGCTTCTACAGTAAACACAACTATAATCCAACATGTATGTCAGTCAGGTTAATCAAACAACACATTACATACAATTGTCAAATATTTACAATTTTTAGAATCATATCTCTGCATATAATCTCTAGGACCCAGTTTGATCGTTACAACGGAGTTGCTATTGTCATCAGTTACGGGGGTTTGAGCAAACATTACAATTGAAAGCGTCGGCAGCTTGTCCAAATCAATATTATAATCGGATTGGAACATTAGATAGTTGTTTTTTAAGCTGCTTTTAATCATTATTTTGCCAAGTTTGTTTCTAAATAATATACTTTTGGTAGTGATCGCATTATTATCAAGAATAGCATTGATCAGCACATCCACGACTGTTTTAGGAAAACGTATATATGTAAAGCATGTATGTAGATATGAATACAGAGTACGTCCATTTTCCACAACTTGCTGGAATTCCTCGGGCAGATCCACTTGTTTGCCATTGACTAGTATACTCTTGATGTTGACACTAAAGTAACCGTCTGATGGTGATTGTACCCATGCAACACTTTTTCCATTCGTTCCGCATTTTGCAGCTACGTCTGTGTTTCCTATATTGATGAAACTTTCTTGCAGCATTTCATACGGACATAGTTGAATGCCAATCTCGTTATTGGGAATGACACCATCTTTGTACAAAGCATCTATCGCAGTGGCTGGTGGATGATGTTTTGACAACGAGGAATAGGAAAACCCAAATACTCCATCAAACTTTGGATGGATGCCAACTAGATCTGGCGATTGTTTTTCAGCTGATAGTACTGGTAAATTGATGCCAGTTATCCCAGTACCCGGAATCGTCACAGCTGCGTCGGAACTAATTCCTCTATACTCTTCGTTTTTGTACTTTATAGTAAAGGGTTGTCCATTTGGAGTGTGTTGTGGAGTCAAACCTATATCGTTGATTGAACTAGGAAGTGGTACCATTATATCAGCCATTGATGAATCGACTCGTAAATTCAACTATTTTAAACAAGTATGAGATTGATTCAACGTGGTACAAATTGATGTCAAACTACAATGCATGACATGGCATGATACATACATCAACTCCATGAACATTAAATTTTATTGTAAAACATTGAGCAACATCATCATCCAATTCAACGGGTGATCGTTTTGATAGCCTATTGCTTGATTGACTGATAATTTCAAAAGGTGAATCTAATGCAAGTCGAACTGCAGCAACTGCTTGTAACGCAAGTATAACGCATTCTAGAATAATCAACATTGTATCGAGTAATGTGATGAAAATGTATTGAATCTGATACATGACTGCTGTTTTATAATGACGGCAACTTCAAGGGTGACAGTCAACACTTTCAAATGGATATTCTGACAAACCCAGAAACACCATGTAGGGTGAACAAAGCCGAAAACACCCTGTAGGGTGAATCAATATACAAGCATCGCTGTTGGTGTATGATCAACCCCAGTAGTATATTGTGTTGATCTCTTTGATTGCGATCATGTATTCAGTAATCAGGTAGTATCAAATTGTCACCCTGATTATGGATAGTTATCATCACATATACAATCCATTACTACAACATATACTGTCACTGTATACCAAATATTTGACTGATTGTTTGATTTGTTCGAGCAATTCAAACCATGTGGAAATGGTTGTTGAAATATAAATATATATCATCCAAAGTTGATTCAGATTGTCGCTAGCTGTAGTCTGTTGATCTGTCAATGTGTGGCCATGTGTCAATGCACACAGTAAACTTGAAACCAACTTGCATAGTTGTCAATGTTCAAATCAAAGCCGCAAAGTTTCATTCTATTTATCATTGTTCATTGTTCATGGCTCATGGCTCACGGATAGCTGATCAATAAATCACATTCGACATGATTGACATGATTGTTTTGTTGGACATATCTCAGTAGATTTGGTTAGTTACGATTTCAATCAACTCAACAGCTTTGGAAATAACAGTGGTAGCGTAGTAAATGGTTTTAATAGCAACAATTCATATCGATTTTGCAAGATTTATATTTTTGATGTAGAAAATCATGGACTACAACACCGATGAATACGTATTCTCCAACAAGAACAGGAATGAAATTGTTTAATGATAAACGATCCCGAGTAGGTTTTGAAACACTTTCAGCTGAATTGTAAAAACTTAATTTCTTGTTTTAGGTTATGGATAAGCTTTACGAATTGTATTACAGTCCCAAGACTGGCTTCATTTCAGCGCAGAAATTATACTTGAAGCTGAACAAACAACTTCCAATGTCACAAATCAAAAAGTTTCTTGACCAGCAAGAAGTCCAACTTCATCAAGAATCACGAAGAAGGCCAGCATTCAGCCCCATAACTGTTTATTCAGTCAATGACCAATGGCAAGTGGATTTGATTGATTTGTCTAAATATGCAAGATGGAATGCTGGATACAAGTATCTCCTGTGCGCCATAGATGTTTTTAGTAGGAAATCATTTGTGGTGGCGATGAAAAAGAAATCAGATACTACAGATGCAATGAGAGTGATACTTGACGTGCAAAAGCATATTCTGATTCAAAGCGATAATGGCACAGAGTTTTTAAACAACAACTTCCAAAGCTTACTGCAAGCAAAAGGTGAGTAGTATATAAAGAGCACCGGATAGTACCGTTTTTGATAGGCGAGACTTAGTGCTAAAATCACATTAACTTTGCTGCAATTTTTTCTACCAAAATGTGTGATATTCATCCAAAAAAGCCGTCTCTTCAATTAAATAAGAATCTTAATACGGCTTTTAACCATCCTGGGGGTGTTGAATTTGCCGAAGTTTAAATATCGATTTCGCCTAATGTATATTATCTCGCTTTTAAAATCTCACCAAAATTGTAATTACCTCCCTTCTGTGCCATATCCATAACAAAGTAATTATTGAACGAAATATATTGACTTGACTACATTTTCTTTTCCTTGTCAGGCGACCCAGATTCCGAGCTTGAGCTTGCTGAAAGGTCCGACTCATCCTTCACAATCAGTTCATCTTTATCAGTGACAATACGGAAAATCGCTGCAATACTCTGCAAGTCATCAACATACTCTTTTGTAGTAAACTTTGTATGAGGAAGAACAACGAATGGCTTTTGAGAGCTAGTCTTAGGTAGTTGGGCATCATGAATTCTGTCATTAGTATCACAATTGAGCGATTTCAATCTATCCCATTGTCGAACAGAAAGACGAGAAGGAAGTGGTGTGGTAGTAAGCTGGATTCCATCTTTCGTCTTATAGTCCCACCAGAGGATAGGTCGTCCTGTATCATCACGTAATTGACTCGGTCTGCCTTGCTTAGCATCCTTGGCAGCCAGCACATCACCCATCGTAGGCTTCTTGTAAGTTGTGGGAAAATGATAGTCAAAGTAGATTTCAATCGCAAGAGCATCCAAATACTTTCTGCAAGACGCTTCCGTGCTCATTCCCTTGTAAGTGAGCTGTTTTTTGGAACTGCCGATAGGAGCTGGTATTGGTAATTCCAACACAGTCACCACCATTGGCTTCCAAGGGATTTCTTCCAAGTCAGTGACAAGAGTCTCGGGGTCAATTTCGGTGGTTCCATCGGGTTGAAAGAGAGTGAGGTGGTGAGGAGCATAGGAATCCAAGTCCGGGGAGAACTTGTTCTTGATAGCACCTTTGAACTCTGCGACATGAGTACATCCTTCTGTAGAGACTTTGTCCTTGTAGGTCTTGTTGCCGAGTGTGAGTTGAACGAAATGAAGCGTCATGTTTGAAGAAGAAGGTTACGCAAAGTTCCACCAAAAAAAGAAGGAAATGGAAGGATTATATGTTCGCTTCAAAGAGACTGACCATTCTATTTGGATTAGAGGAACTCATAAATATGGAATGGTGAAATCAGGCCCAAACTCAATGTCAAGTGCTTCGTTACGGAAGCTCTATACGGTTGGTGATGCCATCACTTCTTTCAAGACTGCCGTTGCTCCAGATGTGGATGGTTCCTCTATAAATCTTCATTTTGAACCAAGCAGAGAATCTATTTCTTCTGATTGTCTGTTGGCTGCGATTCAGTTGGAAAACTCGTTTGAAAATCCCCTCTATATCAAATCCACTCCACCAGTGAGCTCAATCAAATCCAAAGACTCTGAAGCAGTTAAATACGGCAAGAGAAAGGGTGAAATGTTTCTGGATAGAGAATCAGCAATTGATTTCAATCTTCAACCAACCACAACAATGACAACACCTCATAAATTGGTCAAACTTGAAGGTGTTTCATATTTTATGGAAAATGTCGGGCCGGAGATTACGTTGTGCACAGTTGGAAATCAAGTGACAGTAATGGATACTGTGGTGCCGAATTGACATTTCTCTGTGATAATGGATATGAACAGGAAGTCAAGGGCCCTTACTTGATGGGCTATGATTGGCGAGACTACAAGGCCTTAGTATCGCAGTTGAAAATGCCGGGACTGAACCAGAAAGCATTTAAAGTGACTGTTGGTACGAAGGTGGAAAAGAGAACTTCTGTGGGTGTATCTTACGACGACTTTGGAGAAATTGTCTATAAGGATGATGAATTTATCGTTGGCTCGGTTACTGCCCGAATTCGCAAGGAATGGTACAATGTGATGTACATCAAAGTTGAAAGCAGACATCAAGGATACAGATTCTTTCAGCTTACAAATAATTCAAAATTTGAAGAATAAAACTGAAAAAGAGTTTACAATTGAAATTTTGAGGCATGTAGAAAATATTACAGTTGTAATGTCTGACCACCTCGTTGCCTGGATCAGAAGAGTTGCTACTCTCAATGACACCGCTTTGGAAGAAGAGCTCAATTTGATCAACAAGAATTCACTTAATGCATTCGCTAGGGCAATCAGTCGCACACGTCGTCCCGAACTGGACTCTCATATTCACAGAAGTGGTGCGTATGAAGCACATCCCCACGCAGATACAATCAATTTATTATTTTCTGTTGGAGAAGCTGCATTATCTGCCATCAATTCAGACACACCGGTCAGTCCTGTTCCATATGCAGTGAGTCCCCATATGGATATTAGTGCAAGAATCAAAGTATTAACAAGAAGAACTGTCATTTACAAGTCCGAATTACCTACCAACAATCGTACTAACGGACTAACGGACCAATGCCAAAGTACCTGCAAATTAGGCAATTCATTGGACAAGACCTTTTCGCTCTTGAAAGTTGCTTTCTGACTCAAAAAGAATTTAGTAGTTACACCTTGCAAGCGCTTAAATGGAACTATACTATGTGTCACTTATACATTGGCTACTATCAGTTCCTCAATGACTATCCGGTGTTTGTTTATTCAGGATTACCTTGGACAACTATGCGTAATGAATGCAATCGCTGGAGAAAATGGCTCGATAGTGATGAATCGAGACAATTATCTACATCAGACTATACACATTCATTCTGGAGAGGAGCATTGCCTCCATATCGTGAGAATCAACCAGAGTCTGAGCCAAGCGAATCTCCTGCGAGCTTTCATTCATTTGAAGATGATAATCAATATGGGTTTGATTTTGGAAATGAAATGGTGCTTGCTACAAGCTTAAGCAATCTTAAAGCTGAATTATCCACTTATTCGCCTCTCTACAAAAATCCTCACTCATTTCCTGAGTTATTCGATGAGGACTTCTCCTACTTTTCTGCTGGAATCGAGGACAATATAATTCCAACAAACTGGAAACAAGCTATGGCTACTAAAGACTCCCAGAGTTGGAGACTAGCTGCCGACTTGGAAATGAACGCCCTTCATAAAAATCAAACCTGGATCGAGTGCCAGCTCCCAAGTGGACGAAAACCAATTCAAGTAAAATGGGTATTCCGGATCAAAAGAAATTCTGATGGTACTATCGACAAATACAAGGCTAGACTAGTCGCTAAAGGATTCGTTCAAATCCCAGGAATCGACTATAATGAAACATACGCACCAGTACTTCGTTTCACATCATTCAGAACACTACTTACTCTCGCCGCTATACTGGATCTAGAAATCGATCACACAGATGCTAACAATGCATTCTTAAACGGGGTTATCACTGAAGATCTTTACATCGAATTACCTGAAGGATACAACAACAATATCAACAACAAAGATTCGGGCAGAACTGTCGGAAAACTACAAAAGGCCCTATACGGACTAAAACAGTCTCCTCACAAATGGAACGAAATTCTTGTCCAAGAATGTACCAACTTAGGATTCATTCAATGCATCTCGGATCCGTGCATTATGATCAAACGTGATCAACATCTATTCGTCATGATCGCCATATACGTTGACGACATACTATTCATCGGAAACAATCGACCATATCTTGACGAAGCTAAAAAGGACTTATTCAAGGTATTCTCTATGAAAGACCTAGGACCAATCCATACATGCCTCAACATACGCGTTATAAGAGACAGGCAGAACAAAAGGATCAGCGTATCTCAAGAACATTATCTAAAGGAGGTACTGACAAGATTCAACATGACAGATTGCAAATCTGCATGTACTCCATTTGATCCTGGAATAGTTCTGACACCTGCTCTAGAAACAGAAAATACTACTGACGCGCCATACAGAGAAGCCGTTGGGTCATTAATGTACGCCATGGTTGCTACAAGACCTGATCTAGGTGCTGCTATCGGACTAGTTTCCAGATATCTGCACAAGTCAAACGACTCTCATTGGACCGCCGTAAAACGTATATTAAGATACGTAAAACATTCAATCAGCTACTCTCTTGTACTTGGTGGGGATTCCCCTACTCTAACAGGATATTGCGACGCTGATTGGGCAGGAGATGTAGACTCCAGAAAATCTACTTCAGGCTACGCATTCTTTATTGGAAATGGATGCATCTCGTGGAGATCAACAAAACAGACCTCAGTGGCTGTATCTACCATGGAAGCCGAATATATTGCAGCAGCTACGGCAACTAGAGAACTATTATTTCTCAGAACTCTGCTAAAAGAACTAGGATTCGAACAGCTAAATCCTACTATACTTTACTCTGATTCGCAATCTGCAATTGCAAATACTAAAAACTTGGCTCCAAATCATGCTGCTACAAAGCATATGGACGTGAAACTAAAGTTTCTTCGCGATCAAGTAACAAACAAAACAGTATCGGTCGAATACGTAAAAAACAAACGATCAAGTCGCCGACATACTTACCAAAGGATTACCACGGTTCGCCTTTGACAAGCTTTCAGACCTACTCGGACTTTACCCTGTTCAAGGCGTGGTGGGGTGTTGGAATATCCAGACAGATATCCTTAAGCGGTAACCTGTGGCAAAGCTAGTTCTAAAAAGCGCCAAACTTAAACACAAGTTAAATCCTTTCATCACCAAAAATCCATGTGCACAGTAACTCCATTACACTCATTTCTAGGACTCGAGCTCTCTATAAACGGGTAGACGATGCCATTATTAAATTTACTAACTCCAGAAATCAACACTATTGGTTGTAACTCTCGTTTACAACCTCTCATCATCAAACGTGTTAATTGTTCGTATCACAAGACACAAACAATCAACTACTATAAAAGCTAGAATGCTTACTCTTATCAATAAATAACTCTTCAAACTATTTCATCTGTCCAACTACCTTATCAAACCCTTTTCACTACTCTTGAAAAGACTAAGTCTGTTGATTTTGATTTCAAGTGCAACTTCCTCTTGAACTTCTGATTTGTTCTCTTCTGATAACTACTAACAGTTACAGATTATATTCTACTTTATACTTTATACTATTCCATCATTAAAACAAATCACGAAGCTCTAAATATTCTGACACAAATGACACATTGTGTGATTCCATTTGAACATTTGCCGAGTGTAATCAACAAACTCCTGATTTGGAAAGCAGCCTTTGAGAGCAAGCAGGTCTTGCCCAATGAATTGTCTGATTTGCAAATATCTCGGCATTGGTCCCATTACACGATTCTTGTTTAGTAGTTCTGACGTGTATATGTTTATTCGTCAGGTCAAGATCTTGATTCTGGCATTGACATCCATATGGGGACTGACTGCGTAAGGGACAGGGCTCACTGGTGTTTCTGAATTGATCGCAGACAGTGTAGACTCTCCAATAGAAAGCAACAAATTGATTGTATCTGCGTGGGGATGTGGTTCATACGCACCATTTCTGTGAATATGAGAGTCCAGTTCGGGACGACGTGTGCGACTGATTGCCCTAGCGAATGCATTGAATGAATTCTTGTTGATCAAATTGAGCTCTTCTTGTAAATCAGCATCATTAAAAGCAGCAACTCTTCTGATCCAGGATATAATCTGCTGACATTTATAGTAAACAATGGAAACTACAATTGTAAACTCGGAATTACAATTGTAATAATGTAAGAGCCACAAAATTACAGTTGTAATATTTCCAATCACTATAAGACCAAGACTTTTGCCATTCGACCAGGTCTTGATCAATTCACAATATGCAGTGTCAATCTCAATGAAAAATAGCATACTAGATTGTTTGCATAGATTATCGGATAAGAATATTGACCGAAAAGGCAATACTACTCTACAAAATCAGTTGGGAGATGAGTGGCATTTGGTGAGTAAACTGAATTATGTATTGGATGGGTTGGATATGAATAAAAACGATTAAGCAATGTTATCAAGTAAATTCAATTTACATCAAGGATTTTATTGATTGCCTTTAATAACTAATAGAACTGCTGTTCTTAAACCCAACTGAGAGATTCCAATTTCTTTGAGCTTCTCATCAGTCAATGCCAGATCGCCAGTGGCCATCAATTGGGTGAATTTGACTCTCTGTTTTCCAAGACAGTCCTTGATAAGCTGAATTTCATCATCATCCAGTTCTTGTTGAATCTTCAACTTGTCAAAGAACTCCTCGATTGTTGTGAACTTGGTGGTCTGCTTCTTGGGAAACTCTTCGAAACCTGCCAGGACATAATACAAATATCCTTGAATCAGGTCTTTCACATCAGTCACAACGACTGGAGTTCCTTCGTACAAGCGGTAGAGTTTCTTGACTTTCAGAGCCAATGGGAATTTCTTCTGCACTGCTTCAATCAATGCGGAGAGAGAAGAAATGGTAGAAACCTCCAAGTCGTATTCTTCGTCTCCACGTTTGACAATGATGTGCTCTTCTGGGACAGCGGGAATCCATCCTTTTGCAATGCCAAAACCAGTAGTTGCATTTGCCATACTAGCGAATGTTTCCTTGACAACTTTCTTCAAAGCTTCAGTAGCAGCAGACCCACCAAAAGAGATTTCGTCAAGTTCCTTTTCCAGAAACTCTCCCGAGGATGGATCCCTTTCCAAAGTTGGTAAAGCTTCTTCAATAGTGATCGAGTTGTATCGGCTTTCTTCGAAAACAGCGCTCGCTTCGCTCCAAACAATAGCAGCATCATATTTGATTTTTAGCAGTTCTCTGAGGTATTCAAGAGAAGAGGGAAACTGCTTCGGATGTCCCTGAACTATTGCCTGAGTGATTCCGGTGTCTGTTCTTTGGATTTTGGCAAACAACCTTGCTCCAGAAAAGTATTCGACAAGCAGAGTCTTGAGCCCTGGTAAGTCTGAATTGATTGTTGCCTCCACAGACACCCTTGGAGTATTCAGTGAGAGAAAGGAGTGAGCTGTTGAAATCGGTGTATTATGGCCAGACATTTTTTGTCTGGAAGGAAAGCAATGTGGTGTCACTATAAATTTAGACTTGTGAATGAATAAAAACTGGTATCATTCGGTGCCCTATATATACTACCAATGATGAATCTACAGTAGTGCAGCCCAGCATAGTAGAAAGGGTATGGTATACTTTTACCAAATGGCTCTGTACTGGAGCAGATAGGATCATACTAAAAACGGTTGGTCCTGACAGTTGGAAAAGTACAACGTTTATGTTTTCATGGCAATTGAAGTTTCATCAAATTTTACTGCAGCTTATAAAGATACCAGTCTATTAGCTTGTATAATTCAACTAGTGATATAGATTGACTCTTTAAATATAGAATCGTGAATGTGTGGTTGATCGCCACTACTTTATAGTTTAAGCTTATATAAAACATATCCCAGATACAGGCCTAGTACGCAAGAGTATCTGTAGAGTCGGGGCAACCAATGCTTATCGCTCCATCTATATAGTACTTGGCTCTACTGTCATTAGATAGTAGCTCATTTGTGCCATTCGGGTAATAAATAGTGCGCACTCCTTGCGCATCCGTGTGTTGAATCTTTCCATCTGGAAACACAACTTCTTCCTATAAACATCAGTGAGGTGTGTATTGTATTAGATTTCATGTTTGTCATGCAAGGTATTGCAGCTCATTAAAGTACGTTTACCTCTTGTGATGCAAAAATGTATTTTATGGTTTGATCTGGAAAAATAATTTGTTGAGTACCGTCCAAGTATCGTTTCTCAATCTGACCACTATCAAACTGTAAAATCTCTGCACCATCTGGCTGTGTGGTGTGTAGCGTCCTTGGCTCGTTATACCAATATACAAGATGTCCATCGGGATGCATCTACATGGTTTCGATGCCAGTTGTTGAGTAAATTGATCAGTCAAAAAGTCTTCCAAATAGTATATTCAAAAACGATTGAATCCATCCTATTACCGTTTTATAATCTCCATTTGAAAAATAAACAACCTCAAGTCCATTTGTTCGTGTCTGCTTCATGGTACCATTGATATGCCACACGAGTCGAGTACCTCCTTCATAAAGTCGATCGCGTTTTCCTTCTGGGAATGATCGCTCCTAACAGAAATAGATTATCACACGAATTTTGTTAATTGGTATGAAACTCGGTAAAAAGATGGTGGTTTATGTTTACAGAATGTAACCGCAGTTTGTCTAACCTCGTTACATTTAGGCAACCCCAAAGTTTTTTCCAGTCGATTCAAAGCATCAATTGACGGATGAACAGGTGTGGCGGATGGCTTCAATAGTGCTCTAGGAACAGCTTTGGTATTTGTATTTCCAGATGAAGAAACAGGTTTGTATCGCATGGATGATTGCGGCATGTCACTTTTGATTAATGTGGATTTAGTAGTCCGAAGTGGAATTTGTGTTGTAGAATTAGGATTTGGCTGAGCAGAAACAGATTTGATTGTAGAGTGAGTTGAATCTAAAAGAGTTCTGTGAGACTGATTAGTCAAGTGAGGTATAAAATTGGCTCGTTCCTGTTCCAGAGTCTTGACTTCCTCTAGCAACTCCGTGTTGCGACGGGTAAGTTCGCCCACCTTGCGATTTAATCGATCCTGTGTTTGCAGCAATCGCATCTCTTTATCTTTCCATACTTTCAGTTGTTCAGTTAATTGTGCCTTTAGTGCGTCTATTTCCTGACGCTCTCTATCATAATATGTCATTCAGTGGCATAGGAGCATACATGGTGAGTCACAGTTTAAAAATGGTATATTCAACATATAGTACCTTTTGTTAGGAAGAATCTCAGTTGCTTTCTTGTTTCGCTCCCAGAGCAAACGCTCTTTTCTAAACGTACGCATATTTTCTTCATGCTTGGCATTGATAATGCGTATCTGCTCTAGCCTGTATTGCTCAAATTCATTCTACATATTTTAAAACAATCAGAAAATCAAAGGTCTGAATAGCTGATGGAGAATATCAAAGTCAAACCTTGTTCAAATTTTTTTCGTTCAACTTAATTTGAAGGTTACGATTTTCCTGTGTCAAACTCTTGTTGGTTTGGTCACGTATTTTGATATCACGTTCCAAATTCTATATAGATTGCATTGCAAGTAATTGAGCCAGCATGTTCGTATTATGTCTGAACAGTCGTTGAGATATAATCATGTTTTAAGACCTACCTCGAGTTTTTTCTTGAGTTGCTGGTTTTCTGTTAATGTAGGGTTGGAAGCTTGAGAAGTGTGTTGCAACGGTGTTTGCTTTATAGATGAGTTCATGGCGGGAAAGAGTTTTTTTAGTAGTGTAGATTGAATGACTAGTGGCTCGTGTGCGAGGTCAGAATTTAGACTCCTTTCAGACACTTCATGTGTTTCGTCAGGAACCTTTCCGTCGCTCCAATCAATTGTATCATCATCACAACTCTCACTTTGAGTGTAGTTGGACAAATGCACTTGATCTTCGTACTGAGATTCTCTGCCATCTGAAATATGGTTTACCAACAAGCATTAGTCGCGGCTATTTTGTAATATAAAAGCTAGCAGTCACTCCAAATACTCCAATCCGATTGTAACCAAAGGTTGCACCAATACTAACCATATTGGTCTTCCTGTTTGAATGATGACGTAGCATGTGAAGACTTGTTTTGAGAAGATGAACATGTCTAGTGAATTAGTGGTAATGGCAATATGTGGGTATATAGTGAGCTAACTCGAAGCAATAAATATACACTCACCAGTACCATAGAGTCGTCTAGAAATTTTTGGAGAGTAGAAGTAGACTGTAGTTTAGAAGGGCGAGCAGGTGAGGTGTTTGTAGAAGCAACATGATCTGCAGCAGAGCCAGTGCTACTGCTTCGAAAAAGACCAGTATGATGTGATTTCCGTACAGAGTCCACCAGCAATAACTCCAACTGTTGAAACTCCAACAGAGATGAAGCAGCGTCAGCAGCAATGCGTAGCCATGACTCTCTATGACCAGTCAAGATGGTTGACGCAGACATTGAATCGGACACATTCGAACCAATATTATTGGAAAGAGCAGAAAGTGAATGACAAGACTGGCCAGCCATACGAAATGGTATTCAAACCGAGTATCAAATGGTTAGTGACAATGTCAAGCAAGTCATGGTTCGAGTCGGACTTGAACAGTTACTCACACTGCTGTCAAAATGAGAGAATGCAGCACAAGTTTTGTGCATTGTCTGCAGTGAATGATCAGCAACTACTTTTTCTACAGATAACATGAGTTTTATGTACTTTCAAAGAACTTGAATATATGTCAAACTGCAGATTCAAGATATCAAACTGCCAGATTCGAGTTTTTTGGAAAACTGATTTTTGGCAGATTAACAGTTTCTTTGGCCATTGAATTACTGCCATGGCTGACAGGAACCAGCCATCTGCATCGCATTCACTCGACTTTCAACACTTGTTGAATACTCAAGGCGCTTCCATCTCAGCAGATGGAAGTGGTGGTGATGGCGACTCATTGCATGAAACCAGTGGAATTGTTTTCCCTCACCAGGAAGAGTCTGTGACCCAGATCGCCGTTGATATAGGCGGCAGTCTGGCTAAAGTCGTTTGGTTCTCAAAGTCAAAAGACACTGTTGGTGGTCGTTTGAACTTTTGCAAGTTCGAGACGGTTCATATTGATCAATGCATTGATTTTATCGACACTCTCTTGAATGAATGTCCTGTTCATAGTCGAGTCATTCAAGGTTTTTTGATGCACTCTTGTCTGTCATGTATATCTGGTTTATATACTTTTTGATCATAAAAGGCTAATCTACTTGTTTCCGTTCAATTCTAATAGCTACAGGCGGTGGTGCTCATAAATATGAGGGTATCCGTCGTTATTGTCATGGAATTTGATTGCACTGCTGCTTTTATTATGGCCATCATTGTGGATTTCCTAACTTTGGCTATATATAATAGATTTGTTTTTAACTAAATTCGGAATCCAGATTCAAAAGGAAGACGAAATGGAATGGTATACTCTTCAGATTCCCATTTATAGTACAAGTTTGTTTTGTACAGTATTTATATACCAATATTTGCTATTGTTTTCAATAGTTTAATCACCGGGCTCAACTTTCTTGTTCGTCAAATTGCGTACGAGGTGTTCACATACGATGAACGTCGCCCTGAGCCTATCCAATTTGATAACCATCGTGCCAGTGAACTATTTCCTTACCTTTTGGTAAACATTGGATCGGGTGTTTCCATCATTAAAGTTACAAGCGAAGAATCGTATGAGCGAATCAGTGGTGAGCTACTTTGGTTTATTTCAGTGCAATGGATCGAGTACAATTGGCCATATTTTAATCATAGAATCTGCTCGTTTTATACTACAGGTACATCGCTTGGTGGAGGAACGCTATGGGGTCTTCTTTCCCTTTTAACCGAAGCTAAAGACTACGACAAAATGCTTGGTAATATCACATATCTTGGTATTGTATCCACATCATTGTAATCCAAATTGACATGTTATTAGAAATGTCAAAAAAGGGTGATAACAAAAATGTGGACATGCTTGTTGGCGATATTTATGGAGGGTAAGTTGTATATTTGTTTGAACAGCCAAGATGGTAGTTTCCATTTTGGTACTAGGCCATGCTTATTATACTGAAAGGCTCGATATATAAATGTTGACTTGCATAGCGATTACTCTAAAATCGGACTAAAAGGAACAACTATCGCGTCTTCTTTTGGAAAGGTGTTTAAAACGCCTGCCGAAGAAAGAAAAGGAAAGTTTAAAGAGGAAGATATTGCAATTTCTTTGCTATACCTTGTCAGGTAAATTACTGTTTTACTGTTAAATGGTTATAACTGGCAATTTTTTGAATCTATTTGTGAAGCTTTCATGTTGATTTGCTTCTTGTTAATGTGCTAGCAACAATGTTGGGCAAATCGCATATCTTAATGCTCAATCCCATGGAATCCAAAGGTAGATCAACTGGTAGAAATTTTCATCATACCACTAAAACATTGTGATTCGCTGATGTGTGTTGAGATGCATTTAGAATCTACTTTAGTGGCTTTTTCATTCGAGGTCATCCCATCACAATGAACACTCTCAGGTATATTTTAATTATATTATTGACTGGTGATTGATGGTTAATATAGTAGTGCCTTATAAATCCTTCTGTATGCTGTATTAGTTATGCCATTTCGTTCTGGTCCAAGGGCAAGATCAAAGCTCTTTTTTTAAGACATGAAGGTTATCTTGGGGCTGTTGGTGCATTTCTTCGCCATACTCCCAGCAAAACAAAACTTTCTTCTTTTACAGAAAACTTTAGTCAGATTCAGAAAATTTCGGGCTCTAGTTTGAGTGCCTTTGGCGCACTCGAGGAATATCCATCAGATCTTTGTCAATTTCCTTTGCTTGCCGATCCAATAGCCTATGTTCCAGATACATCAAACCTTCACGAACTCAAGCTGCAGTCTTATTGGATCGATATAGTGGATATCAATCTTGAGCATCTTGTGGATATCGCTCTCAAGTGGGATGTTCAGTCCAAAGAAGCTGTTTCGGGTCGAGCAAAAACATTTGTAAAAATGTACCGTGAGCATTTAAAATTGCTGCGTAAAGAACCTAATGCTTACGGAGTGTTGACTGTTCGTAGGTAAGTTTAATAAGCATGGCCAATGTCTACGTTTGCTCCCATTTCATCGAGACTAGATTCGAGTGTATCGCTTACTTTTCTTGACTAGTCTTTTAAATCTACGCGAACAATGCTTGCGCGAAATGGGCTTTTCTGACATTTTCCATGGTATCAAGCAGAATGAAAACAACGCTGCACTTGAAGGACTACCCATACTTCTTGCTAAAACAGATTCATTACCAGAGAATCAGCGTTTAGATGTTATCTTAGATAATATACTTGCAGGTGTGATTATGGTTTTATTTAGTCGAGTCTATAAAGTCATCAAATTAACTATATTTGAAACCATTCTAGGGAACATGTTTGATTGGTAAATTTTTGACAGTAGGGTTCAATTTTAAAAAGGATTGGTGTTGAGTTGTTTTATGCTATTATATGGTCGCATAGGGGTGCAATCGCCATTCAAGAGATGCTTGAACGCGGCGAACTAGACTTTAAAGCTGCCAAGGTATTTTACTGATACACTATTTATTTAAAACCATTTTGGTATTTTTGGTTTGTTGACTTTTTCGTTTTTGGTGATTTAAATACCAAGGATCGAGTCGCTCGCCCAGCCAGATTGAACAATTATACAGAGTTCAAAAAAAAAGTAGAAAGCGCTAATGGATATGAAAAGGCTATTATTTTTGTGGACAACTCTGGTGCAGATATTGTGTTTGGTATTATTCCATTTGCTAGGTATTTAGTGTCCAAGGGAACCGTTGTTATTCTTGGTGCAAACACCCATCCTGCTGTCAATGACATTACGGTATGTTTGAAATGATTCAGGTTTATCGTTTTCAAGGGGTCTAGTTATTGTAGTATCTGGTACAGGTAGTGTTGATATTTAATGAATCTATATATTGTATAGGCTACAGAACTGGAAGCCCTTGTTATCAAAATCAGCCGAATTGATCCTATTATACGGGATGCGTGGACGACAGGGAGAATTCAAGTTTTTGGAACAGGTAGCTGCTCACCATGTCTTGACCTCATGCGTGTAAGCAAAGATCTATCTTCTTTTGCTGCGGATGCCGATTTGGTTGTGATTGAAGGAATGGGTCGAGCAATTCACACCAACTATTTTGCCAAGTTTACTGTGGATTCGCTCAAGATTGCAGTGTTCAAGAATCCACAAATTGCATCTGAACTTGGAGCCAAAATGTACGATGGCATGTGTTTGTTTGAAAAAGCTTGATTTTGATTTATACTGTTGGTCTTGTTGTATATCGAAAATCACAATTGACAAGAATCTTACAGTGGAATAAAGTGCTGATTCAGCTATTTCATGTTTGAATGGATTGTATTTATAAAGTTTGCTTGGATGAGCAGTTGATGTAATACACGACACAACAGTGATTGATGATTACAAACAAATTCATCAGAAACAAGAATAATCGAGACATCTAGTTATAAGATGCAAAAGGATTTATTTACGAGATTGCTTTTTGATGGTCCATAATCCAAAAAAGTAATTAAGACGGATCATAAGAAGCTGCACCAACATCTCGATCGAATCACGGAGCAGTGACATTTTACTACCATCTACTTCATGCCAATCAATAGGAACCTCAGTAACAGGTATACAGAGTTTTTCAGCAATAACTAAAATCTCAATATCAAAAATCCACCCTTCGACATGCATGCAAGGGAAAATCAGTTGTGCTGCCTGGCGAGTGAAGAGTTTGAATCCACATTGAGTATCTTTGATGCTTTGAATTCCAAGAATGTACACAACCAAATGAAATCCCCGCATTAAAAAATTACGAATAAATGATCGCTAATGCATATCGATAGGGTTTCAGTAGTGTAGAAAAATGAGTTAAATTGAAAATCATAAAGTATATACAGCAGAGAATAAACTCGACTCTTGACAATGGTATCCAACCTTGACAACAGATTCCGAGTCAACCATATGCGCACGAGATCCAATGGCAATACCAAGCGACTTTGTTTTATTAGCAGCCAATTCCTTTTCCAGTTTGGCAAGATCTTCAAATTTACTTGCACCATCAGCATCTGCAAACAGAATGAAATCACCTCGACACCCAAGAATACCCTAAAGCAGTTGGTATGTGGTTTCAATAGTAAATACCTACAACTAGATGAACAGATAGATACAGTGACAAAATCAACTATACAAAGCTTTATGCTCACCTGGGTAACAGCACCACCTTTGCCTCGATTCCTTTCAAGTGTCATGACACGAATCTCTCGCGTAGCATTTCGTTGAGGATTTTTGGCATACTTCTCGGCATGCGTCTTGGAAAGACCTAATGCAATCTCTGTAGTCTTGTCTTTGCTTCCATCATCCACTATAATAATTTCATATGAGAAATGATCTGCATCCTGTCGAGAATCCAGCACTTGAACTGCTTCCTGGATCATGGTGGGCAAACGATCCTGTTCCTGATAAGCAGGCACTATGACGGACAAGTGAATAGGAGTAGATGAAGACTCTTTAGAAGAGCCCTCAAAGGATGGAAATGGTTTCAAAGTCTTTGTAGATTGGTCTATGAATTGACGCTCAAGAGCAGTTGCTATACGAGGCTTTGGAGAGAGCAGCACAAGCGATGCAATGGTTAGCGCTGCCAACGAGACCAGAATACCTGTCATCACATTAAGCGATACAAGAAGATGTGAGATACCCGACATGGCAGAATAGTAGGAAACTTTTAACAGAACAATCCTCAATCCTCTGGTAGTTGATGTACAAAGCCAGTTTTAACGGAATGTTATAAAAGAAAAGGAAAGGAAAGCTGATCTAATCCCGACCTCGGCTGCATTGAGTATCAAATCACCAGGCATTCAAGTCTTCAAGATTGCATTGGCTTCACTGCCAGGTCAGCCATAAAATGTATGGACCAGCAATCACTCGTTCTTGACTCCAAAACTTTAACGTTTATTCCATATCTCTTGCATATTCTTATTGAATAGACAGCATCGCAGGTCAAACAATAAAGTAAAGATGGCCAATTCTTTATTCATAAATGGATAGTCACATAATTCAGCTAAATGGTGTATTTATCGCTATTGAAACTGCTAATATAGTTAAAATAAACGCATTAATATTAAAAGCCATTAAACTATTAAATGCCAATCAAAAGGCATCTCCAAAGCATTGATACAAACCTAGATTTTTTCTTTTGAGGGTCAGAGTGACTTAGATAGCTGATGATCTCGGTAGTAGGCAAAAACTTTTTCAGCTCCTCACTAATCACAATTGAAACCATTAATGCATTGAAAATACGTGCATAGCAACGACATCAGCGCCAATAAACAATCGTATAAGCATACCCAATCTTCAAGCACTTTTCTCGATCTTCAGCATCCCGTGTCCAGACGGAAATACGATCGTGTGCTCTACGGTTAGATACAACGATTCCAGTAATTTCATCAGAGTATGTGAATTGCTCGCCAATAACAGCCATCATCTGAATATTAAAACACCATTTATCCAATTAGATTAGTCAACCATCAATTGATTAACAATGCCATTCAAATCAATTAAAGTCGCAGTCAGTCGATACAATCAATATACTGACCGTATTCAGCCAGAACTTGTCCAGATCTTGTACTCTTCTTTGCTTTGTAATGGCAAACGACCATTTTCCGCCTTTGGAATTGGCTTTATCTTCCCACGCAGGTTCAATCCCCTTTCTAAACAAATGATAGTTGCCCGCCAGTGGAATATCCAATGCTCCAATGACATTGTTAATCACTCTGTCAAATCAATAGTAATTTGGTAAGTATACAACAAAAGAATCGACTACAGCCAAGCAAAGCTATTGATGAGATCGTGATATAGGATCGCAGTAAGTTCATCGTTATTCCAAACACAATTCTATCCATTGCCATGAATACTAGTATGTCATTCTTGCACTTCCTAAAGCAAATGCAAGGATCTACGATAACTGGACATTTAAAGTGCCATGGTCAAGCAAGCATAGGATTCATTCCCACACACTGACCCAATATTCAACAGCAACAGAAAGTAGTAACTGACCCCCAAAAGTCTTCAACGGTATCAAACGAAATGATTTCTTTTAAATTGGAGCTCCATTCCTTTACACTTGACTTTTTGTTGGGACTGTCGAACCACAAAGTCCACGCACTCTGCAGAGGATGTTTGACAGTCATTGAATCTATATCATCAAATGCTGTGACCTGCTCTTCGACCGCCTGTTCAACAGACTGTGTTTCGTCATCTGCTGCTGCCATTGCTATTTCGACAAAAGATGTTGAAAAACAATCCTGACAAAAACTGCCAAAATTTCAATGTCAATTCAAACACTAGTTTGTGCACGTGACAATAGTCTCAAACTAAAATTCATTTTTATTTGCTACATCAAAATCACTCCATCGCAGCCATCTTGAACGTTTCGTTATCACGTTTTAATTGCGATAAAATGTATGAATCTTTGTATCTTCACCACCACTGCATATAAGATCTCCTGACCAATCAAGACCAAATACTTTGCAATCAGGCTCAGCTCCGGCTAGGGAATACACGGCACTGGAGCTACGTACGTCCCATACTTTGACTGTTGAATCGTATGACCCGCTTGCAAGATTAAACGTAGACGTGGGTGACCAAGCAACGCAGGATACCCAGTTGGTGTGCGAGGAAAATTTCATTTTTACGACCAGACCATCTACATAAATGTCAGAGTTGTATTAGGATATAAACCACTAATTGCTACACAACAAAGTGGCAATCTAATTAAAAGGTTAATAGATGTATACCTTTAGAACGAGGATCCCATAAACGCACAAGATTATCAGAGTGTCCAGTCACAATCAATCCAGACTCTTTGGAAAATGCAAGGCAATTGACAGACTTTTCACAGTTCTGTCATGATAAATTAATTCCATAAAGTACCAAATCCCGCAAAATTGTTGGTCAACATCAGTTCGTATGTGGCGGATTCAACATAAAAATACAAATCTACTTGCCATGGTTGATGTATTTGACTGAGATTCAATATCCCACACACGAACAGAATGATCTAAACTACCACTGAATATAGTGGTGTTGTTTGAATCAGACCCAAAAGCAACGCAAGTAACAGCTGCAGCGTGTCCTTCTAAAACAGTATCAGACGTCTAAAATAATAAAATGATCGAATATTGACAGTCAACAACAAATAGAAAATCATGCATCAACATGATTTGCATAATGACAGTCTACCTTGATGTTGCGCTTCTGGGAAAGCTTTTGCCGTTTTTTTGATGATTTTTCAACCTCGACCTCTTCTACATCTTCTGGATCAGTGTTCCAAATTCGAATGGTTTGATCCCAAGATCCAGTTGCAAACTAGAGTTGGGTTAGAATAACAAATGATTTAAAATACAAGTCTAGCCACAAATATAGCACAGTCAAGTGTAAAAACGTTAAAATGGCTCACAAATGCTGCATCATTGCTAACGACAATGGATTCTACAGAGCCACGATGATCTTTGCATTGATACGACAAGCTAGCCTCTCCTCCATCTTCAGATATCTATATATATTAGCAAATAAGCATGCTATGTTTTAGAATATCATTTGCAAAAACTCGTCAATATTGAACTTCAAATCGTAGCATACGTGGAATGCAGAAATCGTCTGGTCTTGACTTGCAGACAAAATATACGTATCGGATGTAGAGGAAATATAAGCCCAATCTACCGACTTTATAGGTGCAGTATGCGCAGACAAGGTTTGGATGCACTCCCCAGATTTAGTCCAAACACGAGTACGATTATCAAATGAACCAGTCAAAATGAACGGTCTTGAATCAAAAATATATTCAGTGTCAGTAGTAGAAGCAGTTGATTGTTTCAACACCAAGCAATACATTGCACCTAGTGGGATGAATCTTGATGCAGGAAATCCAATCGTCCTGTTGGAGAATTGCAGTATTCTTGGGTGGAAGACTTGCTTCAACAAACTCAATCCGTAAAACGTTTTCCTATTAAAATAAAGAGATTGAAACTCAGTACACTTGCCAAATGTTTTTGAAACAATGCCAAAGATATCCAAATAAAGTTTCGATTACAACAATTTAACATACCGTTGACAATGAATGCGAATCAATGGTATGCTGCAAAGAAGACTTGATGAATTGACCATTAATGATAAAATCGAATGGTACGGGTGTTTCTAAATATTCATTCGGATAGTTGTGTAGAACGCAAAGAAATATCGGTTGAATAAGGACTGTAAAATTCTATACAGTGCATGATGGATCATAAGAGTTTTTAAAAGCAATTGATGGCAATTGTTTTTAAAACTGCATCAATCCGTTCAAGACAAGTTTATTGTCAACATACCCAGATTAAGCAAGTGACCAATAATTTCCGAAAGTCCGTATCGTTTGAGCGAAGTTGGCACAAGGATCGGAGTGTCAGTAACGGCATACTTGGACTGTCTTGAAAAAAAGACCGCTTGGATCTTTCTTCCATCCACTCCGGTAGATGGTGTTGCAGAAGCACTAATTTCTGGTTGTGCCATGATTGTAAAAATTAAAAAAATTGGGCAAGTCGAATTTCAACTTTTTTTGACTGCTTGTCTGAATCGCTGGCATCTGTACAAGTGATTTCAGTTTCTATAATTCGCTTGATAATCAGTCGATAATGTGCACACCAACATTGCTGAGAAGTCTGTCTGTGCGATCTAACTGCACCGTAGTCTCGCATTTGTCAACTCTGCGGATGGCTTCGACTCGTTCTGCCGTTAGTCTTGCTAAGCCATCTACTCACACTAGTACACTTGCTCAAGTAATGGGAAATGCTGGCGTATGTGCTGCAATTCTGTCAATGCCTACATGCTTTAGCCCAATGAGTGGTCTGAACTTTTCTTCCACAGGATTGCCATTTGAATTGCCTCGAAATACTCCTACATCGACAATAGTAAGCTGAACAAATCAATTGCAAAAAACTTGATCTACTCATTACTATCGAGTCTTTTAATATAATACTAAGTCGAATTCTCGTTTACAATAGACTGGTGCATCTTTATCAGAATCACTTGAAGTCAGTTCTTTTTCAGTAGAGGCTTTGATACGATCGCTTTTATCATGCACCATTAATGTCGATGATGATGATGGGGTAAGATTTTGACTTGCTTTCTACTAGTGGCTTGATAGATGGCATGAGGCATACCCTTATGTACATTAAAAATAGTATACTATTGCAATGCTATATATTGTTGCCCAGATTGCTGAGTCTATACTTTCAATGTAATCTATTAAAGTAGGGCTAATTGCGCTGATTGTCAATGTTGTCATACAAGGTATAACGCATTGGATTTAGGATTTATACAGACTTTGGGTGCATTCAAAGCTACTCTTATTTAGAACTCGATATCTGTGTTAATAATAGTTTACTACGGAGCAACTGATCTGGATATTGATGGATTAAAACAGTGTCTTGCCAAGACAATTTCAATACAACATTTTATTCTCGGCCATATTCACGTAAAATGAAACACTTGTATTTATCTTTGGAATAAACTGGCTTGAGAAATTTGATCAAAGTTTGCCCAACAAATGACATTGACAGCAGTGGATAGGTTTGTGACTGAACTTGTGCCAAGTGTATGGATATTGGGTTCAACTTGTTTAGTGACTTTTAAATATCTTGCACATAGACAGGCAATCTATCTGGATCCAGCCATCCGCAACTGGGTGCTCTTGCCCATCATGGTAGTTATGGTGCTGGTTGGTGTGCTCAGACACCATGCTACTTATCTGCTTCAAAGTACTCCAAAGGCCAATCTTAAGCAGCTCAGAGAGTCGTAAGTGCATATGGTCTAGCATTCATTCAAGTCGCCATTGCAATCACCATGAACATTTCAAGACTCTTTCCAGCAGTTCAGAATCTAGATGTACTAACAGCATCATGCTTTATCAATGGAGTATAGGGCTTCACTTATGCGTGCACGACTCCTTAGATCCCCCAGTGCAGCAGATCTACCACTCTCTGCCTTTGTATCTCGAAAGACATTTCTGATCCAGGCTTTTGAAAAAGGAGTCTATCTCAAAACCCCTGTGGTTGAGGGCACACCTCAAAACCCAATGACAGAGCCTGGTGCCATGGATCCTATGATGGACATGATGAAAAAAAACATGGCCATGATTGTTCCACAGACCTTAATCATGAGTTGGATCACCTTTTTTTTTACTGGATTTGTATTGAGTGAGTCGAGCGTTTTATACTATCTGAGTAGATGACCCATTAACCAATCTGTAACTTCAGTTTGACAGTCTTGTTCATTATACTCACGTATTGAATAATCTTTATAAATAGTTCGTCTGCCATTTCCATTGACATTGCGGTTTAAAACTATGCTTCAAAAGGATATTCAAACTAGTGATATGGATGTCACTTGGGTATCTGCATTGTCATGGTATTTTTTGAATCTGTTTGGTTTGCGTAGTATTTATACATTAATTCTTGGAGATGCTGATTGTATGTATACGCCTACTTGACGATAGTATACTGCCATTTTTGGTTGTTTTAAACTGTCAAATGTGATTTTGATGGTACTTGTTTTTAATCCAAATTTTTCCAACTGCCTTTTAGCTGCTGATGGCATGCAAGATATGCAGCAAATGCAAATGGGTTCACCTCAGCCGATGCAGCAGCCAGCAGAGATTGCTAAAATGTTTGAAAGCGAGAAAGAGTATCTTGATCTAGCGGTTCATGTTTGGGGCATTGAAAATGCCGATGAGATTCTTTTACGAAAGTTTGGCAAACTTCCTCCTTTGACTACCGGCAGCAAGAAAAACAATTAGTATGGAATAAATCGATACTCATTACTTTAGTATTAGAGTACTTTGTATACGCGTATAAACTGCAGTTGCATGCTGAATTGATGTGCATATTGCAGTGCATATTGCAGTGCTATCTATTCAAACAAAAATACCTGGTCCTGGTCCACAGACCGACAATAACCACTGAATGATGCTGTTTTATTTGTGCAAAGTTATCTGATTAACTCGTCTAAAACAGTATCATCCAGTGCTCTTTATATCTATTCTTGCTTAATTCTCAGCTCTCATTTCCTATAAATCAAACATTGAGTGATTGTCATGGAAACAATATTCATTTCTGAGATGCAGTCTTGAATTAGAACGCGAACGTATCCGCAAGATTTAGGACACAACAAGAGTTGTATTGACAACACCAAGACAGTCAAGCCAAACTTGGTGATTGTACAATGCATGACCATGCCAAAGATGGAGAAATGGTGAGTCTGATTGTGTGCATTATAAAACGTTGTGTTTTGAAAAATCGAGAATGCCAATTGAGGTCGATTTCTAATATAAAGACAGATTGAATAGTTGATTTCTATTTATTCCAAACCAAGAGACAATCACTGCAAGATAAATACAAGTGTTGCATTTTACGTGCCTACAGCTGCAAGTTAGCATCCAAGTAAGATGGATTCACTCAATATCACGTGACCATACAACTCGCACTTTCAGTCCACAAAACACATGGAAAGAATCGCTCATATAGAGTTTACGACACATACAAATCGTTGAATAATGGTAATTGGCATCGGCTATTGAGTGTACATGCATCCATCCATGTCTATGGCATCACACACATGTATTGAAAGTACTAGGGCCGCTATGCATGCATTCACTTCACTTGGAACGATGCATCATTCACAGCCTTTGTGGTTGTAGATCGATGCTTGACAGTGAACTTGGGCATACAGCTTATACACTACTGGATTATTTTGTATTGGCCCTGTTTCAATTTGATGATTGGAGTGATTCGATTGGAACCTATGCCAATCGATTTCAAATCCGAACACTGTGGACAATCCAACTTGATGGTTCTAGTAAAATAGTATCGTCTGATATTTCCTGTCATTGATCTAATGCTGACTGGATGGAAATGAACTGGCTATTTATGCGCATATACTGATTGATGGTTCATTTAACTGACTGTTGCAAACTGGACCTTTTAATCAATAGGACACCAAGGCCGCCGCTCCCAAACTTGCAAAGGTTGTCAAAGTTCTCGGCCGTACTGGCTCCCGGTAAGACATTTTGGAACTAGCAATCTATGTTTGCTGGAGCTTGCATGCCTGGTTCAATACAGTTGGGCTTACTAAATGTCATGATTTCGTAATTATAGTGGTGGTGTCACTCAGGTCCGTGTTGAGTTCATGGATGATACCAACCGATCCATCATCCGTAATGTCAAAGGCCCTGTCCGTGAGAATGGTATGTGTCTTGAATTGCCAACTCTGTATGCAATGGTTCTGATTATAAATATCTAATGTATGATGTTATCTAGACATTCTTACTCTTCTCGAGTCTGAGCGCGAGGCTCGTCGTCTGAGATAAACAGCTATTCAACTTTAAATCAATTGAATGCCAGTCTTTTTCCAATCCGACTTTACTATTTTTATGGTTGTGGGCAGATAGAGTTGAGCTATATGTATGATTTTTAGTGGATATAATATCATCTGTAGGAGATTTGACGGCAGTTGCGACACCGAATTGTCAAAGTATTTGATTAGTACTGATTGCGCTGGGCGATATTTGACTAGTTTAATCATTTACGGCTGTATTCATGTAGAATGGAGCATCTGAATTTATCTTGCAGTGATTGCTTTGGAATGCACATGGTTAGATTTGTTGTGCTTTCCTATTGAAGTTGAGTTGTAGACATCAATTCTTTCAAGCACAATGTCCATCATATGCACACAATCAAGTGATTCATTTCTCTACTTTTGGCAGTCATACATTGTACAATCAGCAGATTCATTTTAATCCAAATATTGAATTTGACTGTTTTCAAACTCTAAACTCCAATTTGTTGTGTCCTAACATCACAGATATGTTCACCTAATTCATGAATGCAGCTATTTATGTCGATCACCCAACATCATAATATTTGATTCTGATGAAAGAAGGGTTGAGATTGAACAAGTCTGGGATGCACTGGAGCTGTGATGCGAACATCATCGAGTTTTATACAAACGAGAGAAGCCAGTCAACTTTGGAGTTCAAAACAACACGATTCAGTAAATTTAGATATTGCTTCATGACTGTTTATCATGTGCTTTGACACCCTTATTTGGTGATCCACTTTACGTGAATGCGGTTGTAAAGATGAAGCTTTGAAGCTTTCCCAACATATTTCTAATTGGATATTTGATGTCGGAATCGCAGTCGAATCAATCTACTCCTACTAGACTGGCAAAGAGGTCTAGTCTTGCTTATGCATTACAGCCATTTAATACGGGTGACATAAAGGTGTTGCTACTTGAAGGTATCCTATGTGTATTGTGTAATAAGTATAGTGTTGGCTATGGTTTACTACAACTGTTCAAATCAAGATTAATAGAGCAAGGGATGAAATGTGGTCTATTAAATATAGATGTATTGACCATTTATTCTTCTAGTATATGAATACTTTTAATCACTGGTTCATGATCAACACTTTTTTTTTATAAAGCGAGTTTTTATTGAATGACTAGGGAGGGATGCGTGCCATACTGATATACGACCTTGTTTAGTGAAACGCATGGTCTTTATGAACAGTGACTGTTGCCTGTAATAAAGCCATTCATCGTGGCATTCTTTTGTTTGGGTGCATCTTGATTAATTACCAGCTTATTGTTTCGTGTATTTATCAACTCATTACTAGGTGTAAACCAAACCGGTGTCAAGATTCTCTCCAATGCTGGGTATCAGGTAAACCTAATACAACAGTCGAGAACATTTAATCTGATCTATACAAGTATTGAAATAGTCTAATGGCACACCCATTCTCATCTAAACATGCTATAGGTTGAGACTCATGCTAAAGCACTTTCTGAAGATATTCTTAAAGAAAAGATCAAGGATGTTCATGCCATTGGAATCAGGTGTGTTTACAAACATGCAAAACTGACAAATGGCTACACAGATATAGTTGGTCTGATTTAATGAATGATTCACGTCTCAATCACAGGAGCAAGACGCAACTCACTGCCAGTGTTCTCAAAGAAGCTAAAAAACTAATGGCTATTGGGTGTTTTTGTATTGGCACCAACCAGGTGGATCTGGAATATGCTGCATCGCACGGTGTAAGTGGTTGCGCAAACTAGCATATCTACAAACTGTCATGCATTTTAATATGTATTTGAAACAATCAGTATTCTTGGTTATTGAAATCATTTGTTTAATCCAATACTTGATTCTTTAGATTACTGTTTTCAACTCGCCTTTTAGTAATAGTCGCAGTGTTGGTAAGTGCTTGCCGATCGTTTCTTTAAAAAATGCATCATATCTTTTAACATCAAATGAAAAATGTGTATCGTCTGATTGAAACTCAGCTGAAATGGCCATTGCCGAGATCATTGCTCTTTCACGTCAACTGGGAGATCGTAATACTGAATTGCATAACGGCGTTTGGAACAAAGTATTAAATTTTGTCTGTTCAAGCAACTTGTGATGAATTTGAAGAATGTCGTGCATAACCGTTATACTAAGCCACCTTTTCATCTCTTGATAGACATCCTTGGGTTGCAAGGAAATCCGAGGAAAGGTGCTCGGTATCGTTGGTTATGGCCACATTGGTAGCCAGTTATCCGTATTGGCAGACTCGTTAGGAATGTCGATTATATTCTATGATATTCTTCAGATTATGCCTCTTGGTACTGCAAAGCCAGTTTCTACTTTAAAAGAGCTACTTAACACTGCTGATTTTGTAACTCTTCATGTCCCAGAGACTGATGAAACGCGAAATATGATTGGCGAGCAAGAGCTGAATCAAATGCGCAAGGGCACCTATCTGATTAATGCAAGTCGTGGAACCGTAGTGGACATCCCTGCTTTAAAAACTGCATTGATGTCGGGCCATTTGGCTGGAGCAGCCGTGGTGAGTTGGCTATTGAAAAGGCTACCTTGTATCCATTTATATTCGTTCATGGCATCTCTAATTCGACCGCTATTACATTTTAAAGGATGTGTATCCGGTAGAACCATTCACCAATGGAAAGAATTTCAGCTCGGAGCTGATGGGTTGTCCAAATACACTGCTTACTCCTCATATTGGAGGATCAACTGAAGAAGCTCAGTTTTCTATTGGAAGTGAAGTCGGCTCAGCTCTGGCGCGCTTTATCAATACTGGATCTACTCTCGGAGCTGTGAATTTTCCTGAAGTTGATATTCGTCTTTCTGCTGCTGGATCTTCTACCATCAGAGTGATCAATTGCCACCATAACGTGCCTGGTGTCCTCAAGGTATAACCCATTTGTTTGACTGTACTTGATAGCCATGCAGTGCATGGTTTACCTTTGTTACTGACTATTTCCATTGTACTTAGCAAATCAATCGGATTCTTTCCGAATTCAATATTGAGAAACAAATTTGTGACTCCAAGGGAAATATTGCATATCTTATTGCAGATATTATAGTGGATGGCCAGAATGATTTGATCAAGATCTACGAAAGTGTCAGCAGTATTCCAGGTAAGCATATATAGTTGCTACTGCTAATCAATGGTGTTGAATCCTATTCAATCTTTTGCCCATTTTATCTCGTAAATATTGTCATGGACGTGGTTGTTGAAAGTACTCATCATTGATGTTTTTGTGGTAAATAGAGAGCATTGCTACACGTCTGTTGCATTAGTTCTATTTAAATAAAAGATTGCCAATCCAAAGCATTTCCATATATTCACTATCTACCAAAACTATAGACTAGGCTTAACTTCATTATAACACATGCCAAATGCGTGGCTCAGGTTACATGGCAGATTTCATCAGATTAGCTATACGGTGGTCAAACTCCCGAATAAGGTCATCGTCATCCTTGTAGAATCCTGTTGATAAAAGCGAGGTTTTTTCCTTTTTTAGGCGGCTAATTTGAGAAGAAACTTTGGGCGGTAACTGAGCTTCGCTCAACGTGCCTTGGTGATTATTCGTAGACGATTGAAACTGTACATCTTTTTGTTGCTCATCATTACTAGACTGTGAAGCGTAAACGGCTCGTCCAAGTGCTTCTAAATCACGCCGGGTATGCTCTAAAGTTTCTCGCTCAGTATGAGCTAGACTCAACTGCTCCTTGGCAATTGCTTGCATCCGCATATCTTCAATATCTTGACGGTCCTTGATCATCCGTTGTTCCAATTCTAACCGTGCCTTTTCCCTTTCCTTGGTTAGCAACTTGTACACTCGTTTTAACTCGCACTTGTAATGCGCCTTGTTCTTTTTAAGTGCCTCAATTTGCTTTCCCAACATCATTTTATCCTGCATAGCATTTCCCAGCTCAATCTTAGCCTTTGCCTCACCAGATGATCCCAACGACCGTTTTAATTCACTCAACTCGTTATCTATTGTTTTCCATTTGGCCTCCATTTCATCACGATCTCTTATTGCTCGGTTACGCATGGCATCTGCCTCGGCACACTTTTGCTTTTCCAATTCAGTCCGATACCGAAATTCTTCCTGTAGCCTCCTTGTTGCATCTCGTGCCTCGTCCAAAGCTCTAAGTACCTCAAGATCCTGACGTTCCCTCTGTTTTATTAATTCCCTTTCTCCTTCTACCAACACACTCTCTCGACGTTCCAAGTCACTTGATAGCTGCTGTAAAGCCGTCTCCAACTGCTTGTAGTCGTTTAGTTTCCGTTTAAGAAGTGCTTCGCGTTCACGATCGCGAAGTTTCCATTCGCCAGCAAGACGTTGAGTCAGTTCAATCTCTTTTTCAGCAAGATACTGTGTAAACTTTTGTTGTTCTTGTTGACGCCAAAGCTCTAGCTCAATGGCGGTTTGATACTCGGGTGTATCATGAATAGACGAAGGGGTTGGTGTGGAAGGATTGGGCTGGCTGGGAATGCCTAACATACCACCGTGTTTGTGTTGATGCTGCAGCGTACTTTTGTATGAGCTGGGTTCAAGCGGATGATCATGTGAAACGTCAGTACGCTGTCCAGTAGTGTAAGCAGCCGAGGTCTGCACATCTTTCCAAGAGGGCAGATCTTGAGCAACGTTTTGGTGATTTATTTGTGGTAGAATCGAATCGGCATCACTAGTTTCTTTTACAACGCCAAAATCTTCCAATGCCAAAACAACACGCAAATCTGCCAACCGGCCATACAAAGAAGTCGAGTCTCCAGTTGACATGAGTGGTACAAATGTGTCCAAACTCTGAATGACTAGCTGTTGTGTATCCTGTTCAGCAGTATACGATTCACTTTTTGTTACAGGAATGTTGCTACTTGGAATTTTGGTTTGGGAGAGTACTAGTGAAAGGTTGACTAAAGCGCTGCCCAAATTCACATCACGAACATTTTCATCCTTTTGCCACAGCTCAACTATCAATGGAACTGCTTCAAGATATGTAGATAGTTTTTCCAGACTCATGACAAACTCGAATGCACAAAACGAATGTGGAAGCAAATGCTCATTTGGTGTGCGTTGAATATGTACTATAGGATGGGTCAAAATAGGCGACGATGTACCAAAAGGTGCATACGTATACTTTAAATATACGTTGGCAGATTTGAGCTGGATGTCTCGAAGTGATCGCAATTCGATGGAAAAGCGATATTGGTGCCATCCTTGTAATGGGTCTGTCATATCTTTTGTAGGTTGCATCTGAGGCGATATTGCTCTATTTAACGTAGTTTTGCTGGTAGTGACAGAAATGGGTTTTGCTGATTGAAGAAATGACGAATATGTGGAAAATGCATTTTGTAGATTCGGATTCCCATCTCGAGTCAATGTTGCAAGAGTACTGTCTATCGGAGTCGTGGCATTTGTAGTTTTATTCTCATAATCTAAAGCCGGCCTGAAGGATAAATTTTCAAACGTAGCAATGTTATTTACAGGAGTTCCTGGATGACTGAATCGGGTGTGTGGAATAGGCGCTTGATCACGAGCATGCTGGTGTGCCATAGAATCTTGATCTGGCTCAAATTCTTCCTGTTCTTGAGTGTGAGCTTGCCCATGACTCTGCTCTGCAGTATCGCGGGACAAGGCCATTGATACACCAATGCTAGATGACTTGGCGTCAGCAGAAAGAGGTAGTTCTTCTCTTGTATTATACAATGGAAATGCTTGCTCGATCACTGCCATTTCACCCCCATTGTTGTCCAAAAGATTACAAATAGGAATGTCAGCAAAGCCAATAGCACGATCCTCGTGACATAAATAAATGATGATTTTGGAGATTTCCCGAAAGAAAGTCTGAATGTCAGATTGAGATGCACGAAGTTTGACAGAAACCCGCTCGGCAGGAAAGTTTGGTTTATCGAGTTGGTAGAATCGTTGAGTCATAATATCGTTTCCCATAAATGAGTAGTAAAAGTAATATCCGGTGTTGTTGGTTTGACGGGAAATTTGGGCATCATCAAGCAGCAACTCTAAATGTTCACCAAATGCGATCGTAATCCAAAGACAGAATAATTGGTCACCGGTTCCAAGTTGATAGAAGCCAGCACTTTTGAGTTCAAAAGGTATTGACGTTGCAACAGCGTGGTTTGGATTACTTTGTGGTATAGTGCCTAGACTAGAATTGGAAACAGGTCCGATTGTTGCATAGTTTTTTCGACTAGACAGTCCAAGTTTGGATTGCGTTCTAGTTGCAGCAGCAGTTGATACAGTGGATGGTAGTTCTGTTGATGATCTCTGAGCAATCTGGTCATTGGATGCAGACTTTTTGCGACGACCCTCGAGCTCCAGCGTAGACTGGACAGAAGGAATTGAGTCGTGATGCTTTGGTTGGACAGTGAATGAAATCTTTAGTTCTGGTCGAAATACTGAAGCAGGAGCATTGTGACCACCAGGATGAGATTTGATATTTACTAGCGTAAACCATTTTTCTGGAAATGGCGGTGGACCTTGAATGGCAGCTCTTAAATCGAGCATGATATAACCTAGACTTTCGCGCTTGTTGGTCTTGATGTCAATGGAGTAACAGATAAGTTTGAGAGATACTCTCTGCGAACGTAAAAATCCCAAAAGCTTAGTATCGACATCCCATGCCAATTCAGTATCCCATATGGGGGTTGCGAGATGGTCAGCTGGGTCAGTAGTGAGAATCTCGTTGTTGAATCTGCACTGTACATACACTTTGGAGCCTGGTTGACGGGTAAAGTTTCTGCCTATATGCATTGAAAGATAACATTGTACATGATTAGAATCTGATGAAAGTGATGAGCATTGACAAGATGCATAAGTTGAATTGGAGTTTGAAAGTCGACAAATGGCAAGTCAACCGAGTGCACATTAAAACAGTAAAAAAAGATGGTGTTTACCTTCAAAGACAGTAGCCTGAACAATATGTTGAGAAGGTTTTATCATTCTAGATGAGGTTTATGCAATTCAGATAAAACTTGCAAGTCGGACAAAATCTATTTATTGGATAAAGTTGTCATTCTTGACTTTTAATCGTGAATTGAATTCAATGATTTGTTGTTTGGATATTATCAAAACCAACTGCATTCAATCAGATAAGTTATTCTTGATGAAACTCATTTGAAACGGAATCTATACATGCTAGGAACAAGTCCGTGATGAACATTAAACAGCAACACTCTCTTCCAACACTGGTGATGTTTCATCCTCATAAAACTGTTTATGAACCATCAACAGAGCCAAGAACACAGGCAGATGTACTAGACTTGAGAAGAACAATGCACGAGCATTCTTGTTATTTGGATCTTTCCAGAACTGATATGCATACCAAGCCATGTATCCATTTACAAGTGACGAATCTAATATAAACCACCAGGAAACTAGACCAACATAATAGGCAGAATATGCAATGGGAAACAACATGATAGAATAGCGCAGCGATACTCTAGCATTAAGTCCAGGATCAGTTACACACATCATACGATATCCAGCTTTAGAGTAATCCGGACGCAGATTCCAAGAAAGCGAATTAAAATGAGGAAACTGCCAAGCATACATCAGGGCAGCCAGAACCAAAGCACCAGACTCTATTCCACCTGTAGATGCAGCCCAACCCATCAAAGGTGGGATCGCACCCACAATACTACCAGCCCAAGTGTTTGCGATTGAAGTGCGTTTCATTGGTGTGTAAATGCATGTGTAGATAAGGATATTGGTAGCACCCAATACAGCAGTAATAGGATTGACCAACGTAGCAAGAACAGTAACACCCAAGATACCGGAAGTTGTTCCAGCCATGAATGCATGAGATGGAGACATGGCTTGTCTAACAAGGACTCTGTTGCGAGTTCGAGACATTTGTGCATCGTATGGAGCTTCGATCCATTGATTGATGGCATTAGCAGAAGCAATGCAGAGTCCAGTTCCAAAAGTAGTCCATAAGAGAGTTGAAACACTTAATATTCCTGGAGCCATAGCATATCCAGCCATAGTAGTCAGTCCAACAAATGCAGACAGTTTGGCCTTTGTTAAATCCTTGTAATAAGAAGGATGAAAAGAAGGTGAATTCTTCCATCTCAACTCAGTGTCTGAACTGCTGCTGATGACAGGAACTAGTCTTGAATCAACTCGTTTGTCATGCAGAAAGACTGAACGAATAGGCTGCCATTTCACTGCAACAAATCTGCAAGTCGGTCTAACTAAAGTCAACATAATTCAAGTGAGCTTCAAATCTCGACCATTTTTAATTTTGATTTGATTCTTGACTGACATTCACACATGGCATCAACTGCTTCTGCTCAAGTCTTTGCTTGTCCTGCCGTGTATAAAAAGAAGAATGGTGTCATGACTGTATCAAACTCACTGTTTTCTTGGACTGAAACGGCTGCTTCTTCTCCTGCTATTTCCATTCCTTATGAAGCCATCAAGGCTCAGTTGGTTAATGCAATTGGTCCTTCTGGCAAGGTTTTATTGAAACTGTCCTTGTGGCCTGTAGGAGATACTCCAGAAACAAACCACAACTTTTCTTTTCCAAATCCAGCTACTGCCGAGTCAGACAGAGATCACATCAAGGATTATCTTGCAACTCGCATCGCTGCTGTTCGTCAACGATCTGCTACTCCCGCTTCTGCAAAACCTACTTCTTTACCACGTACTGCTTCCGCTACTACTTCCAGTCTTACTCTTCAAGATCTACAAGCAAGGCAGGCTCTTTTATCCAAAAATAAAGATCTGGCTAAATTACACAAGGAAATTGTCATTGGTGGTCTGATTAGTGAGCAGGACTTTTGGAATACTAGACAGCAAACTCTTATCAATCAAGAATGGCAAGCTTTTCAAAAAAAAGGAATTTCTTCTGGTTCTCTGGCTGATACTAAACCAACTGTTGACGGTGATGGAAATGATCTCAAATATAAACTCACTCCAGATATCATACATTCCATCTTCATCGAGTATCCTGCAGGTAAAGACTATCAATAATCATCTCTTGGTTCATCACATGTATCGAATCTACTTGCAATCTGACTTTCTATACACTATAGTGCACAAGGCATTCCAGGACCATGTGCCTGATAAAATGACTGAAAAAGAGTTTTGGGGAAAATACCTTGCATCAAAATACTTTCATCGCAATCGTACCACTGCTATCAAGGAAACTGAAGATCTATTTGACAAGTATATGCAAGAGGACGCAAATGGTATGCTACATACTGTGTCGTGGATTCCTACCGTGTCTGGTTTAACCCTTTTTTGTTTGGCATTCATGTATTTCAAATCATTAGATTTACTTTTGAATCCTACTGGAGTTCAGTTTACTATACACAACAAATTGATTGATCTAACTACAACATCAGAAGATCACGTAGAGGTATCGTGGATTCGTACTGGTCATATATATTCAATCTGGCATTAACCTTTATCTTTGTGTATAGACGGGAAACCGACCCGATTCCACTATGCGTGCTGGATTTGTACAAACATCTCTCCCGCTTATTAGGAAATTTAACCGTCATTCAACTTTTATTTTGAAAAGCTCCATGTATGTTGTACTGCTTATTGGTTTGAATTTAAAAACGTTAAATTGACGCAGCAGTTGTTTGAAACCATTGTAGAAATTCAAAAGACGCTGAGAAAGAATGCACAGCTGCACAGTCTGACTTGTTATTTCAAGATGTATACACCATGCTATTGTGATTTGAAAATGATTAAATGGTTGTTTGGCAGCTCATGAATTAAATGCTCATGTAAACTACAGGGAACAGTCTTGGAGGATTTGGAGCCCATTAAAGCATCTAGACTTGCACCGCTAAACATTCAAGATCCAGCAAGCTATTTTGATTCCTTGACACAAGAATCTAGTTTGAAAACTGGCCAAACATCTGTATCTGACAAGGTAGTGTTATTGTCATGTTATCATTTGGCTGATATGAAATGGTTGATAGGCTTTAAATTACTATAGCAATTGCACACTTTTCAAAGTCATATGCAGTCGTGGTCTTTGAAAATATCCAAGGTAATGTTTATAAATAGTACTTCAAGCGTCTTGCCTGATACGTTGCACAACTAACCCTACACACATAACTGTAGCTTTCTTATGGTACATGCCAATCGGATACTATCTTTCAAGCAGTGTCAGAACTCAATCGAAAACGGCGAAATGATCAACTGAATCAACAGGGTAATTGTATCTTGACACTATATCAGTTATTTTAACTAGACTGTTGATAAAATCCTTTTTCATTGGGTGTGTAATACAATTAGTATCGCGAGTAAAACACTTTAAACACTACCAGGAAACCAAAGACATAATGGTGTCTGTAAACGAACTTCTCCGTCACTACTGGAGCAATTTGAACTTGGTCAAATTAGGCGAAGCCAGTATGAAGGACAAAGTATTTCGAATTGCTGCCGCTTTGAAAAAGTATATGGCCCAACTAAATGTTATTGAAACTCAAGCTAAACTTGTTGGAGAGGATCGTGGTGTATCATTGATTAATACTGCATCAATTAGTATCGAGGCTGCACTTAAAGCACTTCCTTCAGCAGCAAGATAAACTGAGATGTTCATGTGAACATTCTATTAGATTCAATGTATAAATTGGAAATTTAAAAATATGGGGTTGTTTGAATAGTTTGGCATGTATCAGAGATGTTGCAATTAAATACGATGTTTAGACTATCCTGGCTGAATTGCACGCCAAGGGTTGATTATTGCACAGGTGCATTGCTTAATAAAACTTGATATCCAAATAGTATTGGTTTAAAACATACAACTTTGCACCAAGGTTCCAGTTGATTTACAATATACTGCAACACCGCGCTTGGAATTCATCTTGACGCTTTAAACAAATGTCAGATACAGTATCTATCAAGTTTGATGAGTTTTCTAAAATACGTATTTTAGACCCTACACAATACGATGTGTCCTCAAAACTCAAGGAAGAGTGTAAAGAGTTTACATCAAGTACGTACAATGCGGTTTCATCTGTCATGAGCCATGCTTTGATAAATATCTAATCTGATTGTCAGCGTGCTAACAGCGATAGTTTATCATGCCATCATCTTTGAATAAACTCTAGAAATCAGCGAGTTCAATGATATTATAGGTGTGTTTCAAGACCTTTTATCAAGCAAAGCACAGCAGATAGAGCGGGAAAAACTCAAGGTATATTCATTTGATTCCAAATCACTATAGTATATATACTGTCAAGACATTGAATCTAATAATATCACGTCTGATGTTTTATACGCGGAACTGCTGGAACTTGACACAATACAGACAATCGGACTACGCCTTCAAGTAGAATCAGAAGTTATCCATCGTAAAGCAATGCAGGTTCAAATACAATCGCTTATTGATGAGCGCCAAGCAGAATTAGACAGGCATGACTCTGATGTCAAACTGTAATGTATTTGAATTTGATAAACTGACGTGAAATCATGAGTTATTAGATTGATTGTACAACACGACTCACTGCAGCGTCTGCTTCAGGATCAACAAACGTTTATTGATGGAAGTTGCTGATGGAATCAATGCGAGTGTCTGTAGATTACTTGTCTATCTTTTACTAAGAATAAAGCAGTCAAGTACACAACACATCCTCAGGGAATAACACTGCTTCAAAATTGAAAAGTTGAATTATTTTTATACAAGCTGTTGAACATTGTTAATTAAGTTTGAGCGACTGCTATCTGTATAAATGGATTCTGCTGATACAGCGTGTTCTTCTGTCAAGGTATTATCTGAATTCTATACTGTTTTTCTTGAACAGTTTTACATTTTTCAAGAGTCATTCTTTTACAATTGCTCAAGTCCAGCCTGATAGTCTTGAACAATTGACATTACATTAGTTTAAAAAGAACATGCACTTTTAAACCCATGCAATTACCAAACGATCTGAATCTTGAGCTAGTCGAATCAACGGATATTTCAAGTCAAACTAATCCACTCTTTTCAACATCTCTTCATTATACAATAGATCTGTCTTGTACCACTTGCTGTATGTATTGCTAATCAATTGTTTTATAATGGTTTAGGCTTTGAACTTGTCCAAACAAATCACAGAAGAATTACTTTGTCAGTTTTTCAGCTTCATCGGACCTATTGTTAGTATCAGCTTGCAGCCATGGTAATATCAACACATTTGTATGGAGGGTTGCATAGGTCTTGTAATATGGTTTGTATTGATCTTTAATCTTCTAATAGTGAGGCAAATCCATTAGTTCAAGAATCGCTTGTTCAGTTTCAAGATTCTGAAGATGCTGCCTTGGCATTGCATCTTACAGGAACAGTGCTGGCCGATAAAGCTCTTTTTATCACTCCTCCATCTGCCAAGATCCAATCTTTCAATAGTCATGGCTATTTAAATATTCCTCCGCCCAATCCAACAGCTCCTGGTGTACTTGTGCCGGGCAGCATGGCTGGAAGCACTATTGTTCCATACGGACAAACAGCTACCATTGCTGGACAGGATAGCGTTGATCGCACAATTTATACTGGTAACATTCATTCTGGATTATCACAGCAAGAAGTGAGCATGCTTTTCTCTAGCTGTGGTGATGTCACGCAGGTTAAAATGGCTGGAGATGCAACGCACTCGACCCGCTATGCTTTTATTGAGTTTGGTAAGCATCGTTGACAAGATCATGAAACTATTTGGGTTGTATCTGCAACGAGTAAAAACCACGTATCAGCATACTCAGTAACCTAACGATCATGTACTTAGCAACATCCGAGTCAGCAGCCATGGCTCTTAATCTACACGGCATGATGGTTGCTGGCAGGGCAATCAAGTATGCTCTTGTTAACTTTGCTAATTTTAAATATTTTTGGCTCACTTATTTTTACATTTACACTCCACCATGCTAGAGTAAACCGATCAAAACACTCTATCGGTCGACCCATTGGGATGTATCCAGGTATGTTTAGACCCGATACAGACATGGTCATGAAGCAAGCTATGCAAGCACAAATGCGAATGGGGCACTCGTTTTCTGGAGATGCACGCAGTGCTGGAAAGTTTCCAATTATACCTGGTACACCAGGCATGATGGCTATTGCTGCAGCTGCAAACGTACCCCCTGGAACAAATGTGATGCCACCCATGACATCGTATCTGTCTGCCATGCATGCACCTAATCCGTTGGCCAATATAAATGCTGCCGCGACAAGTACTGCTGCACGTACAAGCCAGGAAAAATCTTCACGAGGACGCACTTTTTCTCGGGAGCGTGGCCGTGACCGACATGAGTCTATTTCACCCGAATCATCCAGTCGTCGAAAAAGTGCAAGACGTCGGTCGTATTCACGATCTCCAGCTACTTCTCGTTCTAGATCTGTATCACCTCGTCCTAAAGGTATACTATTTGCCCTGCATACATTCTATATGATCAACAACAGTAAAGTGCTGAATAATACTGTGTAATCTGTATGTGTTGCTAATTGAATGAACAGATTCTCGGCGTGCTAAAGACAAATCAAGGGATCGATCGCATGCAATGGACCGACCTCGTCAGCGTGATCGATCTCGTCAACGTGATCGTAGCAGAGATCATGGGCGTAACCGATCTCGTCTTCGTTCTCGGGATAGGGATCGATCTCGGGATAGAGCGAGTGGCCGTGACAGATATCGGGAGCGAGACCGGGACATGGATCGATCCAAAGACAGATCAAGGGATAGGTCTCGCGATCGTAGAGTAGAACAGAGTTCACGCAATCGGAACCGCACACGCAATTCTAGCACAAGTAGAAGGGTCAGGGGAGATAGTCGTTCCAGATCCCTAGCAGCAGGAGCAAAAGCGGGAGGTAGTTTTGGAGATTTACGAGCTATTTTGAATGCCAAGCACGATGGTGATAAACGAAGTGGAAGCCAGCGTACTAGTCAGGATCATGGTGTTGTTTCGGTTTCCGGAGAGCACGAGGATAAGCCCGATGCACCCATTCCAAGCAAGGATCTTGATACGGATATGCAGATTGATAGCGGCGACTATTCGGCTTAGGCTATACACAGATTTGTATTATGATGAATTTCTTTGACACTCTCATTATACGACTCGAGGCATTCATTGTGCTCAATACACGTGCTCATCTGTTATCTACACTATATGAAGAATGATTTCCTGTAGTAGGCTTAGAGTATGGATAGCAGCAATATATAGTCCAAATCAAAGAGTATCCTATTTATTAGCTTTACACCTATTATTGCAAGTTGTATTCACTGCAAAAGTAAAGGAAATGACAATATTCTCGATGGTAATCAGTAAGATCTACGATCGGACATGGGTAAAGATGGCTGATGGATTGTATAGCCATTCTTTTCGTCTGGATAGATTCTTAAAACGATCAATTGAAAAAGACACAAGATGCCACCTATTGTATTGGGTATCAAGACAAAATTGTCTTGAATCTGATACCCAAAAGCAGTCCATAAGCAGCACACAATCAAGGAGATGCAAGTCATGGGTAATGAGATTAATCCAGTAGCAGATTTGAGTTGAATCACGTTTGCCTATACAGTATAGATGAATAAGTAGATGAATTCAAATGTTATATAGGATTCAGATTATAAGATGACATACCAGTGAGAGCAATGGAGCGCCATACATGAAGATGGAGAATGTGGCAGTTAGAAAACCATACTGTTTGAGCATAGCTGAACCTGAGACGAGATGAACATAGACAAAAACAAGATAAAGAAAGCCCAATGCAGTTATGATGGGAATCTGAGCATCAGACTAGAGTTGAGTTAGAACAAGAGAATCAAGCGAGTATCATGACAGTAATATTACCTGTCTGTCAGTGTATTTACAAAAGACATAAAGCGATACGATTGAAACAAGAATACCAACTGCATTGACGATAACCAACGAAGTGAGTTGAACTAATAAACCGTATCTAAACCATAGTGAGCAGTTGAGTAATGTGCAGACAAATGGGATAGTTGTAGCATGTCCAGTTGTTCCAGTTCTCATGTACAGTCGCAGTGTATTAAAGTTGGTCAAGAACATTCCCACAGTCAGCAGAATCGCACACCATTCCAGCAGTGTCATGAAGTTGATGTGCAGAAAGTCGAGTCTGGACAGTCATTTCATTGAATGTTTGAATTCAACTTGACTTGAAACTTGCTGATGGAGAAACTCATTGGTACGAGTCTGTGTTGAGTAGTCTTTGAATAATAACTAAATCCTTTTTGTATTAGTGGAAGCAACCAGTGAAACCAACACTGCTGATGACTGGAGTAAAATCATTCAAATATGCGAGCAAGCTGACCAGTCTGATGTCACTGCACGAGAAACCATTCAAGTTCTTTCTAAGCGAATCTTGCATAGAAACGTTAATGTCATTCTCTTCTCATTGACTGTTGCCAACTCGTTGGTTCAGAATTGTGGTGATTCAATCAAGCGAGAGATTTCATCCAGACCATTCTTGGATGCCCTGGTCAGACAGATTACTACTAATAAACAGTCTGTTCATGTTACTGTGCAGCATCGCATTTTAGAACTCATTCAGCAATGGGCTGATGTATTCCGTAACGAACCCTCATTGGATTATATGGTGCATATATATGAACAGCTTAAATCTGAAGGTAATCTTGTCTGGTTTATATGGTCTGTTCATCTCGTTTATACTGTTTTCAATTCCAGGCCATCAATTTCCTTCATTGAATTCAAAGCCTGTCATAGCAAAACGTAATCCTGACAAGGATCGCGAAGAGGAAGAGTTGCAACTGGCGGTAAGCGTTTACTGATTGTATCCATTTATCTTGATTCTTGTGACTCTGTAATGCATAGGAATCATCTCAAACTACTGACCTATTCTCATTGTTGCAGTTGGCTCTCTCTCTATCGTCTATTGATGACAAGGTAAGCGTATACATGTCATGCTTGTATTCTTCAATGCTGTATTGATATTCCCATGACTCGATTCTAGTCAAGAGCACAGAATTCGCAGCCTAAATCTGGACAAAAACCAAAACCAGTTCAGGTTCTATTTCAAGTGAGAGCATTGTATGATTTTCATGGCACAGAAGAGGGAGAACTTCATTTGACTCGAGGAGATATTGTTGACGTGTATGACTGCACAACATTCCAAGACTGGTGGAAGGGATCACTGCGTGGCATAGTAGGAATCTTTCCTGCAAACTATGTAGAAAAAGTTTCCAACCAAAGTGCACCTACATCAAGTGATGGTAACGCACAGAGTCCTGATGCCTATATTTTATCTCAAAAGGGATTTATTGGAGAGTTTCGCGAACGTGCTATGCGTGCAGATCCACAATCCAACAACTATGCTGAAACTGACAAACTGCAGGTAATTGAGCTTGTTGCTATACCCTGTCCAAACCATGCAACATTTTGAAAATTGGAATACTTTTTGCATATGAAATGGGTATAGAATGATTACCACAAAATATTGGAACTGCGACCACATGTCATTAGTGTTGCCAGCACATATCGACAAAAACAGGGTAATGTTACTTTACATGTCAAGCCTATATCTTGACAGAGTAGGAATACGATATCTAACACGTACATGCTATGCATACATGGTTAGATGACTTGACAGCAGTAAATGAGCGATTTGTTAAAGCAATGGCGACATTTCATTCGATCATGGAGGCACAATTTCGTGGACAAAACGGTCCTGGTGAGTTGTATTTCTACAACTGCAACAATTTAAACGTAGACTGATATATATACTGGTATATAGCTTATAATATGGGAGCGCCATCGTATCCTCAACAGTCATTTAGTCAACAACCTCCAGTAGGATATACACCCTATGCAACTCAAACAGGACAAGGGTATACAGTTCCACAACCCAACCAACAACCTCGATACTAAAAGTCGGATGAATTGAATGTGAATGCAATGGACAAGATTAAAAGGTCGTATTCACGTAAAAGCACTTGAATTTATCCTGCAGTGATGATTAAAAAATGGAGTATTTGAATTCTTGATGAGAATATGAACTTTTGAATAAAACCAAGTTTGAAGTACATGATCAACCATTTCATGTTGAATTAGAGTCAAGATTATTGAGTATTGTTTTAAACCTTTTTAATCAACAGATTCTCATGTTCATTCTTGTATAAAACAGCAACAATTCATTCCAATTCATTCAAGAATTTATTCCATAAAACAGTTTAATAAATTGTTTTGTGGAATGACTGACGCAGAAATCATTCCAAGCACTCGAGAATAAAGAGTTTCTACAAGAATATTGAATGTTTCATTTTACGTGAATACGCAATAAATGAGGTTATCAGATAATCCAGCAACTATGGAGAATGAAGCCCAGCCATTGCAGGACCCAGTCATGGCTCAACCCATCCCAACCACACAGTCACCTTCTTCCACTCCTATTCAACAACAGTCTCCTCCCATCAGACGGAAAATGTCCATTGCTGAGCGAGCCACTGCTGCCATCGAATCCCGGCTTTCTGCAAGCAAAGATGCTCTGCGTCGCACTTCCACCAGAGACTCTTGTCATAGCAGCAATGCCAACATTGTCAATGTCGGAACTGCCATGAGTTCTGTCAGTCCATCTTCGCTGTCTTATTCTTCTTTAGTGCCCAGCATTGATGATCAGAATGCCTTTTCTATGAATCCCGAAGACTATGAGCTTGGCCAGGTTATTGGTAAATACTTTTTGTTTCTGTGGCCCTCGCTGAGAACATGCAACGCCATGACTCGAGATTCTTGGTTTTTTATGTTCAACTTCATTTATATTGCATTCCATCAGAGTTGATTGGCCTTTGCTATTCGATCATGTATGGCTTCACGAATAAATTACTCAACTTGGACTTTAACATTTAGGTCAAGGATCATCCGCATCTGTGTATATTGCCAAGTATAAACCGCTGCAACGAGCCATCAGCATGAAAGTGATTGACTTGGATTTGTTTGAACGCAACCAGATTGATGAACTCAGAGTGAGTACACTAAACATTGTGGTTTGCATTCATTCTTGAAATCACATGTGCTCAAGACTCTTTAAAGCAACTCATTGACTAGAAGTTATGCAACCATGTTTGATTCAATATTTATTATCGTTACTAACATCGTTGATGTGACCAACTATTGTCATTAGAGAGAAATTCAGATCATGTCACTGTCAAAACATCCAAATCTTCTCCCTGTTTATGGATCGTTTGTCAATGGTTCAAAGCTGTTTATTGTCACCCCTTTTTTAGCTGGTGGTTCATGCTTGGATATCATGAAAACTTCATTCAAGGAAGGTTTCGACGAGGTTTCTATTGCTACCATTCTCAAGCAGGCACTACAGGGTCTCGACTATTTACACAAGAATGGCCTTATTCATCGTGATGTCAAGGCTGGCAACTTACTGATTGATAAAGATGGTCTTGTTCAGCTCGCTGATTTCGGTGTCAGTTCCTCTTTAATGGATGCTGGCGATCGTCGCGGATTGAGAAAAACGTTTGTAGGAACCCCTTGTTGGATGGCCCCTGAAGTCATGGAACAATCTGGCTATAATTACAAGGCTGATATTTGGAGTTTTGGTATTACTTCCTTGGAGCTTGCTAATGCTCAGGCGCCATACGCAAAATTTCCTCCATTAAAAGTGCTGATGCTTACTCTCCAGAACGAACCCCCAACTCTAGACCGTGACTCAACCAGAGGAAGATTCTCAAGACAATTCAAAGATATGATTGATATGTGTCTTAAAAAAGATCCTGCACGTCGTCCTACGACTGAAAAACTGCTACAACATTCGTTTTTTAAATTTGCCAAAAAAAACAGCTATCTTGTATCCAATGTTCTATCCAACATGGTTCCAATCACTGAGCGACAGCATTTGCATAGTATGTGGTCTATTCAATTCTGATGGATTCATTTGGCATCATTTTAATTGTTTTTGTTCGTGAACAAGATACTAACCCATTCACACCCATGATTAGAAATTCCGGCATTACAAGATACTGTGCATAGTAGTGATTCACATGAATGGGACTTTGATGATGCTTCTGAATCTAATCCACTATTGCTGTCTCAAATGGATAGTGCATCAGATTCTGTTTCAGATATACCGTCCAATTCCAACATATATACATCGCAGCCATCGTGTATGACTTCACACACAGCAGCAACTGCTTCAAGGTCTCTACAATCTGACAACCTTGCAGAATACAACCCATTGGCAGGTCGTGCAAAAGGTGTTAGTTTTAGAGAAACTCCAGCAGAATTCATTGAAACGCTTCCACGCAAAAGTCGCTTTATCGTGGATTCTCCCTATGGGGTTGTACCCTCTGCTGCACCGCAGGGGTTAGATAGTCCTTTGGAAATATCTTTACCAGATCAATGCAATCCTATATTGGATGAGCAGCCTCAATCGGCATCGATCCAGCCTTGTCTATCTCCCCCACAAACTGCATCTCAACAGACTGGATCTTCTCTTGCCGGGGCATTAGCAGCAGAGGTTAAAAAAGGTCGTTTTAGCGTGGTTGAATCTTGTGCCCCGGCTTGCCCAGCCAACGGCGCTCCCTCTGACCCAGCAAATGCTTGCTCTGCTACTGGGTGCACCACGATGGATTCTCGAGCTCTTTCAATGGATCGTAAAGCAAGCCGATTTGCTGTACAATGTTCTCAATCGCCTGTATGCACGCCTTTGACTCAAACTCCTGGGTCTCAGGATGCTGATTTCACGGGTGATACGGATACCACACAGGAACCTACTCGATTGGTTCGAAAACCTACAGGCGGGCACGCTTCCTATATAAATGGACAATCTTCCAATCAAACAAATGGTGCATCGGTTGCAACCAGTAATACAAACCAAACAGGCTCATTGGCAAATTTTGGTTCCACCGTCAGTGATAAACGCGGTCGGTTCCAAATCTCATCGTACGAGGTACCAAGTGCTACTAGTCCTGGAAACCCTTATAATCCGTCATACAATTCATTACCTTCAACTTTAATTTCTCCTGGTTCTCGTTTTAATCTATTGTCTGCTGCATTGACCCCTTTTCCTATGGATGGGACTACGGAAGAGCGTTTGGATGCTTTTATCAAGATATCCGAGGCACAGCGCAAACTCATTCATAATGTGATGCCCATTCTCACTCGCCACGGTTTGAACCCATACCAGAATTCATCGCAAGAAGCTGGTGCTAGCTCTTTCACTGCCAACCATTCACGGTCTGCATCCTATTCAGATGCAGACCGTGGCGCCTTTGTCCACCAAATGAATCTTGAATCCAAGCGAAATACTGCTGCTACTTGTGAATTGGAACAACGTTTGACAGATGCATTGAAAGAATTGAATGCGTTGCGGATTGAAAATGAGGAATTGCGGAAGACGGACGGTGCACTTTCGTCATCTAGATTACCACCTCCTTGATCTGATGTCCTTGTGACATGCTAGTAGACTTTGTACGCTCGCATTTCCAAGTGATTTTACACTTTTACCGACTATTAATTTAGCTGTTCATTGATACCATTTTCCCGACAATCTATTTGCGTGATATCTTGCATCATTCTATTTTATTTTCCTGCCTCTTGCTTATGATGTACAAGTTTGAGGTTTGCTTCTGATGCAACTTCACCTTTTATTCAAGTTTGACTAGGAACTGATCATACTCTTTCATTTTTCATACGCATGATTCAGTAGTTGATCCGTACTCCAAGTTTGCAATTTTGTAATGCATTGCCATACACAAACTTGCTCTTTTCCAATATAGTTTTATTCAGCACAAGCGATTATTTATTTTTTGAGTGCATAGGGTTTAAATATCTGTAACTCTGGACTGATTTTAGCAGAGTGTCTGCCAAGAAAAGTGGTATTATTTGGTGTTCAATATATACTACTTACAATGACTCGGAACATTACAGATAGTAGACATGCATTGCGTTGTACGGAAAGAGAAAGCGAATCCTTGAATGTCAAAAGGGATTCAAGCCATTAATCTAGTGATGTATGGAATAGAAAGTGCGATGGATTGAATCCATACTCTTTGTCACCAGTCGTAATCTAGTCAATTCAACATCAGATATTAAAGAATATGCCTTCAAAAACTGCTACAGTGTTTGTTATTGATGTGCGGATGGAGATGTCAGCGGATTGCCTCTCCAGCAATGCTAGTAATAAACCCTTAACTTGCAGAGAGGTTGCATGCCAATTGGTTGCTAGACAGCTTCAAGATCTTGTAGGTTTGGGCTATTTTCAAGTCATTCCTGTTACTATTCAAACCATCCATGAATGATCTTGTCTGATTGTATTCTGGCCATTTGTTAGATCATCAATGGTCGTAAAGGCGACGTTGTTTCACTTATTATTGTTGGGTCCGAATCAGCCGACAATCCTTTGGCTGTTGATGATCAGTACCAGCATGTTTCTATCTACAACTATTGTCATGAACAACTGTTTTGTATGGCTTCGGTTGATATGTTCAAGTTTGTGAGCAATGGATGTGTAGTTGGTGGTGATTATGGAGATGGTAAGTGTTGAGTCTCTTGTAGTGAATCAGTGATAAATCATCAATTGACTCGGTTTATGTAAAAACTCGACCTATTTCATGTACTGTTTGTATGTAGTGATGGATGGCATTATTGTTGGAATGCATGTTCTCGAGCTTCACTGCAAACAACTCCAATTTGATCGCCGTATGTTTGTGTGTGCTCATGCAGGAGGCAGTTTGGAATCTGATGGATATGAGCAAGTGCTTCACACAGCGACAGTAATGAATTTAGACTTTATTATGGTCGGATTCAACTTTCCTGATCCAGTCAGCATTTCCAATCCACATCTTGCCAATGCTACGTTTTGGAGAAACTTTACCTGTCAGATTCCTTCGTGTACTCGCAGCCAACCCAATCGTGTCTTGGATCCTGAAGAAGCATCGGTTGTATTGGACCAACTTAGACATCATCTTACTTTATCCGCGCCTGTCTACTGTGGCGATTTGACATTCGGTACCAAAGAAGATCTAGTCATTCCTGTTACTTGCTACTTGAAAACTAGTGGTGTCAAGATTCCTACATCAAAAAAGTTTTCCATGTTGGCTGAAGAAATTGACTCGGAGCTACGGGCTCAATATGGGATGGACTACGGCGCGGTCAAATTAACTAAAACGTACAAGTATGTGGATGGAAATGACAAAGATTCTGACGATGCATCTGAAAGCGATTCTGTAGACGCATCACATATCCATCCAGAGAATGTCATCAGGGCATATCGCTATGGCAAAGCAGTTATTCCTTTTTCGATTCAAGACGAGGAAGCTGCACAACTTCTTACCAAAAAATCCATAAAAATCATTGGGTTTATAAAATCAGATGCAGTATGTTTTATATACTATATGAATTCCTTCTGGGTTTTATTTTTGTTGATTGGCTTGTGTTGACTAAACAGTCTTTGTAAAATAGATTCCAAGACATTATTACATTTCAGGAACTATGGCTATTGTCCCAAATAAAGATGTGCGAGGCACAGACATCCAGTTTACTGCACTGCTTCAAGCCATGACCAAAGCCAATATAGTGGCTATTGCCAGATATTGTCGAATAAATAACGCCAAACCAAAGTTTGGAGTATTGATCTCGACAAAAAAGGGATACGGCCTATTCATTCAGGTATTTCTTTTGATTTATGCATTATTGTGCAGTTTCAAGTCCATTTTATAGAATGGTTATAGCATTTGAATGACCAACTTTTATATGGCTGCATTAGATTCCGTATGCAGATGATTTTAGATTTGTAGTAGCTCCGCCCATTGATGATCTGACTTTGGCTACACTGCCCAAAACTATACAATCTATTTCAACCGAAAGCAAAACGGATATGCTTGTTTCGATTGAGACCGAGGAGCAGCACAATAAAGAAAAGGATGACTCGTCCACCACTATTTCTCATCATGATATAAGCGACACATCATCCACGGGCCAGATTCGCTATGCACAGGAGCATGCTCGATACAGGGAAAAATTTCTTGCAAGAAAGGTTTCTCCACAACAAGCGTTTGATGCTGTGGATTCATTGATTGACGCAATGGATATTTCAGTCAAATCAGCAGGGTCGGTTTATCTTGATGCCATGAAAGGGTTTGAAATGTTGATGTATTAAAGATTTTGACTAATAATAATACTTTTTAGGACTTCGTTTAACCCAAAGCATGTCAGTAATCCATTATACCAGCGTCTGTGCGATTGTATCGCGTATCGGGCAATACATCCCAACTCGACCGATATTTTGCCCGTGAATCCGACGATTAAGAGAAACATGGAACCACGTCAGGAACTTGTAGAAAAGGCAATGCCAGCAATCGACCAGCTTCGTCAAGCATTTACCATTAAAAAAGGTACTGCAGTTTGAATTGAACACGCTCTATTTTAAAATGGATTTTAATTGCAGTGTGATACTGTATAGTTGTTGACGTGGAAAAGCCAAAGAAATCCAAGCATGTGTGGGCAGATCTTGCACGAGAAATGGTCAAGAGTGAAAATGCTGAGCCTACTGTAAGAGATCATCCAGCTGATGATACAGTTGCATCAGAAAGTACAAAGGCAAGCAGCTATATTGGCCAGCCATTGAGCTTATCTACTCATCCTGCCACAGTAAAGCATATTACCCAACGAGCTGTCGACACGATTTCGACTTTAGATCCTGTCAGTGAATTTCAATCAATGGTATCTCGTAGTGATGGAAATTATGTTGAACAAGGTATTGCCCACATTTCTCTGTTTGATCTATACTAAACTGTGGCGACTTTTCACATTTTTTAAATGGCTCATCAACTTTAAACTATCTCACAACCAAGATGAACAGCTCTAATTTTCAATATCTATTTGGTTTAGCCATGACGCAAATGTGTCACATCGTAAAAACTCTGATTGCAGAATCTATAGGACAGGCGTTTTATGCCAAAGCATTTGCAGCACTGAAAGCACTTCGTGTTGAGTGTGTTCGCCATTCCAATCCATCAGTATACAACGCTCTGATGCGTGATCTAAAAACAGAAGTGCAGTCAGGATTACTTTCTCGTGACCATGGTCTAGTATGGAAACTTATAGTTGATCAAGGAGAGTCGTTGATTACCCAGACAGAGTCATGTGTCAGTTTGGTTTCTCACCGTGAAGCTGTAGAGGTAAGACAAAACAGATACTGGAATCACTTTAAATGCGGCTAACCTTTTTATCAAAATTCAGTTTCTACAATACCCAGCACAACAGCCAGCGCTTGTTTCCCGCTCTGCTCGAGAAAGCAATACTGAGGATTTGGTAGGTGTTCAATCGATATTTATGCTATTGAATGTATGCAAAATAGTCGTGTTAATTCAATCTTGCATTTTTCTTGTAACCAACACTGATTTTGTTTCAGTTTGCTCAAATGGACTAAATTGTTCATAAAACCTAGCATATACACGCTGATTTTTACTAACGCAGGATAACAATCCTGATATGCCGTAGCAGAACTCTTGAAACACACAGAATTTGAAATAGTAATAAAGCATAATATATAGCTTCTGATCTACAGAACCCATTCAGGCCACTTTAATTTCCAAAAATCTATATAACATTTCCCTTGTGCATGCAAACCCTCCGCTTCAAACCAATTCCTCACAAGTTTGAATAGTTTTTCAGACGGTGGAAACCTCATTTGCTCCAAACCATTTGTCACCATTTCCAATGCTTCATCCATTTGTCTCCATTTGACCAGGATTTGAAAGTATTTCCACACAATCTGATCAGTGGGAGTATATCTCCATGCTGGTGTAGTGCCTTGTCGTGATAATAAAAGCGATACCGATGGCTTTGATTGATTGATAGATGAATCAGCAATGTTGGAGGTCACTATACGTTCCCATAAGCTTCGAGTTAGTTTTTCGCATCCATGTGCCAGACTCAGTATCTGCAGTGTGTTTCCAACAAATCTATCGCATCCAGCTTGATAATCTTTGACTTCCTGCTGTGTTGGATACCCCATCGTGCTGACATCTGGTGTTAAAACTAATATAGACAAGTCATGTATGATTTGAAATAGCTTTTGGTCTGCGAGATTTTGTAATAGACTCTTGATATGTGTTGGTTGGATTTGTGTAGGAAACAGCATGGTATAAAGAATAAACTCTGCCATAGAATGAACGTGTGATTGGGCAATAGGAAGCGTATTGAAACTTGATAGAAGCGATGGACGCATCATCACGGAACGATCGTTGTCTTGGGTCAGCTCAAGTGAAGAATTGCTTTGAGAAGCATCATATGAATGCAGCGGCAAAGACGATGAGTGGATTAGCATTGTATTCATTGCATTGAGAATATCTAGAGCAGGTATTTTTTGAAGTAGTATTCTGGTTTGTACAATCACTTGGCCCATCATAAACACAACATCGGCGTTGGACCAAGTCACAGCTTTAACTAATAGCGGCTGAATGACAGCTGTTTTGGGTCCTCGCTGCCGTGTCAATATCTGTCGTAGAATAATACAAATAGCATCAGTAGCAGAGTTCCAATTATTTGCCCGGACAAGTATTTCAAATACAAGCATATAAAAAGATAATTCATACGAAATAGGATTTCGGATAAACGTTATCGACACAACTCTTTCAAGCTGTTCTGTAAGTCTATGTTTGATACATATGCGTAGCAATGAAACAACGGTTACACGAAGCGGCTGAAGTCTTTCAGCAATCATCTTTTCAAAACAATCAAATGCCTTCATGTACCAATTCGTAGACAGTAAACCAGCTTGAATTAGCTGATGATAGACATGCTCGTCAAGTTTGAATCCGCAAGAAAGAATCATGTTGTAAACGCGCAGTGCAGCCTTATGGTTACTATTTCTAATATGCAAAGCCATCAATATAGTGTACGTCACCAAAGTAGGAGCATAAGACGTTCCTTGAATGTTCTTTTCAAACCAATCCAATCCATCTGACATTCCTATTGCATGCAGTCGATATTTGAATTCGATTGTTTCGGAATAGATGCTACGCAGTTTAAGTACTGAAATGCCCGACTGCTTTTCAAAATTTTGGTCAAAGTTGTCACGCATGGTATCCGAGATGTCAGGCGAATTAGAGAATACAACGTATTTAAAGATACTGTATGTGAATTCATCTGGACGGCAGTTATGGAGAAGTAGCTGTTCGAACCAAAACATCATAGGATAAAGCAATTTCCGCCGAGAATATCCATCCATTAGTATATTAAAAACCTGAACACCATAGTGATGCTTTCCCTGAATACGCTGATAAAAAAAAGATTCGGCCAGTCTCATAGCATTATCGTCAGCGCTTCGAACATAAGCCAAAAGCGTAGATGTTAGCATGCCTATGGTTGGAATAATTCCTTCTGATTCAGCCATGTTTAGAAATGCAACGGCGCCTGCACCATCTTCTCGGTCGGCATGAGCTCGTATAAGTAGATTATAAATATAATGATCAAACCGAATGCCAGCTTGAACCAACGTGTCTCGAAATGCATGCACCTGCTCTAGACTTCCTAGAACAACATATGCATGCAGCATTGACCGATAAACGTCCATGTCAGGCACCAGTTTGTATTTGAAAGAAACGTCATTAAATATCTGTTCAGCAAACTCTAAATCTTGTTTGAACAGGGCAATAGAGTCAATCATAAATGCATGGCTTTTTAGTATTGCAGTAGCACTATTCAGTTCTGCGAATGGAAGTTTTTCAAATAGAGATTTCGCTTTTGAAAATGTTGATGAGCTTGAGCAGTAGGTTTTTAGTAAATTAAGAGCGTCGGCGACTTGTGGGTTGCTTTTTGATGTTTCTTGTTGGTATTCGGTTACAGATGTGTGTAAACTATCCAAATGGTACGGAATAAAATTATCTGCTTGTGAAGAGTCCAAGGCAGTGAATATAGAGTGAGCAGCTGAAGGATCAAGACTGATTCCTTTCGATCGCATGTTTTGCAGTATTTCTGCAGCAATAAAAACACTTCCTCGACTAAGGTGATCTGAAACAAGTGTAGATAGCTCTGATTGTGAGGTTTGACCAAACGCTGCGTAGTCCTTGACAATTGACCGAATCGTGTTGATCAGTATTTCAGACTCGATTTTAGGTATATCTCTAGAATTATTATATAAAGTGTGAAAACGATCAGTTGCTTGGGAGTCTGCGGGTAAGGTATGATCAATGCTGGATGGTATAGAATGTGAAAGTTGTTTAGAAAGTGGTATGCGATGCTTATCAAAGAATTTCTTGATGTGAGCCAATCGAAGCTCATTGATGTAGCCTGGTGAAGCACCTTTAGCGAAAACATCGTAGATTTCATAAAGAGTTGACATGTGGAGCGATTCTTGATCATGAGGGCTGTGGGATGAAGGATTTAGACGATTATCCCACAAGGATGAAATGGCAAGAAACCTTCGCCATGCAATGTTTTCAGAATATTTAGTTTTTAAATTTTCTGGCATAGACTGCATAGATATTGACGATGAATCAGCAGAAAAATATATATTAGATGTGTTGCTGAATGTATGCGAGCAATTTATATTGGATGTATTGATGAATGTATGCGAACAATCTATATTGAATGTGTTGCTGAATATATGCAAACGAGCTAAGCCTAATGACTGCATTGATAGTGAACGTTTTGTACTATGCATGCTATGAATGTAGGAAATATTTGAAATGAATATAAATTAGTAAACATGAACAATACTTGGACAGATACACGAATGAATAAGCCGAGATTGACACAATAAAACAAGATCTATAGCAGTGGAAATTAAGTTGGATGCTTTCAATACACATAAATGAATCAACTGCAACTGAGTCAATGAAAAAACAATGGTTAAATCTATTGAATGCAACAAGTCGAATGATTACCCGTAAAGATTAAGAAATAAAGGCAGCCGATTTGAATACGAGCGTGGAAACAAAAGCAGATTCAAGGACTGTAATTGGCAAAAATTGACAGAAACCAACAAACATGACGTGGTAATAGTTGGCTGATGTGAAATGCGATACAGCGACCTGTACTGTGCTGCAGCTGGTGATTTTTGTGACAATATAATAGAAGTGATCGCATCTTGATGGAGAGCGCACATGAACTGCGAACACTTTTTATTAAAGGTACGATGCTGACGCTTAACATGTGGGATTGTTGTAGTGGTACGGATGGATGTAGATAGTGTAAAAATCAAATGGCAATAGCAAGAGAATGCAACTGCTTTAGGAAACAGTTTTAATTTGAGCCAACGACAGAAGCTCACACATTGGCTTCTACTGGCAGCAACAACCATCTAAATTCTTATGACTCAATACAGCCCACACCAATCTGTTGCTCACTCGCACCCAAGATTTAGTGTTGTTGAATTCAAACTAGTGTTTCAGTAGACAAACCAACCCAACCGCTTGCTGTTTGATACAGACCAACAGCTCGGTATTGCAAATCTATTCCAATGGCAAGAGCAAGTCTTGTTGCAGTTCAAAACAAAGATTGTCACGTGTGTCACGTGTAATTACACTCACTTTTAACACTCCTCAACCACTCGCTCTTGCATTCGATTTGCCAACAATAACATCTATAATACCAAATGCTGTCGATTCTGGGTCTTCCTGTAGACCCTACCTATGCAACAGAACTCCGTGCGAGGATAAAGGCACTTGTGGGCTGCAAGTCAGATGGGTAATAACAGCTTTTGCTCCCATTGCTGCTGCTATTCTGAATTGATAGTCCAGAACTGCGTATACAAACTTGACGAGCATATTGCATCATGGCTTGGACTTGTTATAACTCAACATGGAATGTTGTGTATTTAATCATCCGAGCTACACTGCCTTGTTTTAAAACACTTTCATTACAATATACTACGCATTATATCTGTGTTTTTAGATTATTAATCCATCTTTACTGGAATTTATCTTGAATCTTTCACTACTTGTTACGATCTATCCTGACTTGAACGGTCCATTGCAATTCATTCTTTGCTACTTGTTTAGCTTTCCTGGCGCTGTTTCTTTACATCTCACACAAGTTCGTCTGAAAATCCTTGAAGAAAACGATTACTTTGTGTGTGAGCGAGGTCGAGGCTCTCGTGTACTCGTTCTTCTTTTGGTCACTCCAAGCGGCCCTGCTGCATTTATTGTAAGCCTTTTAAATGATGCATTCAAATCTACCTGTTCATGTGCAATCAATTCAATTATTGCTACAATATTAACTATTGCGATGCTACATTGGTTTTAGATGGACAAGGGTTGCAATCTGTATTATAACGAGATCCACTTTCCTCATGGAAATAATCATCAGGCATTTCTTCACGATACTATCATGGATGGCGAGATGGTTTTACTTCAAGTAAGGCATTTTTTGGTTTTATCAAATTTACTTGACTAGCATTGGTGCTTATAAAATAATAATATTTGTCATTGAACTATTCAAACCTTATTAGAACCAACCAGCAGATAAATCTCAATTTAAATTTGTTGCTCGTGATCTCATCTCAATTAGTGGGATAAACGTCACTCTTCGATCTCTTAGCACTCGAGTCGGGGTGAGAACGATTTCAAATGCGTCATTGTTCGACTTGTATTCATTTTTCAGTATTACTTTACTAATAGTTTTTGATTTGGGCACGTTGTAGATTTTACAGCAAGACATTATTAAACCACATCATCAATTTTTACAAAAGTTTCCTGAACTGGCAGCCAAAACTCCTTTTGCGTAAGTGGTGGACTCTACAACTGTGTTTTCTACACTATATGTGTTAATTACAATCATTGATTTGAACAGAGTTGAGATTTGTCGACATGAGCGTTCTTATGGCCTTGGCATTATTCTTGGCAATATTTCTCGTGATAAGTTGCCTAGCACTGGCCTATTATTTACTCCAGTTCGCGCTGCATATTCTCCTGGGCAAGAGACACAAGAAGTGGGACTGTAAGTTGTAATGGTCTTGTTGGATTTCATGTCTATAAATTATAGTGCTTTGGCTTGTTTTGCTGATACTACTGTTTTTGTATTAGATTAAAATGGATTTTTCCTAATGCACACAAAGCATGTTTTAAAGTTCGGGTGGTATTTGATAAGGAGCGCAAACCTCACTACCATTTATTGATTGGCGATCATGGGAGTCATAAATATGCAGATGATTTGAGTTTACCATTAGATGTCGCACAACTGTGAGTATAGTGACGATGCATGCTTTTATGCCAAGTGTATATTTAACGTTTTCAACCAATCAATCATAGATGGAAGAGTCCATCACCTGATGGGCGAATTGTAGAGTGCACATATGACCCAGTTTGGAAGACATATATGTTTGAAAATGGATATGCGGGCGATGTGCGAATAGGTGGATGGCGGTTTATTCGATTTAGGTATGATGATTGATTAAAATTTGTGTTGGAATTAGAGTTGATTCTGATTGACTCGTTTTATTATTGTAGGGACGATAAACGTGTTGCTGATGAAGAGTCCAAACTAAAAGAGACAATGGAGGCTATAAAATACTGCATTACTCGAGAAGTGGTATGATTATTTGCAATAGCCAGTCAAGACTGCGTACTCTATCACAGTCATTGAAATTTGTCTTTCGATATACTCTGTTTATATTGAAATTATTTTTATTGCTACATTGATTGATTTAGCTGGACTCTCATGTCGAGGCAATACGAGCACAGTGGAAGGCAAGAGAACGGCGCGCCCATCAGGCTGCACATCCAGATCAAAGGTCAGCTGTGACTGTTTAGATTTTATTGGGTGGATTGGCATATACTAAATTACAACTCTTGCTTTTTGGAATGATTTTTTATTTTCTTGATGCTAGACCTACAGAAGATGCACTGACACACACCCAATCATCTTTGGCTCCAACAAGTGCAACGGCTGCATCTGCTTCAGCACAGTTGGATGAAACTCATCCTTCCAAGCGATTAGACCGTAGAGAATCTTTTTCAAGTATGGATGGAATCACTGATCCTCATTTGCCAGACACACATCGTCGTGGCTCACAGGGAAGCAATACTTTAGGTGTGGTTCCGCATATTCAATGTATCGAAGGCACATCTAATCCATCTAGCAAACCCGATTTACACGAAAGACGTAATCGATGGGATAATACGACATCATCACATAATTTAGCTGATGTACGAAGTGTGCATCCATCGTCATCTTCACGACAACCGAATACCCCACTGCGTGGTGTTGCATTGGAAACACGACATAATCGGAACAAATCCAATGGGTCGGATGCCTCAGCTACTAACTCGTTGACACGAGATATAAACCAACCTCAGACGGGTGTTCATTGCAGACCTGCATCTCTTGGGACTTCTGGCAGTGAGAGCAACTCAGTGAATGCTTTTATAGAAACCTCGGTTTGCCAAGATGTTCAATCAAGCTCAAGAGTGCGTGGAGGACCAACCCGTCATAATCCTGCAGCCATATCACCATCTAGAAAAAAGCTATCTGGAGCAATCTCGGTATCATCCATCACCTTGCCCTATGTTGCCTCACCTTTGTTTAGTACTCCTGTCGTGTCAACAATGCCTACTATCACATCTATTCCAACACACATTAATCCAGCACATTCACATACCACTCCTTTAACACCACCCGCATTAGTCTCATTTATTTCAGCATCACGACAGCACGAAATAGACACCAAACCATACAGCACAGACGAGAAAGAACAACATAATGTAGATGAGCAACACAAAATTGAGACGGTTGTTGAGGAGGAGATTATTGATGGTGGCTTCACACAAACTAATCCGACTCAAGCGTATTTATTTCAAAGTGGGTCGAATGAGCACAATCAGTCAGACTCGTTACCACAACCAAAAACACATGTCTCGCAGGACAATCTTTCCGGAAACTGCCCGTCTTTTGCAATACCTGTTGGGACAAAGTCCTTGGCACCGAACAGCAGTCCAGATACGTTTTCACAAAACAACAAACGGCATAAAGGACCCGATATTCTTCCACAACAGCAACCTCACGATGACTGCATTGGTCAGAAACACCAACGTGGGAAATGCGGACCTACAACATTGTCTGCATCTGTTCCCTTGTCTGATGTATTGTCACATCGAGGTCCGGTGCGTGTAGGGATGAGTTGTGATGTACTGAGTACAACAAGATCAAGTGCTCCTGTTGTTCCCAAACCTCAGTTTGTTGTTCAGACACAAGCTCCATGGCGACATGGAATATTAGATCACGGAGCTCTTGAAACTAAACCTGCATGTGCTGATAGAGGTGCTCCTCATGTTGAGGATGACTATGACGATGAGAGTCCGTTATCAGATGTTGCTTTAGAACGGTATGGTCGTCATGAGCCTGCTTTTTCACATCCTAGCGGACCTAGCGAAATTATTCCCACAACGACCCATCTAGAACAAAGCCAGCATATAGCAATTGATTATATGGACAAATCTGTTGATATTGTCAAAGTTAATTCGCGAATCATAGCATCATCAGATGACAACCAAAGCGATATGGTTGAACTGAAAGTTAAAAACGATGAGGCGAATGTGGATATATTACACACAGCTTGTTCAGTTGAAACTGTTGATTTTCAAGTAACGAACGGATCATTATCAACACCAGTAGATACGGCTTTGACAACACAACCGCCTATACGACGGAAATTGAATTGGTTGGAATTGGTTATGAATGAACCCATGTAGTTGTGTTTTGCGATGAATGTTTTTAAAATAGAAAGGGTTGATAGATTGTTTACGGCTAGCGATAAAGGGCATGAGAATAGGGGATAAAATAAAATAAGTTTTCAGCAACCCATCACCATGAGTGTGTTTTCTGAAATGTATTCACGTACAATCCATTAACCAACAAGTGTAATTGGATTTGGTAATGTCCTTTTAGGAATATCGACAGATTGTTGATTTAAATGGCATGAGCGCTTATCGTGTTTTCTGTATCCAAACGACAGTCTGACTTGGTGCGACTTTCTAACCCACTTGATGGAATATAGAACAATGTCGCACATTCGGTTCTGTTCTTGCGCGAGTTTTGGTACGTTATTTACATCGTTTACACCAAACCAAAACGATCGTGCAGTTTACCAGCCAAAAGCTTATTTCCGCAATGTTGCAACAACCTGTTTGATGACATTAAATTAGTTTTGAAACATGACAAGATTAGGTTGAAATATAAGTATTTTTATTCCGATTGTCACTAGAATTAATGTGATATTCTGAATTCCAAATCGACATGAAAGTTTGTTTCGTTGGCAAAACCCGTCCGCCTGAGGGTATTACAAACAAGTTCAAATGGTTGAATATTAGGAATTCTTTCCAACATCACCGGTCATGACTGATGAATCTGCTGCTGTAGAGCAAACCCCGCTGGATGAAACTACCATTGAGCTGATTTCTAGCAATCGAGCCATTCCAGAGAATCATCCAGGCCTGGATGTGTGTAATGCAAGGTCTAGCAGCAACACCAAAGATTTAATGGATCTTGGATCGTATCAACCAGCAGCAATCTGTTTAGCAGCTGTACAAAATGATCATGACTGCCTCAACAAGACTAGATCGTCATTGTCATTGAACGTACCATTTCCAGTGTCGATTTTCAGAAACAAGTGTGAATCTAAACCCACTTCGCATCAAGTAGTAGGAGTCAACCACCACCAACAGTATATAGATTCATCCAAACCTTGTTTAGTTCCTGGATGCACATCAGATCAGCCCTTGTCACTTTTTCCACAGTATGTAGCTGCATCGCTTATTCTAGCGACAACAACATGGATATTGGCAGCCATTGCTCAGTCAGGACGACATCGACATCGATCTATGGTAAAACCAAATACTTTTTATTTATGAATGGATCTGGTTTGTTTTCAGTTGAATACACCGTTTTTGTTTACTGGCCACCTGATGGGTTGTGACCAGGAAATGGGCTTGCAACTCACCCATGCATGCACAATGACCGCTTTTGATTGTTGCTTTGAAGCGTTGAGCGGCTTCAAGCATATTTGGTTGATAATCACTTGTTTGAGAAAGCGACCGAGTTTGTACAATTAGCCATGGATTTGCTTTTCAATGATGGATGTCTTTTAGGGGAAAATCGGAATTTATTCTTATTGGATGTTTGACAAGTATACCGCAATGGATTACTTGATCGACCACTTTTGAATCTTCAAACGAAAGGTCGAATGATTGAACTCGTACACCAATACTGCTTTATTTCCTGTAAATGTTTTGCTTAATGGCACAATAATATTTGGTGTTGGACATCAATTTGAACTGAACAAAATGCTTCTCTTTGTTTGGCCAACTCATATGACTGATTAGCGATCTTATTTTTTGATTGCAATTCTTTTTCGTAATCTGCCGATTCACAAACAATTGCTTATTTTGAACCCTGTTTATGGCTCAATGGGGTTTGGACACATTTTCATTTCAAACTCACTGCTAACTATGGCTTGTTTTACAACCCTGATTAAATTTCTACTTCAACACTTTTAGCGTCCATATTCTGTCACTGTTTTTATGATTATCTCTGGACTGCCTATGATGATAGCAACCATGTTGACTGCCATTGTATCTGCCCTATTATCTCTGATTGCTCGATGGATTCTTCCCTTGTTATTTTCTAGTCGAGTCCCCAATAACAGTACTGCCAAATCGTCAATACATTCTTTGGTACGCAGACGCTCGTCGCATCACACACTCCGACGAAAAAAACATTTGAGTTCTACCAGCATTCATTCTGTGGATCATCACTTCCCTAACCCCCTTGACCGCATTCACGGTCATCATAGCTCTTGTCCAAATCATATTGCTTTACCGAGTAGTGGAAGCGACTATAATAGTCTTGCAAATATGTCTGATTTGACACCCGCAACCGTAGCTGCAGTAGATTCTTGTCAAGATTACCCGCTTCTCACTGCCTTGGCAGTCCCAGCTACCCACTTGAATTCAAACTTGTATTCAGCTACATGTACAACACGGGCCAAATCGGCGTTGGATCAGCAGTGTATGCAAAATTTTGTACCATCTTCAACCAACAATGTGGACAACATGAGCGATGCACTCGGCCCTGTAGTGGATCCTGCAGACTCAAAAGTACTCTCACCTTTGGTTTTACGTTTTATTCAACCACAACAGTTTCCATCAAAGTCAAAGCCGCAATCGATCTCAAACGAACAGAGAAAACTACATCAGAATGGTACTCGCTACACGAACTCCGCTGTCGCGTCACTCGAGTGTCTACCCAAAATCCATGGCACTGATAAGCAATTACCAACATCTGCCTTGGATGCTCAGTTTAATCTTGCTGCTACACCTAAAGATCTACATTCCTACACACATACCACCCAGCCCATTGCATCCCAGCTACTATCTCATTCATCGCGTCTTGTGCCTGTTTCAATCCCTAATCTACCACAACCACCCAACACCAGTGCAGAAATGAGTAATACAGCCACTTTTGACATCCATACCCAGAATGATAAGCAGGCACAGTATGATCGATCCAACCATTCTCTACCACACACAACCTTCTCTGCTAGCAAGCATTCTTTAAATCATCATCGATCTGATTCAACTACAGCCAGTGCTAACTCGACTCGAAATCGTCTTGGGCACACTTTGCTTCCCGAATCTCCATCACCATTAAACTCGCATACTGCATCACTAAAATCTATACCACATGGAAGATCAAGCAAGTTGTGCTTTGACTCGCTAACTAAAGATTGTCAACCGCCTCCAACTACAAACCATTTACTATATGCTAAACATGCATGTAAACCCAAGCTAGACTGCAATCCTACGAGCCTTGAAAGTTCAATGTCAAACCATCAACCACGCATATATTCCAGCCATACTGCTACTTGTCCTTCTGCATGGTCTACTCCACTTGCCGTTCACTCAGATCCCAATTTTAGTTCCACTTTATCTCACGTCACACCCTTATCAACTCCTACAAAAAACTACACTAATCTACAAAAAGCACCCGTTCCTCAGCAGAATGCGTTTTTGAAAAAACATGGCATTGTATTGTCTAATGTGGTTGAAACTGACTCATTTCGAGATTCAACTGCAAATGTCAACCCAAACACATGTATGCGTTCCTCGACGTATAATGATGCACAATATCAAAATTGCTCGCCATCTTCTGTACATCCAACGGCACAATCCTTGACAAAAGCATACACTGGCCACTTACGTAAATCATTCATTGATAATCACATTGTACCAACTACTATGATGTTTTCAAAAAGGTATATGAAAAACCGTCATGACTTTGAAACCAACGGTGCTTTGAATACCAAATCGGTCGCTGATGTGCCTTGTATACGTGACAATCCGACTGTTTGCAGCAGTATCCCACGCTCATCCATCTCTAATGTCTCACATTTGCAACATCGTCGTTCACATTCTGCGCTAGTGCTTTCTCCCACCAAAGAATCGTGTGTGGACTATGAGATTCTCTACAAAAGTGCTTACAACTCTCTTTTTGAAAAACTTTTACAGTCACCATTTGACGAGTTGACAAGTACTTCGGATGTCATGTCCACATCGGCAAACATGGCACACTATCCATCACCAGCTCGTACACGTGCATTAACTGCACCTATTGAAACTAGTGAATTTAAACAGCAAAGACCGCATTTGTTTAATCTAGATAAACAACCCACACATTCTTTCCAAACCCAACTACTACACCGTGGTGGCTCACTCGATCGACTACAGGATCATCATCAACAGTATTATTCGGTTTTTTCCGGTCTAAATGTTCATTTGGAAAATGGTTTAAACGATGCTAATGGATGCACTTCTGCACCAATGCACAGTTTGTTTGATAGGTCTAACGACAGTATTCGTAATGGACTGGATCTCTCTTTTGAAAACAATAGGTTTGGACAACCATCACTACAGCTTTCATCTCAAACTGGTTCATTTTCTGATAAGATTAGTAGAGTCAAGCGGCTGTTGAATGCACCGTCACTGTTTGATAGATCGTTTACGGCTAGCGATAAAGGGCATGAGAATAGGGGATAAAATAAAATAAGTTTTCAGCAACCCATCACCATGAGTGTGTTTTCTGGAATGTATTCACGTACAATCCATTAACCAACAAGTGTAATTGGATTTGGTAATGTCCTTTTAGGGATATCGACAGATTGTTGATTTAAATGGCATGAGCGCTTATCGTGTTTTCTGTATCCAAACGACAGTCTGACTTGGTGCGACTTTCTAACCCACTTGATGGAATATAGAACAATGTCGCACATTCGGTTCTGTTCTTGCGCGAGTTTTGGTACGTTATTTACATCGTTTACACCAAACCAAAACGATCGTGCAGTTTACCAGCCAAAAGCTTGTTTCCGCAATGTTGCAACAACCTGTTTGATGACATTAAATTAGTTTTGAAACATGACAAGATTAGGTAGAAATATAAGTATTTTTATTCCGATTGTCACTAGAATTAATGTGATTTTACATCACGTGTTTAGATTGTATTTTGGGTTTTGCAAATAAATTTTTTTTCTTCGAATTCGAGTTTTTGATTCGTTTTTAATCTCAGTCGACATGGCAGGAAAACTTAAAAAGGCGAGTTTGCTTCGTTTTATATACTGAACAGTGTTATAAAATGCTGGGTTTGAAAGGATTGTATAGCTTTTAGGAACATACACTTTCAATAGGCTGAAACTTGCATTTATACTCGCCATGCAATCAATCTCGGCTTACTAGATTTTTCATCCATATTTAATTGCTGACATTTACCTTTTAAAAATTAATTTTATACAGGGAAAAGAAGGCAATGTTCTTAAATACATTTCTCGATCTCAAGCTATCAAGAAACTTCAAATTACTTTGACTCAATTCAGGTAAAGCATGAACTTGTTGACTGAATCAACTTTTTATTGGGCTGGTCAATCCTACGCTGCTGATTGCATGGAAATGTATTTTGAGTTCAACTGCTAATCGACTATACATTTCATTTAGACGTCTATGCATTTTAAAGGGAATTTATCCTGTTGAGCCTAAAAACAAGCGTCAGCTCGCAAAGGGTTCTACAACTTGGCAAACTTACTATTTCCGAAAGGATATTCAGTTTTTGCTTCACGAGCCTGTCTTGCGTGTTCTCCGTGAACAGCGTTCTCATAAACTCAAACTCAACAAGGCCATCGGGAAAAGGGAGTTTGTTGTTGCTAAACGGCTGTATGAGAATCGTCCTGTTTACACTCTGGACCATATTATTAAAGAAAGGTATAATTGTTTTGAATGATACCTTGACTCGATTCATTATTGTACATGAACTGTGTCTGACCTTGCTCCCGATTAGATATCCTTGCTTTGTGGATGCACTCCGTGACCTCGATGATGCTCTTTCAATGATTTTTCTGTTTGCCACAATTTCAGCAAATCAACATATCTCTGCTGCCCATATTCGTGAATGCCAGCGTCTGAGCGCGGAATTCCAGCATTATGTCATTATATCTCGATCTTTAAAAAAAACTTTTGTGAGCATCAAGGGCATTTACTACCAGGCCGAAATCCGTGGTCAATTGATTACCTGGATTACTCCCTTTCAATTTTCTCAAGATGTAAGTGTTGCTTTATAAAATACAGTCTGTACACCTTGAACCAAAGTTTTAAAACGCTAATGGCAAACTGCATGGTTTCACTTGTATACTAGGCTCCTATAGATGTTGATTTCCGTGTTATGGACACCTTTTTGGAAATTTACGAACCACTTGTCGGGTTTGTCAATTATAAACTGTACTCTGACCTGAACTTGGTTTATCCACCAAAGATTAGCACAGATAGCGAAACTAGTGCTATTGGGCTATCTGCATTTATTATTGAGAGCAGGGAAAACGAGGATGTAGTTCAATCTGTTTCTATTGCTGCTGATGGTCCACCTACAGCTATGGGTAATCAAGTCAGCCAATCTGCACAGCGTCTCAAGACTTTGAATCAAAAGATTGGTCAAATTGAGGCTGCACAGGACAGTGACAGTGACATGTCAGATACTGCAGGTATAATTATTGAAGAAAATGGATTGGATGCCAATGGCGGCAACGATGAACAGATGGACATTCCAGCTCCTATTTCTGCTCCAACTACGCTGGAAGAGACAGTGCCAACTCTTGCATCGTGGAAAGCCTCCGAGTCTGAGCATGCAAAATCTGCTCGTCTTTTTTCATCCTGTGTGTTTTGGCTCCCTCGTGAAGTTTCTCGCAACTCGCTTGAATTTATCATCAAATCATTTGGAGGCAAAGTTGGCTGGGACGCAAGTTCTGGAAGTGGATCTCCTTATCAAATCTCTGACAGTTGCATTACCCATCATGTCTGTGATCGCCCGGTTCAAACTGTTGGACAATTGCCTATTGGTGTAGAACGCTTTGAATCTCGCGAGTACATTCAGCCTCAATGGGTGTATGACTCGGTTAACGCTGGGCGACTGATCAAAACAGCTGGGTATCATCCTGGAGATACATTGCCTCCACATCTGTCGCCGTTTGTTTCTGTTGAAGAAGGAGACTATATTCCTGAACAGGACATGGATGTGGATGCCGAGGTTGCTGTTGCCGAAGTCGAGGTAAACTTACTGTTGTGATGGATGGCATATTGATTGTTTTTAACCCAACTGACATGTTTTGATTTATAGGACTTGGAGGCAACATCTCAAGCCGAGCTTGAGGCTGAAGCTGCTGGTGTGCAGTTTAGTAACTACGATAAGGCCAGCGTGCCGCATGCAAAGAATGCTGCTCTGACTGTTACAGATAAAAAGAAATCGATGCTGACCGAAACTGAACAAGAAGATCGTGAAGCCAAAGAACTTGCCAAGAATATGATGAGCAAGCGCGACAAGAAATTGTACGACGGTATCCAGAAAAGAAAAGAGAAAAAGGCTGAACATGTCGAGATCTTGAAAAATAAGAAGCGGGCATTGAAAAAACATCAAAATTAGTCATTTTCAAAAAATGTTGGTTTGGAATAAACGAACGAGTTTTGTTTTTAACCTATTGATGTTGAATGATTGAATCTTGTCTAATTGACTATAGCCATATCCGTGTAAAATGGAACATTGAATAAGAATGTCTGCATAATCAAGACGATTTCCACCAAATTTACTAAACTCATCAACACTGGGTGATTAGCATGTAAACAGCTTGCAGTCAATGTGTAGTAGGAATATGCAATGGGTATTTGACCATTGTCTTTCAAAACAGGACAGATACTCGACTGCTCCGTTCCATGTGAATATGGCTGTCAAGAAAAAAATGACATTATTTATAGTGCTTTTGATGAAAAAAGAGCTCCCTGTGGGTGTCGAACCCACGGCCTTGCGGTTAAAAGCCGCACGCTCTACCACTGAGCTAAGGGAGCATGTCTATTCCTAAAATATTTACAAATATATTACTTCTTATAGAAATGTAGTTTTGTTATATTTGCAGTTTATCCCTTAGAATCCCATCAATACATTTAGATGGCTCTATAACACCACGTATAAAATCCATCCGGTATCTAATCATGATGCTCAGTGATTCAACAATGTGGTTGAATACTCACCATAGTAGTTGGTGCATCAAACGGTGACAAAGATATTATAAATACTAATTCCAAACATGAGTAGTTTATTGTAATGGATTTTACAATAATTTGTTTTAAATCCAACTATTTGCTCGATGAGTCTGCCGATACTTTGGCTAGCAAATCTACGACCTTTTCATTCATCTCCTCGTGCAGTTTAATCCAGTCTTGGAATGTCTTTTTAAAGTGGTCTGCATCGTATAGCTCAGAATCGAGATAGATATTAAACAATGCTCCAAATGACCATTTAAATGTAATATCAAAATTGGTTTGAGTCTTGAATATTACGGATTGGATTATCATAAGCGTAGTTTTAAGATCAAACGAAGCATGTGTCAAATCCGTGATTGTCCTGTATATATCCTGTCTCGCTTGTTTAGAAAAGGTACTTATGTGTTTAAAGTAGTTTTTAAAATTTTCAAATACTGCCAATGTAAATGCATGAGTGGTTTGGAATTGGATACTGTCAAGTAGTTTCAAGCTATTTTGGGCCCAAGTGTAGTACTCATTGGAGATTGACCAAAGCAAGGACAAGATAACTCCAAATTCATCTGCATAGACTGATGAAGTAGCTCGGGCATTTACTAGTGCCAAATCAGATCCGTCCAACTGATTTTTAGGATCTTTTCCAAGCCATGTCTGAACCTTTTGCATCCTAGTTTTGATTGGTACAATAGGCTCGTCATATCGACCATTTGGATTTGGAGATTTGGGCGGATTTGACGTAATGCCAAGTAGTACTCCGGTAAATTGATATCTACTCCAGTAGAAATTTAGTTGACGCACTTTTTTACCTTTACCAACTCTAGTGACTTCGGGATTGTCAAAAGCATAGTCCTTGTCATCGATTACAAGCTTGCCAGTAAGGAAAAAATAATCTAATATCTCAGCTACTCGTTTGGAAATTGAATCGAATTTACTTTCCCGGCTTTTGTAGTAACGGCTAAACTCATTGCTCATTACTTGTGGAGTATGTTGGGGATTTTGATCCGAGCTGGTTCCAGGTACGGGATTTTGATCTGAGCTGGTTCCAGGTACGGGGTTTGAGTGTTGCTCTGGAAGAATGGCACAGACATTGCTAGTCAAGATCACCGCAGCAAGAATCGAAACGCTTATATATTTCATTTCAAATAAAATTTCGGTTCACTATTGAAGAGGTTGATGTTCTACTTTTTATGCCAATGAAGTTTCAAATATTCCCACGCCCTATTCATATGAAATAGAATATCAAGCAAGGGTGAGCATATAATAAACGGTCAACCCCATGACATGATTGATGCCTGCTTACTGCCCAATAGTGCGCCGTTTGAGCTCCCTAATAAGATTCATTGGGTCTTTGCGTCCATTTTGTATCAAAAAGCTGAATGAATATTTGAAGCATTTATATCCCTGTTTCAATAAACCACACCTATTCAATCTTCAACTCTTGTTCTTTTCGCATCACACATTACGAGTAAATATCGAGTGATTGGCATGTGTAGTTGTATTCCTGAGATTGCGATCTTTGGTTTCTTGAATTAGGACGCGAATGTATCCGAGATTAGGATACAGGATATGGTAGCAACCAACCAAATATGCAATCATTGTATATTGTAGTGCATAACACAATCACTGCAAAATGAATACAAGTAATCCATTTTATGTCAATATAGCTGTCGATACGACACTACCAACACCATGCTACGTAATACCACACTACATATATTGCATTGCAAACTGACAACACTAATTGACCAATATCAAACCGGTTGATGTCGCAATCTACATCCGACTTTGAACAAGTGTATTGCTCAGTTTGTTGTACAATGCACGACATTATCAGTTGGTGATATCATGCAAGTGCGATTGGTAGTTGCAAGTAAAACCAGTTGTTATCATGTCATTGATGCATATGGAACAAACCATGTCAATGTATTAATCAAAAATCCAGTAACTGTTGATGTAATACCCAACACAATATACAATCAACGATGGTTGTTGACCCATTCACAATACTCGACAAATACCAACACACCAGAAAGTTCAAGTTTATTCAAAATCAAATTCATTAACAAATCATCAATCTGAATCTGAACTCAAACCATGCTTTTTCATTCTCATTCTTTTTTCGCTGCTTCATTACACTTTGCTTTCAACTGTATTTCATCTGTACTAGTATTGCCTGATTCATCTGTGTTCAAAGTGCTTGGAACAGGTTCATTAGTCGGAGCAGGCATTTTACTGGAGATGCTTTGGGTAAACCATTGTTACCAGCTGGGATTAGTACTGCACTAGCAGTTGCTGCCACGGTCAGTACGAGTAAAATGTCAATAAACTTTATTAGATCGATGAATAGGTTTAAACAATTGCTGGAGCGTTGATGTCAATTCTAACTCTGACATTATTGTATTTATATTTTTGTATAGTAAACCAATCCTAGCTTGTTTAGGTTAGTAACTATACAAGGCTACTTGATTGTTGTGGTGTACCACTTGGACAGTGTGTTGTTCCTCAGTCATAATATCATATTGGTATTTGCGTTGATTGGATCGTGCTACGATCTTTACATTGGGTATATTGAAAAGTGTAGTCTTGCAAGACTCCCTTTTACAGTCGTATTCACGTAAAATAGAGCATTTTTCAGTATCCTGCAATGACTTTTTTTGCTTTGGAATGCATGATGGCTGAATATCTAGTGCTTTCCCACTACACATTGATTCCAATCGACATGCTCTATCCAATTGCAACATGCATCTTATGATACACAATCAGACTATGGCTTTGATCTGAGATTCACTACTTTTAGCACAGCCATATATTGTACAATCACCAGATTTATGCATTGCAATCTAGATGTTTGATTCGACTGTTTTGATGGTATCAATACAACTCTGTACACACATTTGTTGTATTCTGAATCTCGAATATGTTTGCAATCTAGTTCAAGAGAACAAAGATTGCACGTCACAGGAATGCGACTATACATGCCAATCATCATTCCATGAAACTGTATGTTTACTGTGTATGTTGGTCTTATCTAGTATTCCGTTTACATGAATGAGGCTGTAAATGTATAATCTGGTTTAATCAATATAATGATGAGCTCATCCTAGATAGGGAATGGAGCAAGTCAAAAAATTTGGTGCCAATAAGGATCTTTCTTTCAAGACAGTAAATGAAGGATCCAAGAATGGAGCGAAATGGCAGCATTAACCACATTTAGAAACCAGCAGCAACTGCACCAGCAACACCAAGCATAACTGCATTCATCAGCATGTTGGCACCATTAGATTCACCCGCAGCCTTGGCAGCCGCAGTAGGAACGGCAGAGGCGGCGACAGATGAAGCAGCGGTATGACTTTGAGCAGAGTTGGATGAAAAGGTAGGCAGTGGAGGGAGAGAAGATAGAGAAGCAGTAGGGGCGTTTGAAGGTGAGCTGACATGCTGAGCAGCTCCACAGAACTGAGTAGAAAACTGTTGCTGTGTATAGATGCCAGTGTCGCCAGTACAAAACATCGAGTAACTGCCAATGTCGTGGTTTCAAATACAAGAGTTAGTATGTCGGATCATAACCGGACGCGTAACTTGGCAAAACTCACCAGTTGACAAGCAGGTTAGAGAGTCTGCACAAACAGTTGTAGTAGGCATAGTTGTCGGTCTGTAAAGATTTGCAGGCTGTTGGTATTAAAAGTACATGTGAGATAACAGTGATGCCAGAAAACAAGTCGGTCAAGGTTTCACATGATCAAGGCACTGTTTTAGTTTTAAAATAATTGTGCTATAGCCATGTTCACGTAAAACAAAACACTAAATAGGAGTGTCAAGATGCATGATAACAGACAGTTTACACCAAATTTACTGGACAGCATTGTGCCATATAAACTTTTAGTTTACTGGTTGACATGTATAGTCGCATTCCTGTGACGTGCAGTCTTTGTTCTCTTGAACTAGATCGCAAACATATTCGAGGTTCAGAATACAACAAATGTGTGTACAGAGTTGTATTGATACCATCAAAACAGTCGAATCAAACATCTAGATTGCAATGCATAAATCTGGTGATTGTACAATATATGGCTGTGCTAAAAATAGTGAATCTCAGATCAAAGCCATAGTCTGATTGTGTATCATAAGATGCATGTTGCAATTGGATAGAGCATGTCGATTGGAATCAATGTGTAGTGGGAAAGCACTAGATATTCAGCCATCATGCATTCCAAAGCAAAAAAAGTCATTGCAGGATACTGAAAAATGCTCTATTTTACGTGAATGGCTGTAATTAACCCAAATCAAGGTGTCAACCCCTAACTATCAGTAATCGATAATTAAAAAGCAGCCATGATTCAAGCCTCATTTGTCAATGTCAAAAAATAAGATAGGCAGCAGTCAGGCTAATGGAGTGTCTTGGCTTTCACTGCAGAGCCATATAGTATCAGACATGGCAGTTGGGCTCATAATGCCATGACAATTTGAAACCTCGAATTACAGATACTATAGCGGCCTGAATATCAGTATAAACTCACCAGAGAATTGATCAGTAGGGCCAGGCATGCCATTGGGATCAGTTAAAGAGTTGTAGGCGCACTGGTTAAAAGTGGCCTGATTTGTGCCTGTAGTGCAGGTCAGAGCATGAGCAGAGCTGACAAGGAGAGCTGTAGCGATGGCAAATTTCATTTCAATTAGTTGTATTCACGTAAAATAAAATTATCTTGCAGCAACTTTTATTCTGCTTTGGATGAACAATGGCCAAATATTCGTTGCGTTTCCCCGCTGAAAATTCACTGCACCGCCACTTCAAAATCACTCGATTCTTTCCGTGTCAGAATCACGTTGCAACCGTTTTATTGATAAAACCATTTTCTAAAGGGTTCAAGAATGAACAGTAGAGGGTTCATACCTTGCAATATTGCTATTTTTTGATCGGTTGACAGGCCATGATAGTGAATGTGCTGTTTATAATCAAATGGGCATTAGCAAATATCCTTTCAATGCGATTGTTTAGAAATCCTAGATATCAAAGCATGTTCAGCTCCCTTGATCTCTAAACACAATGTTCATCATATGATACACAATCAAACTACAGTTGAATCTGCCTTTTCTCCTTTTTTGGCATAGCCATACATTGTGTAATGGACAGTTTAGAATCAGACTCACGCATTGCAGTCCAAATGATGGTTTTGGTCTTTACAACAGCAACATTGTGATACCCTGACACGGCCAAATCCCATTTTTCAAAAAACTCGGCTTATTGAATTGCCAAGTTTATTGTATATCAGTCAAATTTGTTATCAAAACCAGCCCATTCATAAACAATCAAAATGTGTTTATTCGTCATCTTCCAATTCAAGTATATCCTCCGATTCCAGCTTACGATGCAAGAGTGGGTAAATCTCTGATTGAAAATAAGATGGCACTTTGGCAGGTGGATGGGCAGCATTAATAATATCAAAATATGCTTGATAAACATCGCCATTGTATTTTCCAAGTGGCGAATTAATGATGAAGTCGGAGTAGTTGAAAGAATCCGTCAAGGGAATGGCATCTACGCGAATTTCTTTGCACAGTTCAGAAACACGGGCCTTTACCCATTCAATCTATAAAAAGCAAATACAAGGTCAGTAACACCCAGATCTACAATAGCACTCGACATTACAAACATGGACATGCCTGAAGTGAAGTGAAAAATTCGTACTGCAGGAATGGACCGGTATTCTCTGAAATATTGTATAGGCCATACAACAGACACAGCTTGGTAAGAATAGGTTGCAAATTAGCAGGTGCCTTTAAAACTCCATCCTTGAAACGATGGAACAGATAGCCGTAGCTATGGATCTTGGCTGCATACAGCCGTGCTTGAGCTGATGTTCATTGTTAAAAAGTGAAACTATGCATCAGCTCCTACTTTGTACAATCTACAACCACATCAACACAAGCGTATGCTTAGACTTACAACACTCTTCATAAGCGGCATCTTCTTTCAAACCGCGTTTAAGAGATGCCTCAAAGTTCTCACCAGCAGCCTTGATCACATTGGCAGCGACTAGCCAATGCGCCTGGCCTATCATCTCCATACTGATCTCAGTAGCGTTTTTAGCCAAGCACCGAATCTTGAGAAACGAGTCAAGCTCATTCAAGTAGGCCACACCGCCAGCTTGTTTTTTTCCAGCCTTGGCTTCGCGGTAACAGCCAATGAGGTAGCGGCCTGCCTGCAAAGTAAGAATTGTGTTATCACCCTCCCATGTGCATTGTACGGCAAAATCACCATACAGGGATGACAAGCCTGCATAGGCAGAATATCCATGTCCTCCAAGAGATTGACGGCATTGATCAATAACATTTAACGCACTCCATGTGCAAAAAGCTTTGAGTCCAGCACTGGTACCATGCACTTCCTTGAGATGATCGAGAATTTGGGGAATATTCTTGTCCCCTGGTCGAAGAGTTTCCATCTGAACCATGAGATTATCATAGATAGATTGCACTTCAACACCTGTAAAGTGCATAGCAAACTAATACAAACAAAACATGTATGATGATATAAAGTCAATATACAAAGATATATAAACTCGGAATATACTCGAGAATAGTAAATCTGTAACATGCATAAAAATTCGACTCATTTAATGCTTACAGCTTGAGCAAGAAGCGGAATCAAACGATGTTGATGAATAACATAGTCTAGTAGTCTGGTTTCCGGCACGCCAGGACGAGCGCCAAATTGACGACGAATAGCTGCGTAACGAAGTGCGATTGTAAGAGCTTTTTTACTAATGTTTCCAGAATCTATCACAGCAAATAAAAATAATGACCATCAAATTGATTAGTAGCCAAGATTAATCATGGATAAAAATACCACACATTAACCGCCTCATACCAACAACCATGGTGACTCGACCGCTAATCAGTGCTCCATAAGTTAGCTGTTGAAGTGGTGGCTCAATCACCTGTCCATTAGACTTGACCTTGGTGTGTTTCATAAGCATGTGCGATCGAGGAATACGAACATGAGTAAACTGAATCCATCCGTTGTCTACGCCATGACGGCCCATCTTGGCTCCAATGTCGCCAATAACAATTCCGGGAAAAAGAGCAAACGTGGTTGGATCACGGAGCTGGACAATAAAATTCTTGACACCATAGTCGCGACCTTTGACAATAAGACGAGCAAATACCACACTAAAACGCAGTGTTAGTATCAAGGAATGTAAATATCGCTAAAATTATGACAATAAAACACTCACGAATGGGTTGCAGTTTGCGCAGCACCTCCAATCCACCATTTGGTAGCTACATATACTCAAAATTAGATGCATTTCATCAATACAATTGACACTACCAACCCACAAAAATCGTATACCAGTGAGATTGGGAGTATGAATAATAAACTCTTCTGATGCTTCATCGTATGTTGCGGTAGTTTCAAGTCCAGCAACATTAGATCCCTAAATTCAAATAAAATGAGTGACATGCATTGCAAGTTATACTGTTCAAGCAATTTTTTAAAATATTAAACATACGTGGCCGAGTTCAGTCATTGCAAAGCAGCCAACAAGACCATTTAGAGTGACAGCACCCTTACTGACCCAGAATTGAAGTTGTTCAGAGGTGGCTTGACCTTGGAGTGCGCCAAAAAAAAGGCCTGCAACATAGATAAAACATATTAACATGCAAGGATATGGGTTTAAAACAAAACAATATACTATGCCATACCAAAATGAACCCCTACTCGAGTCCAAGTTCCTGGATCTACCAGAGTCAAGACACTCATACGCATCTTAAAGTTTCTTACAGGCTCATTGGCTACATAATAGGCTAAACGTCTAACCTAAACACATTGAATTGGTGCACGGATTCAGACTATACATTGCATATGCTACAATTGATGTAGAATAAATATGACAAGTATGACAAAGGTACCTTTTGCATGGTCCGCTCACGAATTTGGGACAGACTTAAATCGCTGTGATCAATGGTTTTCATGACGGGATCGCGCTCCAACTGCAGCATAACCATTTCCTTGAGCTTTGCACGTGCAATAGATCCAGCATGGATTGTCAAGGTTAGCAATGAAGTGGGTCTTGATGGCACGAATAGACAAGTTACAATCAACAGTTTTTCATACCCGAGTAACTTCTTTTCCTCCATCCATGAAATAAGTCAGTTCGCGAACTGGGAACGATGGATTAGCTCGTTCCTGGGTAATAAGTTGAGTAGGACTACCAGATGGAGTGTTAGTAATGCATGCATGGTTATGGAAGAATGAGAACAGAAGTATCATTGTGAGTGCTGTAGAATAGACCCACAACTAGCAAACCAGACAATGGGGATGAATTGATGCATTTAGCAAGCATATAATATTATACAAATAACTCATGTAGAGTCATGATGGTCGAGGCATGCCAGGACTCACAGAGGCAAAGCATCAACGGATTCATGGATGCCAGACGAAGAGTGATTTTTCATGGAGTGAGCATTTCCATCCGTCATGGTGATAATAGATGGTGTTTGATATAAACAGGAAAAACCTCGCCAGTTATTTAATCTTACAATCCATTCATGAGCAATATCAATGCCATTCCTGGATCTGCTCATGAAGCACTCATTACTACTGTCGACTCCCAGATTGACTCTTTTCTTTCTAGTATGAGACTAATGATTGCTGCTGCTTCTAGTACTGCTTCTAGTACTACTTCCACTACTGCTGATTCATCTACCAACAGCAGATACACATTCTTAGCTGCCCAAGAATCCTTGGTTGCTGGAGCAGCTACTGCAAATATGGCCCGTTCCATTGAGCACCTTTTGAGCATCACTACAAAACTCAAGCAGACTCTTGTATTAAGTGACTTTGCTGCACTGAATCAACAGATCTTGCCTAGACATCGTACTCTAACCAATCAGAGTAGTCTATGTAGAGATACTCTTATGGAAATGAGAGACCATCTCATCAGAGTTCATCAGATTTTGGTGGATGCTCTATATAGCCAACAGTCTAATCTTCATCCAGTCGACTCTTCCTAGTATAATTCATTTGAAATAAACCTTTATCTTTTAGTTACACTGCCTGAACATCTATTTACAGCCGTATTCACGTAAAATAAAACATGCATCAATCTTGTAATGACTATGTTCTGGAATAAATAATGCTTAAATATTCAGTTTCCTATTAAAAGTTGATTGCTTTTTCTATAGAAACTCTGTTGTATTCTAATATCAGATACGTTTGTGCTCTAGTTTAAGAAAACGATATCAGGAATGCAACGATTATTTTCATGCAAAATGCCCAATGTTTGGATTGAAAGAAAGATGTCAAGGATGTGAAATGTATTGGAATAGGAATGTGAACATCCGTTCAGTATTTTCGTACAAGAATGAGGACAAGGATCGGTAAACTAAAACAGTTCAAAGAGCACCAATCCAATAAATCAAAACAATCTTGACTACATTTGATGGATGATCGAATGTAAAAACTTGTACTCCAAAGCATGGCTGCCATTAAAATTGTGCGTTTATTCCCATCCGTGCTGTAGTCAATAATCGATTTCCAGCAATTGACAAGATTCGATAAATCACGCCTTTATGCTGTAATATACTCATCTTGCGTGATATCCACATTAGCAGAATCAACATAACGAATATGCCCGAAATTAGCCAATGCCGTTTTTGGGAGTACTTGGCATACCGAATCATTGTTTCAGTAATACGAGCCAGTATCGTTTTAGAGTTTGATTTGGGTGCGATTTTCGATACTGGAGTAATATTTGTCGAGGGCTGCTCAGAGACAGGTTGTTGTGTGAAACTTGCCTCAGTTGATGAGCTGATTTGATTAATAGATTGGACACTGGGATCACAGAATCCTTCATCACGACGAGTTTTGAAAGTGGGCTTTATCAGATCTGTTGTGACTGGCGGTAATTCGACTACTGTTGACTCGATAGTGTTTGAAACTGGAGTAAGCAAAGCCTTTTCCTCATTTTGCAATTGAACAACATACTCTTCCAGTGTCTGATTCCAAAAAATAAAAAACGGTAAGACTCCAAATACGAATGGCATCATTCTTATCTATGGTTTAAGCATAGTCTAGCAGCATTACTTTTTTCTGTTGAGATCCAAGAATGGTATTGTACTGCAAAAATGCCAATGCAGCACTATAATCGTGTGCTCCTACAAGGGACAAGAGGTACAGCTCAACAATACGACGATAGTTGCGTGCTGATGGTTGCATATTGGAAGCTACCCGAGCCATATACTCATCTGTTTGACAAGTCAGCCATGTCTCAATTAGATCAAGAGTATTTTTGTATTCTTTTTCCTTGAGCATCTTCAGCGATCTAAAAAGATAAAACACAAGTAAATAGAGATTAGCAATATGAAACAGCAGGATTCGTGGGCTCATGCAATATAGTTTAAATCAATAAATGCACTTACCCAAGCAGTAGTAGCTCTTCAGAAAGCATACCGCTGCCACCAATGAGCTGGCATACTTTTTGCCAGGCTTCATTCCATTGTCCAACCTCTTTAGATATACGCAAAAGCATCAGCAATAAAACATTACGTTGGTCGGAAGTGAGAATATCAAACTGATCCAAAAGACGTATGCATTCCTGATGGGCATTCTCAAACTTGCGCTGAACAAACAATCTAGATATGAGCTCAAGAGGCTTTTGTACATTTAGTGGAGGGTCAGTGTCATGGCTGACATCCTTCCAGGTATCAATTGTCATAAAGGTGTGAATTTGAATTTTAGGAAAACATTTACATGCAAATGGACTGAATATTCATCAAGATTCAACCGCAGTAAAACTTGTTGCTTGTTTTAATGTCATATTCACGTAAAGTGAAATACTTTATCTTGCAGTGACGGTCTCGAATAAACAATAATTGAATGTTGCATTTTACTGTTTGTGTTGTCAGTATTCAAACACAACGATCATCATACGACACACACACGATGACGCTATAAGTTTGAACTGGACTGGTGTATTCAGATGTTGTATTTTGATCATTGTCGACCATTGTTGATCATTTCTGATCATTGATGACAGTCATACATTGCACGATCGACAAGTTCAGCTCAAATTTATACATTGCAAATGATATATCAGTGTTGACTGGTCCGATGCTGTCGGTCAAACTGTGCACACACTCGTATGTGTTGTATTTTAACACTTTGAATATGTTCACGATCTAGTTCAACAGATTGTGCATTTTGGAATGCAGCGGTTGTTTGCATGTCGAACAGTGTTTACTTGTAATGTCTGGATTGACTGAATGCAGAGTCGCGGATTGGTCAAGTGTCATGAATATGTCATGAATATGTCAACACTCGTCCAGTTGGTTTATACAAAAATGAGCACGCATAATAACCAATCGACTTTGTCAGAATAATACAGTGTTGTACAGTAAACCGATACCAATCATGACATGGTATTGGCTGTTGATTATGTATATCGACATTTGTGTCGTGATTGATTGTATGTGAATACGACTGTATATTGATTTATAAATCATTTGCAACATGTATTGTATATTTTGATATGTCCAGTAGTTGGTATACAACACTGGCAATAAACCATTCACGTTACATACGACATTGGACATTGGTCACTGGACATACGACATTGAATGCTTGATCATGGTTGCTGCATTTATCGCAAGACTCGGGTATGACATGATAATTGATCTCGAATCAGTTGCATTTGTATACTCGTTTCTTGATACTGTCCTGGTGTCTGACTGTATTGTTTATCGTATCATGCTTTATCAGACCACTCTGGCTACTACATTGCATATTTGTCATTTAATGACATGACATGCCCAATTGTATTGTCAGCCAGAACACATCAATGGTGTCTATTGTGCCAACTGTTTCTGAATGTTGGTCGATATATCGTATTTTTGACGCAAATGGCACATCTCTTGATATCACAACTACATCCGGATAGCCCATCATGATTCGATATGGCCCAAAATGGTCCAACATGGTCCAATATGGGGTAATGGTATATACAACAATAGACTTGATGTATATTGTGACGATGCTCTTGTATTTTGGCTCACATTCAAGCAATGCAATCCAGGCTATGCAAACTGAAATTGACGACTGAAGTTGACGACTGAAATTGACAATTGTGCCTTGATCAGAAAGCTAAAAAACCCATAGCAGCCGATTTGTTGAACCCCACAGTCTCGTAGATCAATCTGAATGCTGTGCAGTTGCTTTCGAGTCCAGAATGCTTATGGCTTGTTTATTAGACGGGCTGTTCAGCCATCATATTAACACTAGTTAATCAGGGTGGATATATTGGCTTTACAACACAATGCAACTAATAATCAGCCATACAGTAGTGATTGATATATTTGATCGTATACGGTTCAACAACGCTTTAGTTCATCAGATTGTTAAAGGGCCATCCACAGCTTAAAAGCAGTAAATGTTGAGTGCAAGTTGGCACTATCGATATACGAGTTGGTGTATGTCTAACCACTCGGCTCAAATCTCGAATGTAGAACCACTAGTCTATATACTATATATAGTGATACTCGTAAAAATGGCAATGAGGTATGTGTGATGCATCCGTATATGACTATTCGGAAGCTGTTCAACATAAATCACGATAGCGCACTCTTGCCTTGCACAGCTAAAATTAAGGGCGGTTGACCCTTTATTCCAATACCACTGCAGACTCCACCCTGATACTGTAAAGCAACAAACTAAGACAAGACAACATACGATGCATCGATTGTCAGTTGGGATATAAAAACAGGCTGTTTTTGCTCAATCTAAATCATAATCTCAACAACAACTGTATCAAACCTTGCAAATTCACCAAGTACAAACCGTATAAATATGTTATCTGTCACTCTAATTCTGTTGATAATCTGCATTGTAAATGCAACTCCCGTGCCGTTGGCTGGAGTCTCTAGGTTCAAGGCGTTTGTCAACAAAATCAAAAACACGAACCGGGTTATAAGTGCTCTTAAAACTCGTCCATATCTCCAAGATCAGGCGCCGTCACCTGAAACCATTTCACAATGGTACGATCCGCTCAAAGGCCAAGACTCGATTGTCGTGGCTGGAATGAAAATCACTGCAAACGTCCCATCTGTCAATCTCGACAATATCCAAAGCCTTTTGTCTATTAAATGCAACCAAGATCGAGTTACGATGGTACTTACTGAGTCACTGCCAAGCACCAACTGGAAAGTCCAAAAAACCCTGTTGGTGATTGGATCGCAACACGGTTGTGGAGTTGGCAATTCAGCCGAGCAGGCTCTACTTCTTGCTACCGACTGGACACTTGACGCTCAACGAAAAATTGTCGTGTTTACAACCACTGACCCAGAAAAGGCTGGTGTTACTGGCAGTTTTGAAATTCTTGCACTTCCTGGTGTCGAAAGTAGCCAAGGTGGTGGTATCACTGCTGACGATATTTCTAACGATCAAGCTAGCACCCATTTACTGCAAAAGCGTGGTCGAGTATCCAAACCAAACGCCAAAACTGTTGGTATCGCACTCAACTTGGATCTGAAAGCCAGTCCATCAATCGAAATTAAACCATCAGATGCAGGCGGTGTATTCCGAGTCGGCTGCAATCCATGTGGCATCAAAGCACAAACAACACTTGTATTTCGTGCAGCCGGTAAATTGTTCAAAAAGCCAAAATATTCATTGACCTGGGAAGGTGACATAGACATGTATGCCATGCTGTCGTTTGACATAGGTGTCAAATTGGACAAACGATTGGTTTCCATTCCAATTTTTGAATACCCGCTGACTCCGATATACATTCCTGGAGTGCTGTCTATTGGTCCTGAGCTAGTTTTCGAGTTTACCATGGATGCGACCATTTTGGCTGAAGTCCGATCAAAAGCAAATCTGACCATGTCCTATTCCAACTTTGAAGCCAGCATTGCATCTAATGAAAAAAACACATACCGCGGGTTCAATCCTGTATATACTAGCAACGTCGAAGCCGACAAGCTTATTGCTGAAACACGACTGGAGTTTGCACTCAGCCCAAAACTCAAACTTGCAGCCGAAGTGTTTAAATTTGATCTTTTGGAAACGTCACTGTCGATTGCAAACAAAGTTGGCATCAGCTTTGATATCCAAAAAGACATATCAAACCTTGAAAACATCAAGCGACTCGACTCTGGCCCGGCCTCATTCGATGTAAATTTATCAGTTGATGTTGGCATGTCACTCGACGGTGAAATCTTTGGATTCTCAAAAGTCTTGTACAATATTTTTACAAAAACCATTTTTGAACGGCGCTATACTGTCAACAAGAGCAAAACACTTGCAACTACAGGTCCTTGACCTGTTTAGTTCAGAATCTTGTAAATACTTGACCATTTGTATTTGATCATGTACATATTGCATTCATCACACAATAAACTAAATTGACAATATCCAAAAAGTTGTTTATAATGTATTGTACACAGTCATATATAGTCATATACAGTCGCATACTGTACATTAGTGTATTGGTGTATGTATATGATATACCGACAGTGTTGAGTTGACAATATACACGACTATTGGTGTTTAGTATGCACGCTGTGTTGATTGTTGTATTGTGTTAGTATCAGACTGTCGTGTATCAGTCAGTCATGACCAAACGGTACACACATATAGTGCCAATGTACAATGTACAGTGGTCAATGTATAATGTTCAACGGTCAACGGATAATCATAGCCGTAGTACGGATAATTGCTTACCCGACATTTGAAATATCACCCGAGTTCAATATACCGGTGTAATGCAATCAACAAAAATGCTTTAAAATGGACACATTGTCAATCGAACACATGGTCAATTGAACTGGTACACACAACTACCAAACACGACATGGTTGGCTGTGCTGTCCAATATATGTATTTGGATGGATGCTGTCAATGTAGATTACTGTTCTAGTATCACGGCTACTTCAAACTGAGTGACACGACTGGATGCCATACAATCCGTTTGACAGACATTGCAAATACTGTAAACACTGTAAACACTGCAAACACGACACACGTTACATTGTATACAGCCATGTGTAGTGTAGCATTTGTATGATATGTGCTGACAACAATGTGCAAGTTTTTAAATCGAGTTTAAACCCATTTTATCAGATTGTGTCATGGTTGTCACGATTGTCATGGTTGTCAATATTTGTGACAATTGTGACAATTTGTACCAAATTGGTGGATTTTAGCCGATTGGTGTAAACATTTGTATTTATGTTGCAGCCAGAGCATGTATTTTGTTTGTACATACACTGACTACATGTATGGCGTGTATTGACATCAACGTCTGGTTGATTGTTTGGTGGACAGTCCGAGTCCGAGTCCGAGTCTGTGTGATTGCAATTGTTTGACATAGATCTACCGTTATACTAGACTGTTTGCATGATCTAAAATCGATGGTATCAAGCAATGTATGTGATGCAATGTGGTGTAGCGTGGTGTGCCATAATATGTATAGTATCGGATAGTATCTGACAGTATCTGACAGTATCTGACAGTGTAGTGTGATGTGTGATGTAGTCATACGCCTTGCAACACTGGTTTTTGTTGAACAGTCAGCAAACCATGACAAACAACAGAATCTGTAGCTTATGATGTGATGTCCAAAATACGATGCGTGTTTGGAAACATTCTGTCGATGCGATTGTTTAGTCGTTGAATACTGTAGCAGTCACTGTTTGTGTTGTCAGTATTCAAACACAACGATCATCATACGACACACACACGATGACGCTATATGTTTGAACTGGACTGGTGTATTCAGATGTTGTGTTTTGATCATTGTTGACTATTGTTGATCATTTCTGATCATTGATGACAGTCATACATTGCATGATCGACAAGTTCAGCTCAAATTCATACATTGCAACTTATATATCAGTGTTGACTGGTCCGATGTTGTCGGTCAAACTGTGCACACACTCGTATGTGTTGTATTTTAACACTTTGGGTATGTTCACGATCTAGTTCAACAGATTGTGCATTTTGGAATGCAGCGGTTGTTTGCATGTCGAACAGTGTTTACTTGTAATGTCTGGATTGACTGAATGCAGAGTCGCGGATTGATCAAGTGTCATGAATGTGTCATGAATATGTAAACACTCGTCCAGTTGGTTTATACAAAAATGAGCACGCATAATAACCAATCGACTTTGCCAGAATAATATTGTAATTTGATAGGAATTGGCAGTCATTATAATATAAGGAATAATCGCTAGATATAGAGTGTATATTGAATCAATTGGATGCCAAACCCTATTGGAGTGCCTTTGGCGGATATTTTGCCGCCGTTTCAACTGCAGTCCATTGATTACTGCCAGTTGGTGAGTTGATGCTGCAGGCTTACTAGACATGGCTTTGAATGCCATAGCGAATGGCTGTTTTTGTGAATGTCTTGAGTATATCTGCAATTCACTTGAAATACTAGAGTTGTATGTCGCCAAGTTGATTCACATTTCTCGTTCATATTGACTTTTTGCTGGTCTAAAGATCGGCTGGGATTACCATGACATTCATGGACTGAAGATGCATTGATGGTTCATGTTTGTCTTTATATAATTGTATTACTCATAGTTGTTTATAATCCAGCTTTCTTGATGTCACAAGCCGATACTTCACATCAATTGACTTCCACCAAAGTCCCATTGGATAACCTCAAATGGGTTTTGGAGCCTAGCTTTACTACAGAAGCTCAGACCTTTTATATCACTGCTCACAATGGTATATTTGCTCTTTTCCAGGTATCCAAGTTACTTTTCAAATGTATGCTTGACAGCTCCAATTCAGGGTTTGAAATATTAACTATTATAACCATTTGATTCCTGGTCATCAGCTGGTCTATTCAAGCATCAATAGGTAGTGTTATTTTGATTGTCTTACAGTGTTGATGAGGTTCTTGATTCGTTTGATAGTATGTTGACCATTTGTTTTTGCAAATGCTATAGTTGGAGTCCTTCTGTTCAGGTATTATAGATTGAGTAGATATGTTTATACTCGTCATCTAAGTGTATTGTTTTTCGGTAAACCTATAGATCACTGCTCGTGTATACATGCCTGATGGTGTCAAGAAGATCAAGAGTGTCAGTCTTGCTGGGAGTGCTCTCGAGCTATCAGCAGACAAGCTATCAGCTACTTGCAGTAATATGACCATTACTTACAAGGCCGATGCATCAACAGTTGGACCATCTTATATTGTCAAACTTGATGTTAGCCCAGAACTTTTGGTTGAGTTTAACATGGATGCAGTGGTTGAAGCATATCAAATCAACGAGGGTAAAGCTTACTTTGATCCCGAGACTCCAGCTACTGGATATGTTGCATCACGGATCATGCCCAAAGGCAAAGTTTCAGGCATGATTGTTGTTGATGGCATCATGCATGATGCAGCAGGACATGGTGTGTTTTCGCATGCCATCCAGTGCCCACCTTATAATGTTGCACGTTGGAATTTTATCAATTTTCAAGACGAAACCAATGCACTGATTCTATATCAGGTATGGATGTATGAAACAGACATGTTGAGTTCAACCCATGCAGATAGTGTTGATTGACCCACTCAATCTTTGATCACAATTAGTTTGAAATGGTACCAGGAGCGTACCCAAAAGACATTGTCAGTCAAGGAGTTTTAGTTTTGAACAACGAGATTACAGCCGTGACCATTGACAATCACAGTGAGTTTCAAGGCACCACACTTGATGCCTTTTCCAACTATCAAATTCCCAATGCAATCAAGCATGTTTGGCATGGCAAGACACGCGATACCGGAGTGCCAATTGAAATTGAAATGCGATTGAAACTGGATCGGTTGGTAGATAAGATTGATGTGCTTTCTGAGCTTCCATACTTGATTCGTATGTTCATTCAAACCTTTATCAGTGCACCATTTGTGTATCAATGGATTGAAGACACAGAAGTAGTTGTGCGTGTGGAGGGTGGAAAAGAGATTCGATTGAATGGTCGAGCATTCCATGAAAACACATTCTTAGCAGAATTGGAACAAGTTTAGAGTGTTTTGGGGTTCAAATAGCAGTCAAAGCAGAGTGGAAAAGGCCAAATAAAGTCCAATCGTTTATTCTCTGCATTTCCTTTTGTCCAAAACTCAACGCAGCATCACTATATAGTATCAAGTCCTAATTATGACAGCTGCTTCTACCATTACCACTGCCTTATCCGAGAACAAGGTCTGTTAATATTCAAGAGTGTTCTACTTTTTTTTATTCTCTGATTCATCCCTTGATCAGTATACATATCTTGCAATGGGTTCATGTTCATGTCTTGCAGTGGGTTGGGTTGATGCATGTCTCTGTATCTCATGTTTAGATCCTCTGTGGATCCGCTAGACAACTGTCAATCTGGAGAGTCGTTTAAGATCAATTTATTCACTTTGTTGGAACCAGAAGACGAACAGTCTTTTATTGCCCTTGTGTGGATGGAGACATTGTTCAGTACTGTATGTTCTATTGTCTCTACATCAATGACTGCCTTTCTTTGGGTTTGTCAGTCATCACAGTCGTATGTAGAGTGATGACTGCTCTTTGTCATACTCTACACTCACACCATTCAGTTGTATGAGCAGTACTAGAGGCTGGACTGCATTGTGTCCACATTTACAACTCTCAATTTTATGGTTGTCATAGATCTACCATGTATTGCACTGTGCTAACCATTTGTATCTTGTAATACTTGATTTTTATCTACATGACACTAGGTGGACCCATTTGAAGTTGGATGGTTGTTTGTTCAAGAATACTATACTTTTCTCAACAAGGATCCTGAACGTCTTCATTGCTTCTACAATAAAAAATCTGTTTTTGTGCATGGCACTGAAGGTGACAATACTGAGACTTGCTATGGTCAATCGGTACGTATTTAAAACTTGCAGATTAAATTAAATCTGTTATTGCTTGATATACTGATTTGGTTGGTCTACTATGCGATGGATCAATACATGTTTATCACTTCAATTGAGACCAACCTGTTGATCTTTCTGTCCATCAACATGTGTTTTTGAATAGTTGGATGTGCTAATACGACTTGTTTGCCTTTTAAATCGTATGGCAGGAAATTCATCGTTGTATTATGAGTTTTAATTTCGACTCTTGCAAAGTGCTCATCTCTAGTGTTGACAGTCAAGCATCTCACGATGATGGCGTTCTTGTTCAAGTTCTTGGTGAAATGTCCAACAATGGCGGTGCTTCTCACAAGTTTGCTCAAACCTTTTTCCTTGCAGTGCAGCCAAATGGCTACTTTGTGATGAACGACATTTTCCGTTTTCTCAAGGAAGACATTGACAACGTTTATGAAGAGAGCGAAGATCCCGTTGAAGAACAAACCTTTTACACTGCTGAGCATCAATCGGCTGTTTCTCAAAGATCGCCTTCTCCTGCCCACGTTCCTGCTGTGACCGCCAATGTCGCTGCTACAACTACTCCCTCCAAGACACATAATGTTGAAACTGTTGCTGTCACGCACACTGAAACTCCTGCAGACGTTCCTGTAGTTGTTGCACCTACTACTACTGCTAATGCTCGTGCCTCTTCCCCTGCTCGTGTCAAACAGGCATTTACTGATACTAAGTCTGCACCTGCTGCCACTACTTCTATTCCCCAGCCTGCCACTGCTGCACAGCCTATCCCCGCTAGCAAGACAAAGGAAACTCACAAGACTGCCAAGCCTGTAGATCGCGCTCCTGCTGCTGCACCCACTTCTGTTGCTACTGCAGCTCCAGTTCAGGCATCTGCTTCACCCAAACGTATTGTCCAGCAAGCACCCGTACCTGCACCTGCTCCAGTGCCTGCCACACCTTCAACCTGGGCTAAAATGGTTGGCGGCAGTGATGCATCTTCCAAGTCTGTATCCACAGCTATTGCACCTCAGAGGCAGTCTCAAACACACACTCCTGCATCTGTTCATGGATCTGCTCAGCAAGTACAAGCTGCTGTGGACTCTTCAGCTCAGTCAACTACGGATAGTTTTGGTGAAGAAGATTTTCACCAAGTTACTCATGGCAACCGTCAAGGCCGTCAACGAAATCATAATACAACTCCCCATGAAGGTAAATGTACATGTTTGCGCGACTGAGATGGTTGATACAGGTGAGATGATTTACGTTTTATACAATTTGAATCAGAATATGATCGTAGTTCAATTTACTTGCGTAGTCTTCCTGCTGGAATTGAAAGCGCTACACTTGACAAGGCCTTTTCAATTTTTGGTGCTATTCGTAATATTGAAATCAACCAGGGCAAACGCACTGCATTTATTGAATTTGTAAGCAACGATGTTTCTGCCAATGTTGTTGGTAAATCCTTTACTTTTTCAGACACAAAAGTCACTGCTGAAGGACGACGCAAGCCCACTCCTGGTACAAACCGCAATAACAACCCCCGTGGATCTAACGGTGGATTTTCGCGCAACAACAACTCTACTGGATCTGGAACCAACCGTGGTCGTGGAGGATATCAGAATAACCGACCCCGTGGTCAATCTAATGCAACCTCTCAGAGTACAGTTCCAGCCAACTTTACGCCTAGTTCATCAGGAAAGGCTTAAACATTGGGTTTTTTTCCATTCCAAAACTTTCATTTCTTATTCACTTTTAGTAAACTAAGAGAATGTGATGTAATTTGAAAGTAGATTTAAAATAGTTGAGTGGGTGAAAGAAGATCAACGAATCCAAATCTAAGTTGTGCAAGATATTGTAGAGATTTGAAACACAAGCGAGTCAACCTCGACAAATTTATTCCAAATTCAGTTTAGTGACCTTCATGAGCATTAAAGTCATAAGCACGAACACGCTTTGGGAACAGACTATCACTGGCAGTGTCATGACTGTAATCCCAAGCATCTATAGCAACACATTTAAAAAAAACAAATGAGTGGATGTACACACGTAGTTGATTGATCTGATACTTGACTTACCTGGATAATTGGCAGGATCATCAATGGGACTCTTGAGAGCAGGCCATTTTTCTTCCTCTTGAGATTCTTCACCAGCAGCAGCAACCATAGACTCGGTTCCAAACTCGGGCTTTGCGGGTGCTTTGGGTGTAGAAAAAGTCTGAGGAAGATCAGTACGATCGGGAATAGCGGTAGGCTTGTAGCTACGAATATAGTTCAGATAAAGATCGGTGACAGAATCGGCTATATAAAACCAGACAAGAATAAGACTCAGCATCAGGTTTCAAGTCATGGAATGAGTTCAACATACAAGGCTCTTACCCTTGGCAATAGAAGTTGTAGCAAAAGAGCGAGCAAAGACAGGAGAAGCCCGAACAAGAGTCTAGAAAGCAGTCGACTGTTAGTTTACATTCAAATAGTTTTGATCAAGGACAGCAGTGGTGATGACATGCACAACATTGAAAGTTGTAACAGATTGAAATTCAAACAGAAAAGGTTTATACTGCTAAAGTTGAGACTTTGAGTCAGTTTAACAAGACAGTCTTGAACTGCATGAAAAGTTGATCAAGAGACTGTACATTGTTCATACAAGTCAAGACTTGATACAGTTGCTGTTCATACAAGTCACTTGCAGTTTCAATAGTACACACATGACTAAAAGAGAGTGAGAATTTCATTTGTATTATGACTGACCGAATGTCTAAAGAGAGCACCAACAACAGCAGTGGATCGCATCATGATTTCAAAAGTTTGGATTAAAGAAATTGTTTTGATTTTGAATCAAATTTGAAGATTCAAAGAATTAATCAAAACTATAACTTGAGATTACAATCATTATTATAAATCAATTCAAATCAATTCAATTCAAATCATTCAAATCAAATCAAATCAATTCAAATCATTCAATTCAATTCAATTCAATTCAACTTGTCGAGTCTAGATTCACTCTTGAACACGAGATTCAAGGTTATGTCAAGTAAATGATATCGTCTTGAATTCAAAAACAATATTATCTTTTAAAGTCTAAAACTAACTCAATCTTACAAATCGAGTTTGTTTTAACTGGACGTTTAGTTGATTGTTTGAGCGAACACGTTCGATTAAAAGATTATCAATGATTGACATGATTCAACACTTGTCAATTACATTGACTTCAATGACTGACACTACTCGTTCTCTCTCTACTGGGAGAGTATTTACTATTCATGGCATGTATTGCATTCCTCTTGTATTCGTATCAACTGGATTCATCCTACACTTGATATTAAACTGTTTTGACCTTGAATCTAGGACTCATACTCTTCATGACTCGATACATAATGTTGGCATCTTTATGTCAGACTGTCTTTGCAGATGAACACACTCATCATGTATGTATTCTGTTCTGGATTCTACTCTGGATGCTGTCGTGTGACTTGATTCTTTCATCAATGACTGTAGCTTAGTCAATTTATCATATTGTAATAGTACAAGGACGGTGAAGAAGTCAATGTGTGGTACAATACTGTTGCTCCTCTGCATAACAAACAGGAAACATATGAATATACGCAACTGCCGTATTGTCTTGGATCAAAAGAAGTTTCTCACTATCACGAATCACTCGGCGAAGCCCTGTTAGGTCTTGAGCTGATTCATTCTGGCATGGATGTGCCTTTTTTAGGTGGGATAGACTGTCCTTGCGATCCTTTCATCTGTTTCCATCAGATCTGGTCAAGTCTCGTCATATTCAATCCTATTTTCATATAAACCTCAATATTGTCATGTCCATTAACTAATCTAATGCTGAGATTAGAAACAAAACCAAAAACAGTATTGTGCACGACTCAACTTGATCGCAGGGATATTGCATTGTTTATCTATTCAGTACTTGAAAACTATCATTACTCGGCTTATATTGGTACGCTTTTACACTACTTAGATTAGATTTCGTACTACTTTTTAAAGCTCACTCATTAAACTCCTTTCTATTTTACTTAGATAATCTGCCACTCAGAGGCCCTATCGGTACAAGTAACACAACTGGAAAAACAACTCTCAACTATCTCTACACTAGTCGTCATTATACAATCATGGTCAACAAGGATCAGATTGTGGGAGTGCGCGTAACAGAGCAAGTTTTATACTCATGACTCGCTTGGATACTGCATCAACATAATTAACATCTGATTCCTATTTTAATGAATGTTCAACCATTAGTCAAGACCCAATACTTCTCGACTCTTCACAGATTAATTTGCAAATCGCTTTTCACTATAGTGTTCAGTGGTCACAGAGCAACATCACATTTGATGCTCGCTTTGAGCAATATTTGGAATCTTCGTTTTTTGAGCACAAGGTATGTATCATATTTTCAATCATTGCTTGTTTTGGATACTCTTTATTCATGCATTGACCTTGTTTAGATTCACTGGTTTTCAATCATAAATTCGTTCATGATGGTTATTTTCCTTGTTGGCGTTGTCATTGTGATTCTGATGCGTACTGTAAAACGTGATTTTTCCCGATACGAACACGAAAATGGTCTTTTGGACATGGCAAGTATCTAATACAAATGTCATGGACTGTTGAATCAACATTAAACTCTGAAATTGTGCTGTGTTGATGTACATGGGTTTGAATAGGATCGCGATCTTGGTGACGAGTATGGCTGGAAACTTGTTCATGGAGATGTGTTTCGAGCACCTCGACACTTGACGTTTTTTTCTGCATTGAACGGAGCTGGAATACAATTGATTCTCATGGCATTTGCTATTATTGTTGCCACTATTGTTGGAAATCTTTATACAGAGTAAATATCAATGAGCTTTTCTACTGATCACTGTGAGTGAACAAACTAATTCTGATACTGGTTTACAGGAGAGCTATCATGTTGACGGCATCCATCTTTATTTATGCACTTACATCTGTTATTTCTGGTTACTACAGCGGTAGTATGTATGCAAAGTACAATGGTAAGTAGGACAAATATACTTGTCCATCTTGCTTGGGGTTTAACCCTGACTAAACTCTGAAAATCAAACAGGAAAACGCTGGATTATAGCCATGATGACTTCATCACTTCTTTGGCCAGGGATTGTGAGTGGGACGGCTTTTATCATCAACTTTATCGCCATCTATTACCAAACATCTCGTGCTATCCCGTTTACAACCATGGTAAGTTGGATTCAGTATTTTCGTGTTGTCTACTTTTAATTGAATAATAAAACTAGAGGTAGTACTAACTGAGGGTTACTTATTATTTAGTTGGCCATTCTAGCAATTTGGATTTTTCTCGTGCTTCCACTGACTCTTTTTGGAGCAATCGTTGGGAGAAACTGGGCTGGCATGCCCAACTTTCCTTGCAGAATCAATCCAATTCCGCGTCCAATACCAGACAAAACATGGCAAGTTTAAAATACACCCAAAGCGTATATTGCTAACCTTGTCTAAAGTATTTTATTTGTGTATGTTGAATAGGTATGCCGAGCCTTTATTCGTTATTGCAGCAGGAGGACTCTTACCCTTTGGAGCAGTGTTTATTGAACTGTATTTTATCTTTACTTCGTTTTGGGAATACAAGATCTACTACGTTTATGGATTTATGTTGGTGTGTATTGAGCCTTTACACATGTATATCTTGACTATTTAGTCCTGTTAACCAGTTAAAAACTTGAACATCCTAGTTGGTATATATACTTTTGATCATTGTTACCATCTGTGTATCAATTGTTGCTACATGTAAGTGTCATGTGTCTGTTTTTATTCAGTATTGAATTTGTCTTGATTGCTTTCCACATGTGTTGCCAGATTGTGTTTAGTAACTTGTTGCTTGCATTACCAATAGACTTTTTGCTCAATGCAGAAGATCACAGATGGCATTGGACAGTGTTTCTTTCCAGTGGTTCGATTTCCGTCTATATTTTCCTTTACTCCATCTATTACTTTTTAGTTATTGCAAGAATGGACGGACTCTTTCAAACCGTGTTTTACTTTGGATACACAGGACTAGCATGCTTTACCATTTTTTGTATGTTGGGCACAGTTGGACATATGACTGCAGAGCGATTTGTCAGGTCGATTTACACGAACATCAAGGTGGATTAAATGGCAATCAAATAAAGTTGATTTTGAATTTGTTGAAAACAATAAAGCAATTTAAATTTTTTTCTAATGGATTACAACTTGAATAGTATGTGTTTTTAACATTGATTTTATTTGAAATAAGCAATACATTGAGTTTATCACAAAATAATAATTTAGTGAATCAAACGGTTTGCTTCCAGTTCAACTATGCAATAGTGAATCTTATTTACAATCGTGTTTTAACCCAAAATAATCGGCTGTAAAATATCAAAAATTCAATGATTTTTACTCGATAAAATACATTGAATCCATTTTGATATAAATCTATTCAGATTGTCAAGTTAAACTCTAAAGATTGAAGATTGAAATACTATTTTGACAGTAATGAGCGATTCAGATGACTTTGAAACACTTCCCATGCGCTCATCCAACTCTACTGCAGCCAGTAAAAGATTACGAAGTTCAGGACGACAGCAAACCCAAGAATTAAAACCTTCAAGAACAGGTCGGACAAGATCCACTCTATCGCAACCCACAAGGAAACTAGTTTCTGTTACATTGAAAGAGTCAAGCCAGTCATGTATTATATCAGAAACACAACCCATCGAGTTGGATAAAACCAATTCGTCATCTCAAGCGAATGCATTACACACTCATATCGAGCCTTTACTTTCATTGCCTCGACCTGTTGTTTCGGATACTCTCAACGAACCATTGTCAGTATTAAAGCATGTCACTGAACCAATGAATACAGAACTATCGTGCCCAATTTGTGCAGTTCCTGCTCATCGTATTGATGGAATGTCTTTGGAAATGCATGTGAATCAATGTCTTGATTCGACAGTCACTTCAAGGCCAAATGATTCGCAATCACTGCACAACAGTCAACCCACTGTACAAATCCTTTCAACACAACCATCACAGGCTTTAAAAAGTCATCAAAAAGTCAATCAGGATGATCAGGCAGTTGCTTCAACATCTAATTCAAATAAACTATTTTACTGTCCAGTATGTACCGTGAATTTATCAGGCTTGTCATCAGACCAGCGTGAACGTCATACCAATACATGTTTGGATAAATCAGCTGCTTTATCAGAAATACAGGCAAATGAAGTCGAACAGGAACCACAAAATCAATCGATTCTTTCAACGCTTGATTCTGAATCGGCTAAACTCTTGGATTTATCATCTTGTTTGTTCTGCACACAAGACTGGTGCTCTAAAACATCATTTCCAATTCGTGCTCGAATATCCCATATCAAAACATGTGCAAAACTCCAAGGCATTTCTCCAAAAACTATTTTGAAATCGATTAAACATGGAAAACGGGTTTTCCCCGAATCGTTGGATCGGTTTTTGCTATCCGATTCTACACACGGTTTGTCTGAATCTCGAGATAAAAATAGTGTAGGATTATCACAACCGGATACGTTGACTCCTGTAGCAAATAGTCTATCTAAACGCTCTAGGTCGCAATCAGCTACAAAAGTTTTTTCGTTTTATACTGGATCAGAGTTTGACTATGCGGACTATACAGACATTCAAAACATGTACGAGCAAGATGATTTTGAGCCAAAGCGGGTTCATATCAATGTGGATAGCTTAGTAAAAGGTAAGAAAAAAATGCAAAAGGCTTTGGATAAGCAAGATATCGAACTCCAGACTGCATTGGCAATGTCCGCATCTGCAAAGGACACCCACGATCAGGAACAGCGTCTTATGTTACAATATGGTGGATGCACAGTTTTAAAATCAAACGCAACCCATAGTGCAAAACACCGATCAAAACGTGTGCTGGTCATGTCAAAACTTTTAACTGCTGAAGAGGCTCAAGCAAAAATGGAGTTGCGTAGAGTTGCTATTCTGCGTTCTTCAACCCGTCGCGATCATTCGACTACTAGCATAAATGACCCATTTCCAACATCATCCACTCATATTCCGTCGGATTCTAATACAACTCCAGACTTGTTGTTGAGAATAGTTTCAGATTGTTTAGAAAAAGAGTCTGATGTAGTGGGTAGTGAATCGGACTCGGACACGACAGTTACTCAAGCAAATCATCCGGCATATAAACCAACGCCTTTACTGTGGCATGTTGCACACACTAGCCAATCTGTTGCGGATACTCCATGTCTAGCACCGTATAAATCTATAACTGATTATAATGATGATTTGTGCTTGGACAATGTATCTAATTTTGTAGCATCAAGTGATAATAACGCAAACACCAAAAAACGTTTGGTTTCTGATACCACTGACGCCCACGTGGATGAAACCGAGTTACTACCGTCAAAACGTCAATCACTTTGTTCGAATCCATCCAACACTACCTTGAAAGTAATGCATCACCAATCCGCAGAAAAGCAAGTATTGAAATCTGCTGAATCGGAAATTACTACAGTCGATCATCACAGGATTGTGCAGTTAAAACACCAATGCCAGGAAGAGATTGCAGCTAAAAGATTACAAGCCGACAAAGAAATAGAAGCTATTGAAAAAGAATTTGAATCTTGGGTAAGCATTCGAATAGTTGTTTTGTTTGGGTCTGTGGTGCATGACTAGGAATTATCGACTGCTTTAACAAAAGTTGTATTTATGTTTTGATTTTCTAATTTTGGGATTTAGTCTAACCAGCGCACCATAGAGCTGCAAAATCAGATAACAGATCTTGAACAGGCACACGACACACCTTCATATTTTCCTTCAGACAAAACTGATCAAAGAAGCAATACTTTTGAAACATTAACTCCTACTCTGTTTGATAGAGATATGGTTGTCGATGATATACCAAAACTACAGCCGAATCGCTCTGCTAGTTTATCTCAGAACATTGATCTAACTCAGTCTTTTGTTTCTATTGCAGCCGATCCTGTTGAGGCTACTGCTCCTATTGTTTTGACTGATGATGATGTGATTTTTTCAGATGCACGTCTGCCGTTGGAAAACAATATGGATATAGCATCACCCAGATTATCCAATTGTGCATATTCACAGTGCAATGAGGATTTAAATCCAGGATCTCCATTAGTATGTGCTTTATCTGAACCTTATACCATTTCATCTCCAGATTCTCCTACGCTGCTATCCATCTCTCCATTTACATCCATTCATACCTCTCGTTTGGCATCAGCAGATACTACTTTTCGTGAAAATGATTTTTCTGAAAACCTAGCTTCTATTGCTGTTTTACCCGAACCGGCGCATATCTCTACACAACTCACCGAGTTAAATACTACACAGACGTCTTCAAGACCTTACGTCATTAGCAGCCCAAGCAGCCATGATCCATCTCAGAATCTATCATTGGGACTTTTAACCCAAACAGAAATCAGAGCTCCCGTTGAAATCGTTTCTGTAGATAGCGATCACGACACTAGTTTAAACCACGATTCTGAAGAAGATGCTTACGTTGTGGTGCAGCCTGTTCGACAAAACATAGAGACGTGTCAACGGCCACGTAGTATCTCCAAAACATGTGGTTCGGGAAGTCAGTCCAACCCTGGCTTGTCAAGTGCAAGATCTAATACACTGTTTGCATCGGTCAGATCTGAATTCAGTACAGAGAACAGACTTTCACCAGCCGTTGCATCAACTTCTGGATTGATCTCAGCTTCACGGGTTAGTTCTACTACAGCACCAGTTGTACATACTGATTCTGCACATTCAACTCGAACAGCTCAAACAAGACGACACGCTCATACTGTTCCACCCATTGTGCAACATACTGCCACAAATCAATCCGAAAACACAATGTCCTCATTATCTGAATCAGAAATGGACGACCTTAATATACATTTTACATCACCTCATTTAAAACGAACAGCAATAGATAAATGTCACAAATTGATTTCCGAATACATCAGAAACGATGCAACCTTGCACCAGCGTGTACTCCTTTTTGAGGTATACATTTAAACCCAAAGATGTGACTTTGCACAAGATTTGAATTAATTTATTTGAATGCTATATTGCTAGCCATTGGATTTTGATATTCTATTTCAGCGTCTTTTACAATTACCTGAACTAAAAGGATGCACGCGGAAAGTTTTGGCAAGCTTTTTGGATAAACATGCAAGTTGGATGATCGCTGAACGATTTGGGGTTGATGTTTACTCACTTTTTGCATCTGTTGATGATATAGGGAATTGGTTTCAAGACTCCTGCTTTATGATTCTTGGATATACATATACAGTTAGGGTTGCAAGTGATGTTTATTTCGATTGAGAATGAATCACAAGGTTTTTAAACGCAACCACTTATTTGAATAAACCATCAACATATCAGAATTGGAGAGATTTATCCATGTCAGCTTTTTTTTGTCGCAACGATTCGCGGATAGACTCTGACATACTGTCTAGAAATTGTTCTTTGAAATATTTGACATAGGGTCCAAGAGATGTGCGCTCGTAGTCTCCTGATCCACCCGACCCAATCGACTGCGAAAAGGGCGGCAATTCATCCAGTTCTTTAATAAGAGAATCAATGGTGGGTACATGGTGAGGATCAAATTCTTCACATCGAGCTGGATCAATTGGAACGCAAATGAAACCTATACAAAATGAACGAGTTGTATCAATATTAAATCATAGTACACACGCATACAAAGATCACGATTAGCGGTTCATATCATTTCAAATGTAACTCGGTATGTATTAAAGCAAATACCTGTTTTGGGATGAACACAGAATGGGCTTTTGAGCAAATGATTCAAACCAATACTGACATTGGAGTCAAGACGAGGGTATGTGTATTGCAGTATGATATTTCGTGGAAGTACTTTAAGAGCAGGTTTCTGAATTAAAAATAAACAGTGAATAAGTATTCCAAACAGGATTGAACAAGTATTCACTCATTACATAAAATGTATAAACATGCATGCCAACTCTCAATGTACCTGATCATCTGAAATAGCTCGTTTGAGTTGATTCCACTTTTCTCGGCAACTTGAATCTGGATTAGATGACCAGATACCATTGAGTGATTTACAAATTGACTCGTCAGAAATGATCCGCAGTACTTTGTTCCACCGTTCAGGAGTAGCCAGAATTTGCATTTTATCCAACAGAACAGGCTCGAAATACTTTAAACACACATCATACGACAATCTAACATATTGCAAAAGATTGTTCACATGTATAAGACAATATGAAGAGAGTTTAAGATTCTGACATACAAGACTTGCCGAGTCAATAAATACTTACGCCAAAGATGGATGCAATAAAGTGGCCTTTAAATTCACTTTTTGAGCCATATTGTCACCACCGTGAATGATTTCGAGGTAAGAAACAATGGCTCGACGAGATTCAACGGTCAGTTTACGTGCGCGTTCGTCACTTACCCAACAATGGACACCACGACGACCACTAAAGACCCAAAGAATATGTTTGAATCCGAAATCCTCTATAAAATAATGGTCAGATTGAAATACACAAAAATAATTTAGTTGTCATGGTCAAGTGGTAAGCCAAACCAGTAGCGATGAGCAAACTAAAACTATACCCTTTAGTGCCCGATGAATAATTTTGATGGAGATGGTCATGAAATGCCAGCATTTTTTACAAACATTCGCACCACTAGATTGTAGTAGCAGTAAATAAAACACATCAAGATGTCAAGTAGGGTTCAATGCAAACATTGGATTGTAAAACTACCTGCAGCATGTCCGAATTTCGTCATAATCTGTCATGTCGATATCAAAAACCAATTCACGCTCTACTGGGATAAACACAGAAGATGCAACTGTTTTTCCCTCGCAAGGTTTAATGTTGTATACTGCACCAATATCGATTTTTGCAGGACATAGTCGAACAATGTCAGCTTTAAGATCTTCAAATCCCTTGTATGACTGATATCGAAGATACGTTTCGGAAAGCAGAGTAAAGCTGAATTCACGGTTGGTGAAGTGATAGTTGTGTACTATAAGGATGAATGCAGTTTATATGTGTAAGATGTAATTGACTATACGGAATCAACACCATTGCGTGGAATAGTCACCTCCGCCATAACTCAGCCATCTGTACATTTCTTTAAAAGGAAACAATCGCTGATAGAATGTTTTTAACAACATGGACAAGTTGGCTGGTCCATCTTGTTGAATCTTGACATCCGGTGACATTCTAAAACAAAGATCCAGTAGAATAGAAGCTGAGTAATATTAATCTCAAGCAAAGCATGACAGTGTCGTATACAGACTTACAATGGAGCAACAATAGAATCGATATCTACTGTAGCCAACACCTCATCCATTGAATCAAAATTGTGCAGATCATCACTCGAGTCTTTTTCTGAAACAAAACAAGTGGTTTGAGCAGTTGAATTGGATAGAGATAAATGGTTTGTAGTTTGCAGATTGCTTGCTTGAGCAGCATTGATGTGATGCGTATCATCAACATGCAATCTTTTAATGTCCGATGAATTGATGTCCGAAAGAGCGAGCGATCGTTTCAATGGAGTTAAAACAGTGTTTTCAACACAAGAATGCTCGATGGACACATCGAGTGACTGATCCTGACTGACTGATTCATCAACAACATCCACACTGTTGCCCAACATTGAGGTAAATTGCAGTTGTAAATCCACTGCAATTCAAGTTAAATCCACGTGATTACACGTGATAAAATACTAACTAATTCAAACATGTACTTTGGGTCAACAAGATGATATTTTATTAACTTGGTTGAATGGGTCAAAAAGATGTAGTCATGAAGGAATGGGTAAAGCCAGGCTGGGATTAAGCGTCCTCCTTGACACGACCAAGAACTGCATCACGAGTAGTTTCGGCAGCATCAATGATAGACTTGACCAGAGGGTCGGCAACACCGGCAGTTTTGAGAGCATCAGTAAGCACTTCAATTACGGCGTCAAAGTGCTCATCCTTAAGGTTTAGCTTGGCATGAGCCTTGACCATAGAAGAGCCATTGTATTCACGACCACCAAGTACGTGCAACAAGAACATTTTTTGCATACGACGTTGACGAGCCATGTTGGTGTTGACAAAGAAGCTGTTCACACGCTCATCCTTGACAAGGTTATCGTAAAAGATTTCAACAACAGCACCGACGGCATCTTCACCGCCAACTTGGTCAAGAAGAGTAGCCATGATAAGAGAGTTAGGTAATACAGTGGAAAGACCAGATGTGCAACTTATTTATACTCGCAGACGCGTGATCAGATATTGTCATCATGACCCGCCCTAAGCGTTATAAAGTTGATTGGACAAGAACGAGTTGTAAATTGCTTTTAAAAGGGACTAAAAATGTCCATGTGTTGACTGTGCCAAGAGGGAATGGCTTATAATCAAACTGTTGTTGGCATGACTCCACTCGAGTCCACCCAAGACGCCTTGTGCTCCTGTTTGATTTGTCCGCTGGCAGCATTATTTTCACATGACTGTGTTTTTCTCATCTAGCGGCTTATCTGACCTATTCTAACCGAGCTTGGTTTCAAGTCTGTGTTGTCAGTCTTACAAGGGCCGTTTACTTCTTTCAAGCTCCCATTCAACCGATAGTTTCCATCAATGTGTCATCATGAAACTGATGAGCCTTTTAGGCCCTTTTAGCCCCTTTAACTACTCAAATGTCTAGTCATTACCAATCCAAAACACTTTAATGCATTGCTTAATCACAACTCAGCATAATTACACCTTATTCAAGCAACTCCGAGACTCCCAATAAGTAGATCTGTTATTTTTTAGCTCGCTTTCCGAATTTGATCTTAACAGGTGGTGGTAACGAGGCTTGCAATGCTGAATTATCCGCTACAGTTTCCGTCTTTACCGCTACTACTGGCTCGGGAATATATGATTTGACAATGTTGCTTGCATATGGGTGATCGCTGCCTGCAAATAGCTTTAGTCTGTGAATCTGTTCCTTTCGAAGATTTCCCTTGGGCATCATACCCCAAACTGCCTTTTTCAATGGCTACAATACCAATATGATGTCAAAGCGGTATTCATCAAGGCAACATTCCAAATACAGCAGATTCAAACAGGCCTTCAAAACATCACTTACCTCGGTAGGATGACGTTCAATAAACTTGTCAAACTTGAGCACGGTCTGTCCACCTGGATATCCACTGTGCCACATATACTCTTTTTGGGTCGACTTTTTACCAGTCAAGGCAACATCCTTGGCATTAATCACAACAACATAGTCGCCCATGTCCTCTATTCATTGTATAAACATCCAGAGCTGAGTTTAGATCTATTGTTGCAAACATTAAAACTACCAGCCACATTATTGAAGCTAGTTACAAACGACACTCCGACAGATCAAATTGAATCTTGCTCAAAAATCCAATAATCATCTCATCACTCCAGATCAATCCATTAAATTATTGATATAAAAAGTCAAATTAATGATTTCACCTGCTGGATGATAATTGGGTTTGTATTTTCCCCTGAGAGCAATACTGATTCGCTGCGCAAGTTTTCCAAGGATCTTATCCTTGGCATCAACCAAATGCCAGAGACGGGCATGTGCAAGTCCGTTCTAATTAAAAACAAAGAATGAGTGAACCTTGCACTTGATGATACAAGCCACAGTAATCCAATAGCAGTATTAATAAAGTTGAACCTTGAGTGACATTCAAGTGGACTGTTTTGGCAGGTTGGATTCAAAATTTTCTTGTTCAATGCAATCCGATTGACTATCGCACAGTAGAGACCCTATAAATAGCAAGCAGTTTGTCAATATAGTGTCTAATCTCTAAACAAAAGGTGTATTTTGGGGTGTGTAATCTATAAAATAGATTGTAAAACGACACGTGAGTCTGTTCATGTGTTTTGACATTTGGTTTCATTTTACGTGAACACGGCCGTAACAATATAACAAATATCTGATCATGACCATCAACGAATCTACTACTTCCCAGCAGGCACTCTTGGCATCAACACAAGTACTCGAACACCTGGCTCTTTCTCATGAATGGAATTCAGATGATGAATCTGCTTTACTCAATGCCCTCACTATTTGGAAAGTTGCTCTAGGTATTTTCAAGATTCAATCTATTCTATCATCAAATCAGCCTTATAAACTTGTATGCATTTTAATTCATATCAGAATCGTTTTCTCAAGAGAATGGTCAAGTTTTGGCTCCAGAAACAGTTGTAGCAATTTTATGCAAGTCATCCTCAACGTCCATCATTGAACTATGTTGTGCTGTTTTAAACAAAATCTTGAGCAAGCTTTCTTTTGCAGATATATTGTCTTTCAAAGTGGGTTACTCTTGTTTGCCAACAATCTATGTTGCTATTATCGCTCATCTTGAAAGTATACAATCTCATGATAGGATTTATTGCGCATTGGGTTTCAAAGCAAGTTATCCGTGGTCAACAATTTAGTTTTTAATATCATTCAACGTGCAGTGTATTCCGAGTCAGATTTGCGTCTTTTGGTAAATATTATTGAATCTACACCCAAGTTTGATGGTCTTGTATCAATCCTAACAAGTCTACATTGAACATCATGTTGATTAAACGAGGTTAGGTTGAATCAAATATTTTTACTCTGGTCATTCAATGCATTGCATTTGAAAATAGCCAAGTCGCTGAAATGGCATCTTCTTTTTTAAAGCAGCTTGGTCGTCACCCGTTTGCACTGGAAGCACTCTTGTCTCCTGATAATATAAGTACTATGGACAGACTTTCCAGTGAAAGCATCACGGTGAAACTTCGTATATACGATCTGTTGGTCAATATCAGCATGTCTTCACAGTCCGCGTTTGATTATTGTGCCCAACAAGGCGCCTTGTCTTCCCTCACTGGAGTTATTTTTCAAAATGATTTGCTCGAGTCCATAAATGTAATTGAGATTCTAACTAGTGTGAGTCATTCCCAATTCAGTTATTTTGGCAGTTTTTTATTCAATCGACTTAACACTAGTGTGGTGCTGGATTTTATGCATTATAGTTTACCGAAACACCAAATGGATACTTTTTTTTGGAAAAAGCAGGTGTGATTTCACAGCTGTTTGATGCTTTGCAAATTTCACCCAACGTGGATGATATCGTTAGCCGACTGACCACATGTGCTACAATCAAGTTTTGGGGTATGCTGATTTTTAACCAAGTAAGTGTTTTCACCCTTTTATGTATGTTGAAAGAGCATTTAGACTGGCTCGATGTGTTTAGACAGTACTAATGCTTGGATTCATGTGCTGATCTAGCATCAATATGCAGAGGCTATTCAAACGCGATTTGATATATTGGGTGCGTTGCAGCCTTTTCTTGAAGAGTCGGACAGCGATATCAAGGTAGTACATTTATGGCAATTCAGTGGATGGTTACTATTCTCATTGCCTTTAACAATACATGTTTTTCATGGGTGTTGGTAAATTTTTTGCAATGTATTGAAAAAGGATGCCATATTTGTGGCTGTAGCAAACTTTGGATCTAGGGAAGAGGGCCTGACTATTCTTTATCAGCAAAGTATTTTTCTTGATACAATAATTGCCATGTGCAGATCGAGTACCGGAGATGCCAAACTATCACTGCTTCGTACTTATTCATGCCTTCTTGGTGTTGGGTAACTCTATTTTGTCATTGGGGTTCTGGATAATTTATTTATTTCTAGCAATGTAATGATTTATGCATTTAATCTGTTTGTTTACTAGCTCAATTGACAATGACCAGACTGAACGCATGACATTGCACATTTTTGAAAAGCTTGAAAGTAGGTGTAATTTATTTTTGCAGTTTATTTCTGATACATTAGTGTTTAGGCTTATCAATTTTTAATACTTGTGCATTGATTTTTATTGACATTTTCAACTGTACCAATATAGCGCATGGTCTAAGTATCAAACAACTCATGCAACTCACCAAGGGGACAATTGAAGAGCTATCTGTTGCAGCATACGCTGTTCTCAATGGTGTTCTCAGTCATACGTGGGGGATTGAAAAATTGGCACATTCATCCGAGTTTTCCGAGTATGTAGTTTCACGACATCTAGGCGCAATAAAATCGGCACAGGAATGGCACATGTCCCTTGTTCGTACTATTTTGGATCATCCTGCCAGAGTCACTAAACTGGGTGGACTCATTCAGGAGAAACTGGAAGCATACAAGCGCCAAGGAGTTTATTATACTGAATCTCAGCCTATTATTGCAATGCACTCGGCGTGATTGAGCTCAAGTGTTTGTAACCAAACCATGGATACTGTTCAAATAAATAAAATAGGACATGTTGAGCCAAAATTGAGAATCAAATTATATAACGCATCCAATGATTACACATCAGTGGTAAAATGATCAAGTTTATTGAAATGTCTACGTTGAATGTGCTTTAGAATTCAACACCCATCTCGATATCTTCTTCAGGAATGTCTTTGCTTTCACCTCTGCATACAGAGTTTTGTAATTCGTGACGGATCTCGGGCGTGATAGATTCATGCGATTTGTGTTTGATCAAATCCAACAGTGCTTCTTTTTGGTCACCAGTCAGATCTTCCTTGTACCTAACCATTCAACAACCCATGAATGAATACATGTAAAATTTAAACGAGTGTGTGGATCAAACCGTGTAGACAATATAAATCAGTACAATTCACCTTTGAGAAAATGTCAATAATGCTTGATGCCACAACACAGGCAACTCTCTTTGGTCTCTTTTGAACCTTAAAAAGTGGAACACAAGACTGTCAATGACCTTGAATGGTAAAGCATACTTTTTATCCAAAAGAATACGGATAAACAGACTATTGGGACCCGTGTACTCCATTTCGGCAATTTTCAAAAGAGCAGCAGCAGCGTGGAGACTTGGAACAGATACTTTAATTAAAACACTACCGAGGATGGCAGCTTCGCGTAAAGTGCATGTACCCGATTCGCAAATTGGAAGAAGAAACCCTTTGAAGAATGCAGCAGGTTTGTAAAGAGCCTTTTTAATTGCCATGTAGAGATGATAGTTGAGTTTTTTAGTTTCCTGAATCTCGTCACGAATACGGTCCATAAGAATCAAACTAAAGAATCTGTTTGACCAATGAAATTGTCATGAGTATGCAGAAATGGACATGTTGCATGATTTCAGACGGACATACCTTTGAGCCATTTTGGACTTTAAATTGGATACAAAAATTCGAGTAGCTTGATACATGGCATGAGGAGTCCATTGGTCTGGTTTGGTAATATATAAGACCTCTTCCCAGTCACGCAAAGTGGGGATAATTTTGAATGGCTTTGGGAGTGGTCCAGAACGGTATCGGCTAAGAAGAATGCCAACCCTAACACAGTGTGTTAAGCAAGACTATTTAAACATGATGTGATCCGTCGAGATAGGCACTTACTTTGTGTACACCTCGACAACCTTGGGGTTGAGTCTTGGTATTTCATTGCGAGTTTCTTGATCTTGATAGGGGATCAAAACAGATGAGTATACAGCGCATGTAAAATCAAAATAGTATGCGATTGCCATTCATACCTTGAGCCATTGTATCGTTAGTAGCTTGAATTTTACTCATGATGAGATCCGACAAGTTAATTTGTTTTTTTGTTTCCTTGTTCATAAACTTTTCCATAAGTTTCTCATCTCCAGCATCGATTCTCTATACATGTAATGGTTAGAAATAAAACGTTGACAATTATTTTGTATTAAAAATCCAGAGTCATGGCTTTGTACATACCAAATCAGACTCATCGTGTTCAAAGTCTTCATAATCCCCTTCAGCGAGTTCATTTTCATCGTCCTCTTGTTCATCATCAGACTCATCCTTTTGTTTCCGCCTTTGCTCTTTGATGGCAGCATATTTTGAAATCCTAACAAGATGAATTTATAATAACAGTATAAATGTAAGCAAGAGTGATGGTCTGTACTATCCATGGATTGAAAAAGATTGAAGATGCAATTCCAACTTGTAAAAAAAAAGAAAAAAACACATCCTAAAACACATACTTTTTAGCAGAAGCATCACTGTATGTGTGTTCTGATGAATTAGCCAAAGCATCTTCTCTGTAAATCTCATCCTGTTGTGATCGAACCATGTCTAGAATTTTTTTTGAAGTTTTAATATCGACAGAATCGGATTCTTGCTGTTGAAGAGAATCCTTTGGAGTGCGATTGCGAACATGGTTTTGAAGTTCAACAGAAGAATCATTTTGAAGTTGAACATAAAGTGGATCGTGACGGAGAGCTCCGCCAGCAGACTTTGAACCAACAGAGGAAACTTTTGGCATGATGAAGAGTAAGAGCAAGAACAAGAAATGTAAGAAATAAATGAAGGATATAGTCACGTGTAGAATGAATGTAAAAGTGAGATGAACAACTTGTAATAACAAGTTATAATAAATAGTAACTTGTTATAATAAATAGTAACAAATAGTAACAAGTTGTAACAAGTTGTAACGAGCAATTGATAAGAATTCTATTTTTACTTTATCGATCTAGTCAACAGCCGCGAATCCATTTTTGAACTTTCACTCAAACATGAATCAAGCAGGCCATCCATCTGCTGCATTGCAGCAACCCATGGCTAATCATCATGCTCAAGGTCCGCCTCCTCAGTCTCCTGCGTCTACTCATTCTTCTATTCCTGGTCCTGCTACAAATATGCCAACTAGACCCAACTATCCTCCCAACAGTCCTGCTTCTCGACAGCAACAGTGGAGACCCGCTGCTTCCAATGGTCGTCCTCCTAACATGTCTGGCATGCCAATGAATCCTCAACAACAAGGTATTGTTTAGCATTGCACTTTACTGTCAGAGTTAGTGTAAACAGACATTGGTCTGCATTCTATTGTGTTATTCTGATCTCTTGTTCTTTCTGTTGCAGCAGGTCCTCAGCAACATCTGCAAGGCATGTCTGGAAACAGGAGTGCTCAAGGCTCTCCGTCTCGTCCACCCCAACAGATTCAACAATCGCAATCAACTCCTCAAGTTCGTCCTTTATATGGCCAGTCTGCACAAGGTCAACAACCTCGACCTGCATTTACAAGTCCCACTCCTGCTGGTCCTCTGATGAATAATGCCATGTCTACTCATATGGGTCAATCTCAAACGTCTATGCAAAATGGTCAGAGACCTATGATGTCAACTCCATCAATGCCACAGCCCTATCGACCACCTCAGCAAGCTACTAGTCCTGCTGACCTTTCTGCTGGTCAACAACCATCTCCTGGTGTGGATGAATTAAACCAGCAGTTTGGATCTATGGGTGTTGCTTCTCGAGCGTCGCGCTCAAAGCGCGTTTATCCTGGTATGCAGCAATCATCACCTCTACAAGATCAATTTCCTGCTACTCAATCTCAACCCGGATTTCCTTCTAATCAGCAACCTGGTATGGCTTCTCCCCAACAATTTCAACAACAGCCTGGTGCGATCCCTCCTCAACAATTCCAACAACAGCCTGGTATGGTTCCTCCCCAACAATTTCAACAACAGCCTGGTATGGTCCCTCCCCAACAATTTCAACAACAGCCTGGTATGGTCCCTCCCCAACAATTCCAACAACAACCTGGTGCGATCCCTCCTCAACAATTTCAACAACAACCTGGTGCGATCCCTCCTCAACAATTCCAACAACAGCCTGGTATGTTTCAACAACAACCTCCTGCTACCAACTTTCAGCAAAACTTTACTCCTGGTCAGCCACCTATACCGCAACAGCCTATGAGTAGCATGCAACTTCCACAACAAAAACATCGAATTAATCCCGATCAAATACCAAGTCCAGTTGCATTGCATGAGGCTGATCAGAATCAATACATGAGCACCCCTTATATGACCATGTCTCGCACAGTTCCACCATTGGCTGCCAGTAAATTCACAGTATTTGATAATGGTAACTAGACTGTTTTTATATTTACACACATGCTACAGACTGGTTTATTAACGTGATAACGTGTACTTTTTTAAACTTTTTACAGGAAACTGCAGTCCAAGATTTATCAGATCCACCATTTATAACATTCCTATCACTGAGGATTTAATAAGTACAAGTAAGCTGCCTTTTGGCGTGATAGTCCAGCCACTTGCTGATCTTGAGCCTACCGATGTAAGACACTAGTTTTATATTATTTATTTTTAAATTCATGTTTATAGTCTGACTTGGATGTGTTATTTGATGATTAGACTCCGGTTCCATTAGTTGATTTTGGAATCAATGGTCCTGTTCGTTGCTCTCGCTGCAAAGGATACATCAATCCATTTTTCCAGTTTGTTCATGGTGGACGCAAGTTTGTATGCAATCTCTGTAGCTTTGAAAGCGAAGGTAACCATTTTTAATATAATTCAATACACAGAAATGCTCTGCTAAAGCTATCTGATGAACACTTTTAGTTCCCACTCAATACTTTGAGAATCTTGATATGAGTGGCAGACGTATTGATATCAGTCAACGTCCTGAGTTGCTCTATGGATCTTGCGAGTTTACTGTAACACCAGAGTACTGTGCTAGACCTACTAAATCAGTATCGTACTTTTTTGCAATTGATGTCTCATACAATGCTGTCAGAAGTGGTATGCTGGCTGCATGTGCTTCTGCTCTCAAACAGTTTCTGTATTCAAGTCAACGTCCCATGCCTAATGGATCTACAGTTGGTTTTATTACATTTGACAAGGCAGTGCATTTCTACTCACTCAAGGTAAATCCATAGATGTCAAGCCAAGTCTTGTTCTATTCGACTACCAACTGGCTGTTTTGAATAGTGGTTTGGTGTTCAATACTAATCACATTGTGTTGTTATCATAGCCCAATCTTGAACAATTTCAAATGATGATTGTGGGAGACATTGATGAGATGTTCGTGCCTCTCAGTGAGGGTTTGCTAGTCGATCCCATCGAGTCTAAAACTGTCATCATCAACTTTCTTGACAGTCTCCCACAAATATTTGCCAACACGACCATCACGGAACCCGTTTTGGGTGCAGCATGTCAAGCTGCTTTTTCGGCTTTGAAACAGTACGGCGGTAAACTATCAATCTTTCAAACTGCTCTTCCAACTTTTGGACCCGGCGCACTCAAGAACCGTGAAGATGTCAAGATTTTGGGTACTGACAAAGAGCGTCAGTTGTACGAGTCACAAGAGTATTTCTGGAAGAAACTTGCACAAGACTGTACTACTAACGGTATTGGTGTTGATACGTATCTGTTTCCCAACGCATACATTGATGTGGCTACAGTTGGTATGTACACTCCATCCATGTTCCTAGTGTTGCTTTGGTATAGATTGAATTATTGACTTTTGGTTTTTTAACTGATAGGCATGCTTTCAGCTGTCACGTCTGGTGATACATATCTGTACATGAACTTTGATGCCAACAAAGATGGTGAAAAGTTTATAAATGACATGCAACGTGCACTGTTCCGTTCTTATGGATTTGATGCTCTTTTACGTGTTCGTGTCTCTGATGGTAATGATGATCGACTATTGAATGTATGCTATTTTAGATTACAGAGCATGATATTGACTATTATTGAACATTCAATTGTTGTAAATCTTGCAGGTTTGAAAGTGACAGACTACTATGGCAACTTTTATATGAAAAATAGCACAGACATAGAACTGGCTGGCATTGATTCTCTTAAAGCATTTGGTGTTGTTCTCAAGCACGATGGAAAACTTGATGAAAAACAGGATGCTCATATCCAAGCTGCTCTTCTTTATACCACATCAGATGGCCAGCGTCGTGTACGTGTACACAATCTGTCACTGCCCACTACCTCGCAACTCACAAACGTGTTTCGTTTTGCAGAAATGGATACCAGTGTTAATTTTTTTGCCAGAGAAGGTATCAATATTCTTTTTATAATTTGATGGTTAGATACTGATTTGTATTGGACAATCATTCGATTTTAGCCATTCAAAACGCGTTCAACTCTCCCCTCAAAACTCTCCGAGATCAAATTTCCGCTCGCTGTGTCAAAATCCTTGCTTCATACCGGTCTAACATTTCAACGCAAAGCAGTCCAGGACAACTCATTTTGCCTGAATCATACAAACTGTATCCGCTATATGCTCTGTCGTTGCTGAAATCGCGGGCTCTTCGTGGAGGTTGGTTTCTATATCCTTGACCTGGTGTATTGTAGCCAGTAAACTATCAACTATAAATGCTTGAACATTGAATTAATTACCAATGTATTGTTTCCAATTTGATTAGGAAAAATTATTCCATCTGATTTGCGTGTCTCGTCTATGCGTCTACTCAACTCGATTGGTGTAACGGAAAGTGTTGCTTACATGTATCCAAACATGTATGATTTTACTGAGCCAGCTACGAATGTGGGACAGCTCAACGAGAGTGGCATTATGGTATTGCCACCCATTGTCAGAGTTTCATTTGAGCGTATGAATACTCAAGGATTTTACATTATTGGTATGCATTGCTCTTTTATCTTGAAAAACTATTTTTACTATGGTGTTTTTTATACTTGTTCATTTTAATATTTAACGATTTATTTAGAAAATGGACGTCATATGTTCCTTTGGATCGGGCGTGAAGCTCCATCACACAAGCTACAAGCTCTCTTTGGTGTTGATGCTATTCAACAAGTGGATGCAACTTCTCGACGCATTCCTCAAGTCAACACCACCCCCTCTCAGCAACTTAATACTGTTTTGGAATTTCTCCGTCAGCGCCGCGCACGATATATGCAACTGACGATTGTTCGTCATGGTATGGATCCTATATCGGAGGCGCGTATGAGTAATCTCTTGATTGAAGATGCCAATCTGGACAACCTATCGTATGTGGACTATCTTGTTTTAACCCACAAGTAAGTTGAATAGTTCATGTGTGTTGTATCATCACGTCAGTGTTGTGTTAATTAGACATTTAACGATCATTTTAGAAATGTGCAAGGAGAAACCGCTCATGGCAAATGAAAAATTTATTTTTGTTGACGATGCTCAAACCTTGTCATTTAGCAAATGTGATGTTGTAATGGGTAGAATGACCTAGAGTGTATTTAGTATCAATCCAGTGTAATGAAAACCAAGACACCAACAATAATGATTGAATATTGACAATATTATGATAGCTGATTTTGGTTGATGAATTCCTGTGGAAAGGGGTGTTGGCGCAATTGGTAGCGCTTTCGACTCCAGATCGAAGGGTTGCGCGTTCAAGTCGCGTACGCCTCATCCACTTTTTAATATTTTGACATTTTAATAATACAACTCTTCTAATCAAATATGAATCATACATTCATGTACACAATGCATACCATTGTAAAAACAAGATTGAATAAAAGAGATATATTTTGGTGTGGAAATAAACACAGTCATTCATGGAAATGGCTGTTGAAAAAAGCAAAAACAAAAAACAAACTACAACTCGAGCCCACATAAAACATAGTCTTGACCAAATGAATACACATTGGGATGCACTCGCTCAAAACATGCATAGCCAAGTGTTTTTAAAATCGATGCTGGCGTGTTTTAAACGTGGGAATAGATGTGTCGAGTTAGTATCTTGTCATGGTAGTGGATGAACACATACAATACAAATACGTACAGAGATCATTTATCGACGAGTCCAGACAAACAATTACGCGAGAACAATCAAGCGAGTTGTCAACCAGTTCAAGCAAATAATGAATGCAAGTATGGAGGTCGAATGGGTTCGAGGTCCAGTTGGAGACTAAAGGGGGTTTGATGAACAAGACACGATCCACTAAAAAACCAGTCCAGTTGATCATACCCATATGACAAGAACTGTAGGTTGAAATGATCATTTTAGTGAGCGATTGAGGTTTGAAACAAACCCCTTGAATCGTGAGTGTTTTGGCAAAGTTGTCTACAGCAGCCAGCTGGCTGAGAACGGATGAGCGAATAGGGCTGCGATCGTCGTTCTCAGAGTCCCAAACAACGGGACTTTGAGGAGTGTCACCCCAACCACCCTGTCTTCCTACCCGCCTGTATGGATCATCGATTAAAATGAATAGATTGATTCAGTCATATTAGTGACCAGCTTAAAACTGGCAAGTCAAGATAACAAGCTTAATAAAAATCAGGATTTTGAAAGCACATTAAGCTTACTGTAGACCAATATGTCCTGACTTCGCCATTGGATGAAAAGACGGTGCAGGTAACGGCAACAGGATCGACAAACTCTGCAAAAGAACCACTTTCTTCAACTTGAGAAAGACGATCAAGGTGGATAGAAGAGTACATGAATCTTTCATGAGAACTATTGACAGGACTATTATCGTGTACAAGAAAAGTTAGGCTTGACTTGCAATTTAGACCAAGCATGCAATGACTGAATATCAAACCATAATATCAACTGACATCATTGCTGGCATGAATGCTAGGTGTTCCTGGGAATGCCTACGTTATACTGTGGATTGGGTTGATTGAAGATTAGAAAGACTATCGATTACGCAGCTGAAAAGTGTAAATGTCAGGGTTAGCAATTCAAATGGTAACTCATGCATCATGATATGGTTCAAAGGCCAAGATGGTCGAGTCTGTACTTGCCTGATGCTGAGAAGAATGGGCAGAAATGAATAGTCCAGTTTGATGGAGTTGACAGGTAAACTAATGAAGAACTAGGGCTCAAATAACAATGCGTGATGATGGCAGTGACAATGATCAACAATTATCAGCAAAGCTTTTGACAGAGAATTGGTAAAGTTAGTATCAATAAAGTCTGCCAGATAACTAGCTATAGCCTAACTGGCAGCTCAAGCGTGTTGGTACTTGACTGGTCCAACTGGACAAAATAATGAAATGCAGTATCAAGTCAAGACCTGCAGTATGTTGAATACCTTTTCAAAGAGTAGTAATAGCTAACAAAGACGATAATGACTACAAGACCTGCAAGACGTAACAAGCTGTCGAGTAATTCGATAAAATTCAAACTGTCGAGAAAAGAAATGACGCTTGCAAAACTGCATGTAATTCTAGTCAACATACTGAATCTGCTGCCAACTCTTTACCATCGCAAAGTCGTAGATTGTTCATTGTCCATTTCTCAGCGTATTCATATAAGATGAAGCATTACGTATAAATGTCAAACTACATAAAAACTGCTACTCTCATGAAATGATTAGTCTTTTAGTGATTATACAAACTTGCATTTCTGAGATGTTTTCCTAAACTAAAACTTGAATGTGTCCAAATTTCAAGATAAATACAAGTGTTTAGTTTACATGAATACGGTTGTAAATCCTTTTCAAGTTCAATTTAAAAACTTGACAACTCCGACTTTTACTCTATATAATCATTCAAATCTAGAAACAATACACAAGGACTGTCATCAGATAAACTAGTCTATGCTGTCTAATTCTTATACTTGTCAATTGAAAACTTCTTCAAATGTTTCGTTACCTAATATCCACTCCTTATCTACACCAACCAGATCTCAGTCGGTTCGAACCTCTCCTAAATATACATTCCGCCATCAGCATCGTTATTCTAACCAAGATGAGCTGTTTTTAAACAAACCCATGGAATCCTCACCTGCACAGACTGATACAAAGTCTCGGTTTCGTCAAATTGCATCCACTTCCATATCCAAGGCGTGGCAAGATAAACTTGGTGTAAATTCGCGCTCTGTTCCATTCTATGCTACTCTCAAACAGCAAAACTTGCATCACCCAGCTACTACATCTTCTGCAACAGAGCATGTTGTTTCAACTCCAATACATCATCGGCCAAAATCGCCGTCTAAACATATTAGTCGCGTTCAAGCCCCAACTGCATCTGGAATCACGTACCCATATCAATTGGCATTTTCTACCATAGAAAACTTATTACTACCTACAGGCATAACCCAATCATCACCTAGTTTAAAACAATCATTGCTTCAGTTGAAAATATGTGCTACTTTATTTGACACTGAGACAGGTAGATTTTTTGGTAAAACTTGGATTTCTCCTGTTCCAATGACTGTGCACACAGGTAAAGCCCAGCATGATAGACACTCACCCCAAGCAGGAGGGTCTTTAAAAACCCAAAACACAAAAATTCGATCAAATGATTCAAGTCAAAATGGGTTTAGTGATGAAGATAGCTGCGATTCTTCCGATTCTCGGGGTTTAAATGGAATTCCAGATGGCGCAAATCTGATATCGCACAGAGTCACAGTCGGTGCATCTAGAATTGTAAGCATGCATTTCAAATCGCTTCTAATTCCATATTTTAACTCATGATTAACACCCTTATTAAAGTGTCTCTATTTCCATACACCAGTGAAAAGCCCTCATGTTGCCATTGCCATCGAGTTTGTCTTTTCAAGTGGGTATTCTTGTGTCAATTATGCTAAACTGTCCATGAGTTTTAAATTTTAATACTGCAATAAATGAAATACTAGTTAAACCGTGTCTGCAGGATGACATGGATGAGGCACATAATGTTGACAACAATCTAGACCAAGAAGGTGTATCGGCTGGCTGGACTTTGATCTATCCTTTCAATCCACAGAGAAATGGGTTGAATGTTTCAAAAGCTTGGCGACACAGTTGCGACGTTGATGATAAATATCATGATCATTTTGACTCTTCAAGTGACAGTGATAATAGTGATATAGGAGATCAACGACCAAAAGTTGCTCAAATATTCCGTGGATCTCCGCGTGTGCTACCATTTATATATAGCCAACTGTGTTCAGCCGTATCAGGACATGCTGGTCTTTTTCCACTTTTAAATGCAGTAATCACATACAGACTGCTTACACGACCTGATCTTCAGCCAGCGTGCCATTTATGGAAGGAAAATGTGTTTATTGCGCCAGGAGATGAGGTTCCAGGTATTGAAACCATATCCATCCGTGGAATCTCAATGCATTCAATAGATACTGCTAGAATATCTAGGGTAATACGCATTGGTTATGTTGCGTGATTTATCTTGTCGGTACTTTAATTTACATCTCTATGCATGTATATTATAGATTGGCATCACAGTATATCCTTCAATTGAACAATATGAATCTAAACTCCTGGATTGCATATCCAGAGTGCATTATGATAATGATCCAGAATCGCTGACACCGGATGAAAATGGAATTCTCCCTTCTCCAGTCATTCTAGAACGCAGACTGCATATTGGGTTTCACAACACATTTACATTTATTAGGCAACCTACAGTTGTTACACTTAAACCTTTGGTACACTCAGATTTTAAAAATGAGCAGTTGATATTTATGGGCACTGTTGAATTGGACAATTTTGTTCCAGATGATCCGTCAGTTGCTGTGATATTTCTTATGGAATACAAAGTATTGCTTACAGTCAATGCTCCCGCCATAAAAAAGCGAAAGGGTATTGCAGGAATCATTGATAAACTGGCATCTTCCGACATTAAGCGGACTGAACCAATGCAGCCTACAATCAATATTGAAAAGCTTATTTCTACTGGATGGGGAGCGTATTCGCCAAAAAAAGGTAGCATTGCATTTTTATAATACTGTTTTAAAACATCTCATCTCTGTTGACACGGTTTTTAATTAGACACAAGAAATCAAGAACATGTCATGTATCTGGAAACTCAAACTGGAATAAACCCGTTTGGTTCACTCATCTACACACCTAAAAGCGTTGTTTACTCTGGCAATCAAGAAAACTACAAGGAAAATGAACTGGATGAAGCAAATAGACACCAAGCATGGCCGCTAGCTTTATCATTTAGTTTTAACCCTCCAACACACGAACCTCTGCCTGTTATATTAGAACAACCGGTAGTTGATCATTTGGGTAGGGCTCATTGTATTTATTATATTGACTATTGCGTAATCATACTAATAATTATATACATATGCTGGTTTGGTATCAATTAAGCCACTGTTCCGGTCGTTTTTGAACCAGTTCCGCAAATTTGTCAAAAAGCGGACATTATCCCAAAAATTGAGCCGGAACAAAGCAATCAACTAAAGTCATCCCCACCTCCCAAACCACTTGTCAAACCTCCAACACCTGTTGATGAATCAGAAAACGAAAGCGACGAAGAAGTTGTTGCAGCAAGTAATTTAGAATCAGCTCCTGTTGAAGTCTTCACTCCGTTTCCAGTGCCATTAGCAACACATCTACGACAAAGATTATCACGCATGGAACGAGCACGTCTACATAATGCTGGATTTGAAATGCTATTGGATGATAATCATTGCGCTCCAACTGAAATCCAACTCAATAATGTGGACCCAGTTTATCTGGCTAGTAATTTAGAACTAGAATTCAACGATCCGTTGATGAATGATATCACTATCCTATTTCAAGGATTGAGTTTTTGTCAAGATACTTATCAGCAGCTTGATGGTGCGTGTAAATTTTGTTTATAAATAGTGTATTGATTTGATTTTTCTGATGATGTTTTGATTTTCAAAGGGAGATTTCCTACATCTGTTTATTTCAGCTTTCAGTTCTTTACATTTCCTTACACTACAACGGAAAAAATGAATGTGTACGATGGCTTATTGCCAGCCAAAACCCAATCTCAAACTAGATCTCAAAAAAATACCGAGTCTTTGCCACATAAACGAAGTACATCAGTACCGGCACATTGTCGCGAGTGGTCTCATGCTTCACACACTTCTCGCTACTCCTTCAACCCATCAGCACAAGGAATTCCTGGCGATAATTTGCAAACCCACATCACGCCAGGAATTTTATATCGTTATAATCGCGAGGGATTTCCTGCCTGTCAGTAGTTGTATTTTTAGTTTATTGTAACCCTTGCATTTAAACATGGAAATAATGACCGAGTATATGTTTACTATTTAATAGATGATCAACCACCCGGTATTGCTTTGAATTACAAGGTAAAAACGCATCAAGATCCAGTATCCTATACTTTTCGTTCAGGACCAAATGCGATTGCCAACTACCTTTGCCAATCCAACATGTTTATTGACGTGTGGGATGGTGATACACTTTTGCATCTTGGATCAGGTTGTGTCAATCTCAAACCTGCTTTGCGTCAAGGAAGATCGTCTATTTATTTTGAAGATGATGTAGACATTGTATGGAGCGAGTATGCTGATTTGCAAGGACCAAACTTTGCTAAAAGGTCCAGATCATCTAGCATGGGATTAAATGGCACATATTCCTCGGGATCTACTATGCATGTAAATGATACGGGTTTGCTGAAAACTGCTACGTTGCATATGCGTGTCACAAATATTGGTCGTAAATATCAGGAGGATATAAACACGACACCACAAAATGCATTCAATAATCCTTCAAAAACTCAAAGTCAAGAGGAGGTTATTGTGCACGATTATCGCTACCATATCAATCGTCGACAAAAAACATTTCACGAGCCAAAACTGGTAAAAATAGTTGCTGATGTATACTGACAAATACCAGTATCAGTGTGTATTGTGTAAACAATACATTGCAATGCTCTGCAGTTACTCATTTTTGTTTGCATTGGCATGAATAATTTAAAATAGTTGTCAAGTATTGATCACGAGTTGCATCAAATTCTCAACGAAGCACATGCGGATAGAACCACACAAGCAGCCAATTGTACCAAGGCTTTACAAAAAACCACATGCTTAGATTCATCAAGTCAGTACAGTTTTGAGTCTCGTAATCAAAAACTAATTCATCATGCCACTGGAATTCTTAAAAACCTTAAAATTGAGCCCGACAAGTTGAACCTAGATGATGATGGAGCCAACAAGGAGGTAGGTCGTAAATTCAATACTGTGAGGTTTCAAACTTGAATCAGTGTGAATTTTAAATAAAATTTATTGGTGTATATTGCTAATATGCAAACTGTACAATATCAGCTTGTCGAATCATTTTCGTACCGGCGTACCAGAGAAGAGCGCGACCGAGATCTCAAAACCATTGATGTATATCGAGAAAGGCAAGTGTATATCATGTGTTGGGTTACAAGTATTTAATTATTCAACTATACTGTTTTTAAATCATTGATATAATTAGACGAAGAAAGGGAAAAACGCAAGAAATGCTACTGAAAGAAATCACAGTATCGCATACAATACATCCAACCTTTGCACAGGCTACCTACCTAGAGTTTGAATTTACCAATCCGTACTCTACTGATCATACATTCAAAATATCTTGGCAGGATAAAGAATTTCGCGTGGTTACAAATACCAGCGAGTGGATTTACCATCGTAGACTTCATGGATTGGCATCTCATGTGGAAGCAAAATTGATTCACACAAGTCAAGATGAAGCTACCCCAGAAATATTTCTAGAGCGCAACGAAACAGTTTTTATTCCATTTATATTCCAGAGTTTTTTAGGAGGACCAATTTCACTTGTTGGTGGAAATCATGCTACGGATGAAATGAATGGAAGAGATGTCGGTGGTAACAATTTTCTACAGAGTCCTGGAATATATTCCAGATGTATTCATGTACGTGCACATGTTTGGATTCAAATTTATGTATTGATTTAATTTATTAATTTTCAACCTTGATGCTAAAACTTAGGTTTCATTTTTGAACTCCCAAGACCAACCAGCAGCTATTCTGGCGCTGAATGTTTGTCCGCGGCCTTACTATATTGATCGAGTAATTCGTCTTTTTAGAGGAGAGCACGAGGTGATACGTAAAGTAATGAAGTTTCCGCTTGTTAACAAAATCAGTCATATCAATTCCAACAACACATCAACCCTTTATGATACCTCAAATCCAACCCAAGTCTACATTCGCTGCAATAGTGCAGATGCTGTATGTACTCTCGAAACCTCACAAAATGATTCCGCAATGAAAGAAGTCACATTTAAATATAGAGCACGCCAAGCCCCAGAGACCAAAGCTGTATATATTCTATTTTATAACGATCCGTTCCATACTTTTTTGAATGAAATATGGCGGGTGTTTGTGCACTCGTTATATCGATTTGATATGAACTCGACTCTGTGCCAGACAAACTCGGCATCGCTGGTGTTGCGTGGAACCTCCAAATCGCGATTAGTCAATTGCTATTCTAGCTTACCAAGAGAGATTATGGTATGTTGTTGATTCAATGTTTTTGTTGATGCAATATGGGGTTACTGAGAATTCCTGACTCGATGGTTCCAATTGCATCATAGGTGGGCACAGATGGTCCCTTTATGCTTACTGCAAATGCACTGAATGAGGTGTCGTTGGTGATGCGTCCACAAGATACTCGCACCAAGGAAGCTATTGTGAACATTGTTGGCAAGTATTCGACATTATGCTTGATTCGATTATAATTGTTTTGTACTGCGTTACTAGTGTGTTTATTGACTGGTTGATTTTATAGATATCAATTCTGGATTTCTAGTAAGTAGCTGGTTGGTAGTAAGTCACTGTTCACTTCCAGAGGTGACCAAAACATTTGAATTGGTTTTACCAAGAGATAAGCAAGCCAGCAAGGTAATGTGTTTTATTTGACGACTCTAATATACTGCGATGCTAATTGAATATAAACATTGAATCTGCAATGGATAGCGTGTATCATACACAAACCCGTTTTTTCATCGTAAAATGTTATATCTTCGAACAGATAGTCCACATTTGATCCAGTTTAAAGAACCAGTTCTGGATCTTGAGTCAGCTGGTTCACAATACATTTGTATGCGATTTATCCCAGGTCATCATCTTCCCAAAGCCGATATTCTTGTGTTTTTGAATGACGAGTCTGACAAGATTGAAGAGTGTTTATCACTCAGTATTAGATACATGTAGACGATACTATGCATGTGCGGGTAGGTAAATGTGCTGAATCTATTAAAGAATAAAATAAATAATTTGATACCTGCAAAGTTGCGAATAAACTTTTGCAATGCCAAATACAAACTTGAAAATAATTTCATTATTAAGCTTTAAGTCAATTTGGCTAATATTCATTGTTAGACATTGGTAATGTGTGATCTTTGTAATGGGACTTGGACTGCTGAGATGCGCAGTCTATTGATATGCATTGTGTATGTGGATACTTGTGTGGCTTATATGTTTGGTACATAACAGTGGCCATCACTAATGAAAGGTCTATAGTGATAAGAGACCCTCAACAATGATATTTGGGCTATGGTCCTCATATCTTATTCAGGTATTCTTCCACTACTCTCCCACCTTATAAAAGACACGATCTTGGATTAATAAACAACGCAATTCATACATTGGTTCACTCTTTTGCTATCCTTTACTTTCCGATTATGACTACCATCAACATGCTGTCATACGTCCGCGAGCTACACAAACAACAGTTTCATTACTGACATGTACAATTATTGTTGTTGAACTAGATCGCGATCGTATCCGTGATTCAGAGTACAATGATGATGTGTACAGAGTTGTATTGACAGCATCAAAGTAGTTGAGCCAAACATGTGGACTGCAATGGATGAGTTTGGTGATTGCACAATGCATGGTCATGCCACATGTGCACAAAGTGTAGATTCAACACTATAGTCTGATTGTGTGTCATATGATGGTTGTTGTATATCAAACACGCAATGCAGTCAATGTGTAGTAACTATTGCATATTGCAATGCAGAATACAGTCACTGCATGATGAATAAGGTTGTAAAACAAAGCGTTTGCGATTATACAACACTCATGAAGGGTGTGCTTTTCAATATACCTGATCAAAGGGTCGTAAAAGCATAATTCAATCGACATGATCATCAAATTGATCGATATGATATTATGATTAGGGAGCAGCACACTGTCTAGTTTGATAGTGGCTCACTACAAGCAATCAAGTAACCCTGTGTTGTTGGTTAACCTAAAAGGGTTGGTTTGCTATACAAAACATACAAATACAATCGAGTATGTTCAGTTTTATAATCGACATCAGTCTCGACACTCTACTTTTGTATTAATCGTTTGAATCCATTGATTGGTTTGATGAAATTGGTTGATATTTTACTCTTACTGACTGTAACAACAACTGCTAATGCAATACTGATACCGACTGGTAACGATCGTTCAACCCACACATCAGGCACTTCCAGTCGAGTGTCTGATCCAACTAATGAACCCAATCCAGACACTTATGATGAATATCAGGAAGAGCCAATGGATTTAAGCCTTCCTAACCGATACCGGCAACAGCTAGTTGATTTGACCATTTCCAACAAATACAAGCAAGAACCGGTTGATGAATCCAATCCAGACACTTCTAGTGAATACCAGCAAGAACCAATGAATTCAAGTATTTCCAGCCGAATCCAACAACAACCAATTGATGAGGCTGGTCCAAGCACTTACAAACAAAGTCGGAAACAACCAATGATTCATAACGAGTCTTCAAATACTGTTTCAAATCAAATAGCTGTATTAAGTGGAAGATATCAAAAAACCTTTAATCGTATAAAGCAAATGCTTGTAGAGTCGAAAGAATTACGAAAGAAAAAACTCAAAGAATATTGTGATTATGCAGCCCTTAGATTCGAACAATGGTCAGCATTAGAAAGAGGAGAAGAAATATCAGGATCAAAGTACGATCCAGACACTGAAAAGAAATTGAAACAAGAGTATGAAAAGGCAGTTACAAGAGTACACGATATCAGACGAAACTTGAAAAAGTTTATGAAAAGGCATGGTTTGAGATTTGAAGAACCAAAAGCAGATTCAGATTGATGACTTGCCAATCAATTTGATTTTGAATAAATTTAAACTTTCCGGTGTGTTGATATTTGTCGAGTATTGTGAATGGGTCAACAATCATATCATTGGTTGTGTATTGCATGTTTGTGTATACTGTGTTGAGTATTACATCAACAGTTATTGGATTGTTGATTGATACATTGGCATGGTTTGTTCCATATACATTAATGACATGATAACAACCAGTGTTGATTGTACATGTAATCACTTGTCAATTGCATGGTTGCATGATATCACCAACTGATCATGTCGTGCATCGTACAACAAACGGAGCAATACGCTTGTTCAAAGTCGGATGTAGATTGCGTCATCGACTGGTTTGATATTGGTCAATTAGTGTTGTCAGTTTACAATGTAATATACGCGGTGTGGTATTGGTAGTGGTGTATTGACGTCAAATGGACCACTGAATAACAGTGTTCATGACACTGACTGTTCATCACCATCCAACTCAATCTCACCATTTCAATCAATCTTGGTCAATGTTGATGATTTACACGCTAATTCATTATCCAATCTTGTCTGACATTATTATTGGCTTTAATCACGTTTGGTTTGTACAACTGCCATGATTTGTACTACCATTATCATTATGTATCTGATCACCAAATATTCCAATACATCAATAATACCACAGTGTAAACAGTAATACAGTCGATCAGTATTGTGACAAGACTTTTCATTCAAGTTTGTATTTGGAAATACTCGATGGTTTAATCACCACATACTGTTTGTAATGCGATTGTCATTGATCTCAGTCCAGTACAGTCCAGTCCATCTGATTTATGATGATGTTTAGTAATCCATTACCATGTGTTGTAGTAAACTAACTTGTTTATTAAACCAAATCTACAACGATCACATTCAGAATATTAATTTACAGTATTTCTAAATGCATGTTTGATAACAATCCAATTTTGTTACAAAAAACTGATCAAAACAATACTAAAATGGAACAACTCGTTTGTGTGTTTGACAACAATCCAAACATGAACAATTCTCGGCAATTGTTGGACATTGTTGGACATTCGCATGAATGAAATTGTCAAATCAAAATTCAACTTTACTAATTTTATCAAACATGAAGTTGGATGATATCATGAAAGAGTTGATCCAACACCTGGAAGATTTGAAACTGTTAACAACGGATGATCAACTATACAAGGCTGATGAAATATGGGACAGACTGCTTGACTTGCTACTGGAGTTGGAAGAACAGAATCGCAGTAAGTTTAATAGTTATTGTATTATTGATGAATTCAAATCATTGCTGACTTTGTGTTGGTTTGAAATGGCAGAGTCTACAAATGTATTGCAGCGCTTACAGAGTATTGGATTGGAGGATATTGCAGCCAAGTATTTGGAGTATAATCGACCCAGTTTACAGGTATTCATATATTGTAACAATAATGGATTGTTCATGACTAAACTAATCAACATGTGTTGTGTAGATCGAAGTAATGAAGTTTACTGCAGTGTTTTTGAGAATGGTGTACAGTAATAATGAGTTCAAAATATCTCAACGACTAAGCAACCAAATTGTACAACTCATGCAATCACCAAGTCGTCAAGTCAAAATGGCGGCAAGTCATGATTGATATTGATCAAATGATTGACATTTAACTCATCTAGTGTCAATATGCATATAGGCGATAAACACATGTACAGAGTTATACAAATATAAACGCTGGAGTGAGGAGTGTAAACTTGACATCAAGCCTATGGTTGAGATTATTGTTCACGATTCTGATCAACAAGTGCTCACATTGGCGATTGGCCTGTTTTTGAAAGCTTGTCATGATATTGACGATGGAAATGTATGTTTACAATGATACAATATTGGATCAGTTTGGACAGTGTCATGTCATGTTAGTTTGATTTGGTTGTATACTTGACATTGAACAATATCATTAGTTTGGCATCGTGCTGTCAAGACTTGTTTCACGACTGGAATCATCCAATGGTCTAGTTGCTGTTGGGTTTATCAAAAATCTTCAAACCATGTATCGGAGTATTCATCGTCATGACCGAGTAAAAGCAGTGGAATGTGGCATCATTCCAGCACTGGTCAATACGCTCAGGTATGTGGTGTTATGCATGAATGTGTGCTCAGTCATCACAATTAGTAAATTTGACATGGTTGGATTGACATGACATGAATACAGGAGTGTCGATCAAGAAGTGATTTATGAAAGCATTGCTGCTATTGAGAACTTTTGCAAACATGCAGATTGTGAAGTGATTTCAGCCGAGTTGATGAGGCTGGATCTGATTCAAACACTGAACGACTTGTGTATCAAATACAGCAACGACTTTGCATTAAAAATGCGCATGATCTGGATAGCAGGAACAATTGCATCTGGTATGCGCGACTTTCCTGTATCGCTTGTACGATCGTTGGTTTTTGAGCAATTGACGATATCGATGTGCGATGTCGATATGAATGATCCTTTGCGTCTGTTTAATAATGTCAACGACATGATTCAGAAATCTACAAACAAGGACGAGATGATCAAGGTGTTTCGAGAATATGGAATTGTAAAGCAACTCAACACTATTTTTTCACGTAGATATCTATGTTTGCATGATTCTGGTGCTGGTACTGTAAAACTACTCGAAACAATTGTTGATTTTGCCGATAATCATTCCGACAGTTCAATACGTACCGAGTTGGATCAAGGTGAGATGTTTGAAAATCTAATGGATATTGTAGATTTGAATACTGACTGCAATGGAAAAAGCAGAAGGGTTGCTGAGCAGATCATTGGAATGTGTTTTCAGCATCGGGTTCAGACTGCTAGTTCGAGCATTCAATCATACAACGACAATGCCGAAATTGATATGAGTTCTGGAATGGCTGGAGATACACATGGGGAGGTACGCACACTTGTCGAGATGCAGTATGTCCAGTATCTGCAATGTATACTTTGCAAACCCATGTGGTGGATCGATATCACAAACCAGCATATTGTGGAGCAATGGAGGGCCGACTCACTCGATCAGAATATATCACCATCAACATTTGATCTTGCATTGGAACAACTCGGGGTTTTTGTCAAACAGCTTGTTTGTAGTGGCAGTGATGGATTGGGCACGATTGTCCCAGGACCTGTTGAACTGACGTATATACTGGACAATGGCATACCTGACAATGTATATACGCGATTGATGACAAATGTATCGGATATTGAACATGGATCAAATCACAACACTGGTCAAATGGTGCACAATCTGATTGATGCATCAATGTACAGTGTTGTATATGGACAAACGATGATTGCACCACTGAGTATACGATTCAAATACACCACAATGGTACCATGCGATATATTGTTATCGACTCGACTTGTTTCAAATGTGCCCATCATTAACGGCGATTTCGAGTTTATATCACGCAAGTTCCAATGGCTTCTGAGTGAATTCCGTGTCGAACAGGATGGCAGTGTGACCATCAACTCATACATCAACAATCTGAATCCGATATGGCATCGAGACATGTACAAATGTATTGCCAAAATATTCAAATGTTTTGTCCCAATGTTTGAAAGTCTGTTCAGAACGATGGATCCAATGTTCAAGTATATTGATATTTGCAATCGCACAAAGGGATATAAACCACCAAGCCAGTCAGATCATGATGATATGGAATCAGACACTCGAGTCACTCGTCCCGTGTATGTACCAACACTTCCGGAACATTTTGAATCCAAATATGAATCGGCAAAGCCAGTGTCACTGCGTGGTCGTAATCTGCAAGTCATTGTCAAACTCACCAACATTCAACTGACACCATCCAAACCTAAATACGACGAGGGAAACTGGCACATTGAAGGTCCAATTAACGAATCGATTGTTGCAACTGGACTGTATTACTACGACGTGGAAAATATCACCACACCCAAACTCGATTTCCGCGAGGCTGTTAGTTGGTGTCATTATCAAGGAGCATCTGATATGTATTGGAAAGATGTGTACGGCATTGATCAAGAATCACCGCATAGTCAGTATATAGGATCGCTTGAAGTACCAAATGGTCGATGTTTAGTTTATCCCAATCGATACCAGCACAAAGAGCAATCATTTGAACTTGCAGATCCAACTCAACCAGGACACTGCAAGATTCTGACATTTTTTGTAGTGAATCCATCTCGTCGGATTGTTTCGACTGCGCATGTGGCTCCACAACAACCACAATGGTACAACTCGAGTCTTGACAAGACACCCATACTGCCTGAACTGTGGAATGATGCCACGCAGTATATTCAAGGTGTTCAATCACCAGCTAAAGCCAAACGCTATCGAGATGAATTGACAAGTGACCGAACTCGAATCACAGCAGCATACAACAAAAAACTATATGAGCGAAAGTATAGTGATTGGTGATTGATTGTGAGGTTGTGATTTTACAACAATGAGTTGTAATGTCAGTCATATCTATGCAATTAAATGGATCGAATAAATTGAATGAATTGAATCAATCATGTTAATCATGCCAATCATGACAGTGATTGTTGATTATATTGACTGATTGTGTACAATTGATTGATACAAGTGATATGGATGCATCATTCGGTGTTGTTGAATCAGATCATTGCTTGATTCTGTCAATGTGATCAAATGGATTACTACAAAACTGTACATGCTCAAGTTGAATCAAGTATTGAATCGAGTATTGGATTGATGTTTACACACAACCACAATTACAACCACAATTGCAATCAGCACAGTCTGAATATTAGACATTTGAATCTCACGTATCGAGTCGTGTGTTGGAATATCCAGACGGATACTCCTAAGTGGTAATCTGTGACAAAGCTAATTCTAATAGCACACACTTTGAATCTCCAAATTAAACCCTTCATCACCACTAATCCATATGCTCCAAACTCCATTATCCTCATTTTTGGAGATTCATGTTCCAAGTAACGGGTAAATGGTGTCATTATGTAGACATAGTCAACTACAGGAATCAA